TCCCCTCGCGCGATTCTGGAACCTTAGCCGTCGACGGGGAGTATACCAAGCCCTTCACTGGTTCCCTGTGGGGTACCGAGCTATTAGTAGGTCTGCCTACCACATTTCTGGGGCCGACACTTATCTTCAGTCTAGTTTTATAGAGGTAGCTACCTCAATATAACCGGCAAATGTTACTTTCAAGTCCGCTGGGAGGTCGCTTGGTTTAATACATACGGCGCATTGGTCCCTCCAACATGGACCGGCCTCACAGGAAAATTATTCCATGTCGCCTCTGGCGGTGGAAGGAGAATGGATGATGCACATGATCCTACGACTGATCCCGACTCAACCTGGATGGGGCCCTTAACGAATAGGACGACACTGCCAGAAGGATACCAACAGATGTGGCAGAACGAGTTTTATTATCTGAACGGCCAGGTATCGTTGACAAACCATGAGAGTGGGGCAGATTATAATCTTGGTTATGGTAAGATTCCATCAATGTCGAAGTATAGATGAAGTACTGATTTGGCTTCAAAACAATAGCAAACAGAACGTGGCAGCAAGTTGTGGTCGATATTAACCAAAAACCTGATAATTTGACTATCAAGCGTTACGGCCTTGTGAGGGATACGGGAGACGATGACACCCCCGTTCCACAGTTCACTACCAACTTGGTGACTTTTAATATTTCTGAGGTGCCTATGAACTCTGATGTTGTCCTTATCTAGCATATTGTTCAGATACAATATACCAACTTGTATTCTTAGAGAAACCAATTGCATTGAGTTATTCTATCTTTTATCATATAAAGAATAACGTGGAAAATAGTTTTATAAGTGAGGCGCTGACTGGCATATGTACATGTATGTAAATAATAAGCTCTATGTGTAGCTCTCATACTCACAATGATACGTGCAACTTCCACAAAAAACAACTAATTTAAATCTTAAACTCAATTAAATTATCTAATCAGTGATATTCAAGTCAAAATTGCAGTGTCTTCTTGAGCTCCTAATATATGATCTTGATGTACATGCATGTATGGCCTCGCAGAATACAGGCCCCTGATCAGTCTATTTTCTTCATCCAAAGTTTCCGTATTATATTGATTCCCTCGATCGGGCCGGGAGTTATAATCATGGAGCAAAGCTCTAACAAAAAAAAAAGAAACATGGACTAAGACTCCATAAAGCCTGCGGCTGCCAGCTTCTTGTGTAGAGCCATTCATCGTGCAGTGAATGTTGTACGTGGTATGTGCACATATCTGCCACCATTTAAATAGCTAGGAATATGTACAGCCGCATTCGAAAAGTACTGGCACCCTACTATATTGAGTCATTCATGGATTGTAGCCCACCAAAATCCATGGCACTCGCTCATACTCAACTTATTGATAGGTATGACCGCAATAGAGACATGGCAGCTCTCTCTGGCAATTGTCTTGAATATGGGGGTTGAAAAGCAGAAAGGACTGCCTCGTGAGTTTGGCTCGAAGGTGCCAATACTTTTCAAATGCGGCTGTACGTAGTACGTTGTCCCAATGAAATTTGACGTTGAGTGGATTCCTCATGCAAAGGGTTCCGCTTAAATGCCTAATTAAGGTATAGTTAGCCCCTAGCCCTCAAGTTCATCCACGACCAGCCGAACCCCAACGCTAACTATTTGCAGATTGTACAACCCAGTACGTATTTGTAGCTAGGTATATCTACTTTATTAAGGCGCCAATGACACCATTTCTTTTGAACTTTTCTAAGGAGACGCAGCCATTTCTTCTGAATAAGATCCCTGAGCCCTCTTCCGCGCCACTTTTCCTTTCTCTAGATCTTTCATGTTCATCCCATCAAGATGAATTAGCAGGTAGGTGGTGCCCTCAACGTGCACATATGCAACAGCAAGGCATGCGCAAATAACATTAAATCTAATGCAGCCTAAGAATACATATCCATGGATCAGATATGCATCATATCCCGGGCCGAAGGATATTCGAGAATTGCAGCTTCATGACGCATATTGATAAGAATTTATAGGGAGTGATAATATCTGACCAATAGATATTATGAGATACGTGTTGGTCCCTACATAGGCCTAGGCCCTGCATTAGAATATGACCCTGACCAAATTCTGTGAGACCTCATAAAGTTTCTAGCATAGGAAGACTAATCACTGATCTAAGTAATCAGCACTTCACTTGAGTTGCGATGCGTAATTCATCCTGAATCGCAGCAAGGGGTTTAAAAGCTCTTCGATCTGTCTGATTTGCCAAAGGATTTGGCCCGTGCCCCAGATACCGGTGTTGAAAACCTTGTAGGGTGCATGCATCACTATCGACTACTGACAGAAATACATACTGATCCGGCACATCTGATAAGTACTTTTATTACTAACAAAGGAGACGCAGAAAAACGCCACCGACCACCGGAAATTATTTAATTGGTGGAATTCGATTACAAACATTTTTCAGCCACGGCGATCCAAGATCCCCATATTATCAAGTTTCGTAACTTTCGTTTTTGGTCCACAATTGAGTATAATCTCATGGTCTGGTTGGTGGGAAAACAGATATAGAGGATAGCATCTTTACACATTTTAATAAATCCACTAGTCCTACAGCTAGCAAGTGCATAACTGCATTAGCCGTTAACCTTGATGCTATTTTGACGTTGCTATTTCCATTTCCTTCGCCGGTTGATCCAATATGTACTCGTGTTTTCACAGCGTTTGTGAACACAACCGGCATTACATACACACAAAAAATAGCCAAGACAACCTTTTTGTATGGCATGCAATAGCGGTGGTGTTATGAATAGACGAGTACTGATTTTCGAAAGTACCCTTAATTTGATTGGTCGAGATGGACAGGGTCCGTTTAGTCAGTGCACACCAAATCTATGGAGTATAACTATACCTTAACTCTGAACAATTAAAAGAGATAATGTACTTTCAACTGGTGGTGAGGTTGGGGTTTTCAATGTATCATTTATGTGTAAAGGAAGTTCTATTAGCTGGAAATCTAAAATCAATTGGTCAAGAATCCCCATTAATTGGAAGATGGGATCGAAGGTCTATGGACTGGAGGGGTAACGCAAGGCCCCCGTCAATCGGAAGCCTTTGAGGTCCATACTGAGCTAGAAGTAGGAACTCGCGCGCGGTCTCGCAGCAACGTGTACGTAGCCATCCCTAGTATTCAAGCACCCTGTAAAAAGGTAATCTCGGAGACATCATACGTATATACTCCTATTTTCCTGACATTTCAAAAAGAAATTGCCATTGCATAACATCCTAATGGACACTTCCAGGGCTAATTGATACGCTTCAAGATACGCCTCAATCAATTGTTAAATAGACAATCCCTGGTCGAGAGAACCAGCCTGTCGTGTTTTTGCGGTATATACATACATACGACGTACTCGCGGTGGTAAACTGCCTACTTTGGCGTTGTTGTCTTACAGAAAACATGCACGTCGACTTCATGAATTCAAGTGCGAGCTATATGTAGCTATATGTAAACCTATAGGTAGGCGCTTCATGTTACAGCTAGCCGATAAAAAGAAATATCGAGCTCTAGATCTGTATCGTCGAGGTTTACTGCTTTATCCTCCAGTTGCCTCGATTCCATGATGCAGAAGAAAATAGTGAAAAACCCTATTTAGGTACCGGTCAAGCCCCCTTTCTATGGCTGGCAAAAAGTACCCTTTGAATCGCCGGTCCAAATTGTAATTCTAATCGGAGGCACTTAATTCACGCGATATAGAAATTGTGATGAGAGTAACGCCTGTACTGCAGACCACTAGCTCAGGGTACATTCAGACATGCATGCTTAGATTATTATACAGCAGATTTGCTCATAGCGCCTAGGCCTCTGGCTGTGATTTGAACCGGCGGTAAACTTAAAGAATTAATCAATCAGGTAAGTTTTGCCTATATAAAAAGATTCTTCGGCCGTCGGCTTCATTGGCTACCCTTCGCAATCTGCGGTACTGGTCGTTCAGATAAATAATCATGGTTTCATTTTGGATTTACCCCCCCGCCTAGCTTGTTTAGTTATAAAACTATTGAAACAGTGCTTCTAGAATTCGAAAGGTCATTTAATCAATCTCTATAGATTGGTTACGTAGGGTTGTATGATCAATATTATGCATCAGTAACTGTATCCGTATATACACACATATAGCTGGCAAAACCGTCCGTGCTGTATGTTGTATCTATCGGTACATATTATATATGAATCGGCAAATCTATCTCATAAAGTCTTTTTACAACACCTTTATTCACCCCATGGATCCAACTGCATGCGGTACGGTGGAATGGGAAATCACGCAGTAGATTTGTTACTAGAAACGAACCATGCCATTTCACGCAACTCATAACAGTTTATGGATTGAACGATGCATAAACCGGTATAGTTGGTTTCATTTATATATCTAAGGTAGGACGTTTTATCTATCACGGATAAGTACCATTTATCATGGAAAATGACTTCAATTTCACAGTGCAGCACAATTAACTGGTTTTTATGAGTTTAAATCCTATAATAGGTGTAGTCACCAGGAATCACTCGCAAATCTGCGCCACATGCGACAACCCGTCTAAACCTTGAAGAAAATCACGATCTCCGTTTCTTCCCTCAGATTTTGTACTGCACGGGCCTAGAGGACAAGCTCTAAAAGGAGTGTAGAGCGCGCGGTCATGAACTTGAACTTGGGGCCTAACCTATGTGCCACTAGTGTATTACACAAATGTTACGCGCCACACCCAAAGAGGCAACAAGCTACCGTCTGATCACCGGAGCTGCGGGTACCTCATAGCGGACAAACCAGTCTATTTCTTAAATTAATCGCCCACCATTTGTTTCCCTTCGCACCCTCCACGACCTCAACCTCGACCTCAACTCAACCTCCAACCTCCAACCTCCACCTTCAACCTCCACCTTCAACCTTCAACCCGCAACCCCAAACCTCAAACTCGACAGCTTATTCAGCCTACGGCATACATCAAACAAAAAAAGAAAAAAAGAAATGAAGTTCTCTTTGACTGCCCTCCTTCTCCTTGCTGCCGGTGGTGCTGCTATAGCTTCTGCTCCTGCCGAACGCGAGTACACTAGCTATGTCGTCACGTACAACCCCGATACTCCAGAAAGCGTTGTGGATCAAGATATCGCACAAGCCAAAGAGAATGTATGTACTTATTATCTACCCACATATACATTCTCTTGATATAGCTAACGTCGGGTGGTAGGGTGCGATCATCACTCACAGATACCGTAGCTACCCCTCACTTTATAAACATGCCCACCATGTATTTTACTAAGGCAAACATTTCCTACAGACATCATCAAGGGCTATAGTGTGGATTCTCCATCTGGCATGGACGCTCTGAACTTCGTACATGCCGATGATTACGCGAACAAGCAATACCAACCCACGATTGAGGAAGACCAAGTTGTACGTTCCCCCCTTACATCTCTGACTCTGAGCTCGTTTGCTGACACACTTAGGTCACCACTCAACACAGCAGGAAGCCGAGATCAGGGTAGGTTGCTGCAACCTGAAACGTGGCGTCGGGGATCCTTCTTTCAACAGGGTTTGTTCATTTGGCGTATTAAGGCAAGGGCGGTAAAATTCAAAATATAACTTGGGTATTGGTTGGTTCCCTGGCAAAAGATTGTCACCAAAGGATTTCGCCACTGATAACTAGCCAATGGTTTCTCGTGGACTAGATTCACTTCTTTTGTAATTTGATTATCTACTATGAAACTGTAGGAATGGGCGTGGATTGGATACAGTACGTAGTAGTTAGGGCTTTAAATACATACAATTATTTGCAGTGTTACGAACTCCGAGCCTATGGTACAAGATGCTGTGGCCACCATAATGGCATTTATATGCGTAGTCGCTGCCGGAGTTAAAATGTAGTTACTTCATAGCTAATTTAGGCCGCGGTATGGTAACCGCTAGTTCATTATGAGGTTGCGATCTGCCAATGCAAATAGCAACCGAATATGACATAATTGCAATCTGGCCAAAATCGAATAGAGAAGGCGTGTTCTGTTGCCAGTGACAACCTCCTATAGGTTCCCTGGGTCCATCGCTAAGGTCCTCCAGGAAACAGCCTTGGTGTATGGGCTAAAATATCTATTAGACTAGCCTCATAGCAATTGGGAACTATCAAAATGGCAGTGAATTTGTTGGACTTTAGTAGTGAATTTGGTGATAGAGTGATAAAGATCGTGTAATCCAAGCTTGAACATTTTTTTACTACATGTATCTAATAGATATCCGTTGCGCCCTTACATACATGTATCTACATGTATGCATATTCCCGCTAAGGTGAGGTACTGTATTTATTTAAAATCCTTCTCTTTGGTTCGCCCCCAAAAGTCAAGGTTGTACGAGACTCTAAATCGGTTTAGCTCGTTTATAGGACCTCGAGCATTCCAAGTTACCACCGGCACTAAAGTCTTCGTTACCATAAACGGGCTAGCTATTATATAACATTGCAACTATTCTAGTGAACAACGGTTGATGTTGATTGGATATCATCAGATTAATTAAATTCGGTTTGAATTCAGATCCCATCATATACTAGTTCACTTTCATTACTCTTTCCAATATATATTGGTAGACTAACAAAGAGAAGCGGATAATACCAGCCCTTTGATCGCGAGCGGGCGTTCTTTAAACCAAAGTACATATAAGTATTTAGGACAACGTCCAAATTAAACTGTCCGCAACGATATTAATGTTGGAGTATAAGCTCTTTTACCTGTTAAAAATAATGCAATGAGTAGTACTAATGGTAGGTGGATGTTCTGTAATACCGCTGGAAACAGTTCTCCCTTCTCCCGAAATACTGCAGCCCGGCCTCGAGTCATGGCCAAGAGTGTCGCGGATATGCATCTAAGATCTTCAGTTCTATGAGAATTATATAGTTCTTATTAGTTACTAGTCGATGATCCCGAATGAATTTTATAATATTCCAACCCCCATACGGGCAAAATCAATAAATAAGTAAGGAATAACATACAATAACTACTATCAGATAGATCCTACCCTCAAATATCTTTTATCCACTGCATCATCTTTTTCCACTGCATCGTGGACATCTCCATCCACCTTATATATATAGTCCACACGAGTGGTAATCTCCTAGATCCTCCGGCGTCGTCATCGGCCTTAACACCCACCCCACAATCCTGCGGTAGAACGGGCAGTCAATACCAATTGGCCAGTCATTGCCATCCTGTCGTAGAGCAATGCAAAATAAGTTCTCCTGGTACAGGAACTACAGAATTCATGTAATGTCGCAAACCTGAAAGCGATATCCAGGCAGGCATATCTCGATCCTGCAGGAGCTATGGTTTTGAAGACTGTAGAGAAAAGAGTTAGACATCTTATCAGAATGAGGGCACAAAAAAATGTATTACTTCACATTAACCTCGATCCAAGTGAAGATTCAGAGATAGGAATATCTATATTGACCCCCGAGAAGCACAATAACCCTTAATCCTGCAGACAAATAATGATTAGCCAGAAAGGTTATTTATGAAGGACTATGTGTACGTATTTAAAGGGAGGTACCTTTTTGGCTAATTGTAACCGGCTTTGTAGGACTCCTAGTAAACACAAGTTTTGAAAACCGATACTGTATATTGGAGCCAGCTAAAAGAGTCATTCTATTAGCTGAAAAATTCGCCAACCACGAGAGGAACACATATGAAAGGTTACGCATACCCAACAAACCAATCAACCAATTCGACAAGTTCATCCCCGAGTGCTGTTGACATGGCAGTACTCATGCCCTATAAGAACACGTACACCGAAAGAAGCCAATGCCATTGTCTTATAATTTTGACATTAGATGGCCACAGTACTCATGCCCTACAAGAATTGGGTTAAAGTAGGTTGGGAGTCCACTCGTGACTACCATCTCAATCCTTGAACTAGGTAGTTAATTCAAGTGGTGCTGAAGGTATAGATATTTATTGGGAAAGAGGTTGTGGAGTATAAGGATGAAGGGAAAGATGAAAGGGAGAGTGAGAAGGATTGAAGATTCCTTTTCAAGCACTACCATGTTATGGGCCGCAATTATATAAGCCGAGTAAATTTAACATTTGTCGGCAGTTCTTTGCCCATTGGCAACACACGGGCTGACAATATGACGAATACATGCATACATGTACATACATAGACTAATATACATAAATGTAAGGCACATGTAGCAACCATTCCCGGTAGTGGTACAACCACCAGCTTTACAATCATTACCGTAGAGACACAGGTAGAGAATCTGCTCGTTGGTAGCAGTGGCCAAATTTAACTTGGCACCAACCTCCCAATTATTTAAGGACCAAACTCTTCATCCTCTCCGTAATCCAATTCTTGCTCAAAATATCAAGACTACACAAATCTTCCCTCAATCCTCATCTACAGTGCCCAGGGAGATAAGTAAATAGCCCTCCCCGCAAATCCTTCTTGAATCCGGTATATTATTATTCCACGTTCTAACTCGCGCGTCTATAGTAGGGTCGGTCTTATGGGTTCTATAGCTATCTTGGTTCATTGTTTTCGTTTCGGGCGCCTGGGCGCCAGAATTTCTGGGGCGAGGGTTTGAAACAAAATGGGTGAGCCTAAGATTATTCTCATCTTCTGCACGGCTTTTTTTGGCTTCCAGCTACATGTAGCTATAGACTTGTCCCAGTGCTCTCGGCCTCTACCCATGGCTATAGAGTTGTGGTTTTTGTGTCTACAGAGCTCGTTGGTTGTGGGCTTTTCTTTTACTTGGCTTCATATAGCTTAACTTGCTCTTAGCATAAGCTGCGATTTCAGCGTGCAGATGTATTCGAATGGAATCCCCAACCTACATGTAAGTAAGGCCTCTTGTTTCTGACTTTCCTGCATATGTCTGACTCGACGCCAACAGAGCCTGTCGCTCAGCATATCGTCTTAAGACGTGTGCTCTCGAGAAGATAATGTGCCGGCCCAAGCTGCTCACGCTCCGGATTAATAAAGCTCTAGACTCCCGGAATATAGCTTCCTTGACCAGGATATATTGGTTTTGGAATCACAGAAAGCCCCTTACTCGTACTTCTATTCGTTATCCACTCCTTTCACACTTGAAAAAACATCGTTTCATAAGATCTGGGCCAAGCCAGGCGAGAGAGAAAACGTTAGGGGCCGGCTCATGCTCGTCTTTGCACTGGGTATATACTGGCACCACCGAACTCGATCAATAAGAACAGGAACAAACGAGCACTATTGGAATTGGGACAACTTCCTACAAAATAAGTTCGGCCTGTCCAACATGGTCTTAGAAATGCGCGCACGTGGCCGCACTGGGGGTGTTCAAACCCCACGAAGCTGGAATAACCAAACAGAAACGTGGACTCGACCCGGCAGTGTGACTCTCCCGAGTTTATGTGCTCACAGCTTGCCCGATTATTGATACCGGGCGGACTTTGGGCTTTAAGACCGTAGCTGGCAGATCTTTTATGAGTGCTCTCGATAAGGACAGAGTCTAGTCCAGGCAAAAAATAGCCCTGGGAAGCGCAACTCGGGCATCCGCTCACTCATATACAATCACTCGATCTTGGCGCTCTGTTAGGTGATGGATCAGGGACCAGAAACTTCATATCTCAGCAACGAGCTCTTCATGTGATAGGTTGATATTCAGAAAGACCCACAACATCATCAGCCCGGGACCGTCGTCGAATCCGCCCCAGACTAACAGAGCTCCCGAAAAACCAGCACCATGGCCTGCCGGGAGTGCGTGGATTAAAAGGCTTCGAGACCTCACAAACTCCCGCCTTTCTTGTTGGGACTTTATTTCTCTTCTGAATGGCCCTACAGATTTGTGGGAAAGAGGGGGTTGGCGAGCAATCCTACGAATCGTAGGATGGGGTTTGACTGTAGATTTAAACCGAATTTTTACATTGAAAGGTCATTTGGAGGTTTCTTGAAATACATGTATTCATATAACGCGTAGCTCTCATAAATAAAAGAGTGTATACATATCTCAGCTACGTTGTTAGGCGATATAAAATAGGACACCTTGGGAGATAAACGAGAGGACAGCTATCTGCTAAATTATCAAGTTGTTATAAAAGCATTTCGTCGCTAGAACAGCCCTCATTCCGAAACACCTGGGTGCCTATAGCTATGACGTCGTGAATTCGCAAATCTGACGGGCCTATCTTTCCCTGTTGAATGAGGGATCGGTATCAGGGACCTCCGAATATCCCCAGTCAACCGGAGGTGGGCGATTGAGTCGGGAAAAGATAGCACGATACGGTATATCATCCACCGTTTGTTGTAATCGAATACGGCCACATCACCAGACGGTGAGCTCCAGATAGGAATCACCAAAATCTCCACTGCGAAAAGTCAAGCAACCAAGCTCCCAAAGATAACGCCAGAACAAAGCAAGCTTCTATTCTTCCTTTTTTCCCCCCGGTTCTCCGCGCTACGATCCGACTCGTATCCCGAATGAAAGAAAGAAAAAAAAAAATAAGCTGAGCAAAAAAAAAAAAAGGAAATCCCATGAATTTTTTGGTTTTTTTTTATGTCGTGGTCGAGAATATTTCTACAGGAAAGAAGGAAATTCCCTCCTGTCTCCTTATTCCCTCCCAGTGCCCCATTACCATAGCCATCCCCCCCCGGAAAGGTCCCCGTTGCGATACGCTTATCGGTTCTAATTGTCCACCGCCCAGTCGTGTCAGTATGAATGGGAGAGAGCTGGAATTTGAAGAGGGGGGGGGGGGGGGAAAGAAATGGAGCTATCTGTACCTTGACGAAACCGATGTCGGTGGACTTCTCCCTGAAGCACTGACGGCAGATGTTGAGGCCGTACTTGCGGATGAGACCAGCCTTGTGGGCGCAGACGCGGCTATCGACCACACACAATCAGCATCACGTCCAGCTTTTCCACACACCTCATTTCATTTCCCTCCCCTCCTCCCCCTGCCTTGCTCCCCTCTCCATCCACTAGCTAGCTTCTTCTGACTGGGAAGGTTTTCGAGCTCAAACATACCAGGACCTGCTTCCCTTTCCGTAGTTGCGCGGGCGCGAGTACCAGACAGTTTCGTGGGCCATGATTACTTGTTGAGAGTTTTTACGAAGTGTTCGTAACTAATTTTTGTCAGTTCAATTAAGTCTGGGCGGGGTGTCTGTGATTTTCCAGGGGGGAGGGGGAGTCATACGTGAAGTCGTAAGGGGCGATTTTTAGTCGGTCGGTCGGTAGGGTCGTCGTCGTCGTCGGTGTGGTGATGGAAATTGTCGGTATCGTAGGGCTGTCTGAGGATGTGTGGTTGGTTCTTGGGGTGTGGGTGTGACGGTCTGGGGCGGGGTTGTGCCCTATGTGGACAGGGTAACTGGGGGGGGGGGGGGGTGAGTGAGAGGCTGTGACGAGCCAGTTGTTCATACCTGTCATGTTTGTTTCATTCGCTAAACGTATGCGTTATGTATATATAGCATTAAAGAGACCGTATTCCTATAGTCTTGTATTACGACATTGTCTTTTACGAAAGGCATCAAGTTTGTTGTGGAGAAATGGTATAAATATAATGCTATTAATGTGTCGCCGAAAGTGCCTGGCCGTGAGGATTTCGTGCACACACGGTATATACGCTCTATATATTCTTCCTTCTAGATCTATCCCGAAAAGTTGTAATTTTTACCACGGTGATTCCGCCTCATTCAGATATCACTGTTCCAAGTCCTGCCACGAAGCATTATGAGCTATCTATAGCTACCTTTTCTGATGGCCCCAACAACTGCCCCACCCAGGAAGCTTTCAATGTTGTCAGGCTGAAGCGAAATGCAGACTTGGCACGGTAGGTAGTCCAGAGCCACAGTTTTCGGCCACAACCTTACTACCTAGAAAGGCACACACAGCTCAAAGGGTCTAGGTAGGCCCTAAACCTTAACTATGCTCAGGGGTTGCCTTGTCGCTGTAGGGTGTGATTAGGTACACCCCGGTGGCGGAACGAGCGAGTGAGTGTTTGTGATTCGCCCAGCGATGTAGGGACCACCACGTGGTAGGGGTTGCGGTTTGTCGTTTCGAGGTCGAACAGCAGGCGATGCAGGGTGGATCTTACAGTGCTGTATGTAGGGAGAGTAGGTGGGCGAGTGGTGGGCGTAGATTGGGAAACTCGCTTATCCACGACTGCTGGATCTGGTGCGTCTGGTAGGTAGGGTAGATATGGCTGGTACCTGCCTGTGGGCGAGGGGGGGGGGGGTTCGATTTGGGATTCCATAGACAAAATCTGTGCTTATTCGCGTCCTGGTCGTGATGGGGCTCGTAGCACGTGCACACGCGTCCGCAATCCGGATGCGGGTCAGCCTCGTTGCGTGGTTGTGGAAAAGTCCCGTTGTGTCCGTTGCTCTTTCCCGCGCGGGAGACACACAAACGCGCAAACGACGTACTGGATTGATTACCCTGACCTGACACGGACCGGGACAGACATCTGGCTGAGGGATCGAGGAAGAAACCGACCCGTGCGACCAACGATTCACAGCTATACAACCGTGACTATACCATTCCATTATCACTTCATAAATCCATAACGAAACGAAAAGAAACAACATCCCGGTCACTGATTCACAGAATCCCCACTGGCTGGAAACGCACTGGAAAAATACTTGGATAATGTCATTCCTGGGACGCATCAGGCGCAAGAAGCTCGTGTGCTTCTACTGCCAGCAGCTGGTCTTTTGTCGACTCGCTGCCCGAGGGCGGGGTCTACAGCTATCCGAGTGGCCGCACCCGCCAATTCACTTGCCCGGAGTGCTGCGCGGACAATCATCTTGACGAGGTACTGCATCCCTTCCTTCCCTCCCTCCCTCCCCTCCTCCTCCTCCATTCTACCAACCTCTTCTTGGGTCCTCAACCACACAATCTGTTTCATCACCAGCAGCTAGCTAACCCCCCAAGCAGAACGGCGAAATACTAGACTACGTCCCCGACTCGCCCCCCAAGCCCGCCCCCATCTACGCCCGCCGCCGCACCTCCCCGCGCGCAAACATCCACTCCTTCTCGTCCACCACGCGCTCCTCCACGCCCGACTCCCCCGCCGCCACCTCGCCCACAACAGCAACAGCAACAGCAACAACAGACGAGAAGCCCTTCTGCCGCACCTGCGTCAACAACCAGCGCGTCGTCACGGACGCAATCGCCGCATACCCGCTGCCCCCCGAGGACCACCCGGACTACGACGAGGTCGTCAGCGTGCAGTTTCCCAAGTACCGCGCAACGCTCGAGGAGCGCTGGCCGCAGGTGTGCGCCCGCTGTGCGCCGCGCGTCAACGAGAGGATCAGAACGAGCAACTACCAGGTCAAGGTGGCGTCGCTGGGGCAGATGCTGGCGCGGACGAGCGGGTATGAGGCGGCGAAGAAGGGGGCGAGGAGAAGGGCGGGGGGAAGAAGCGGCTGGAGACGGCAGTGTGGGTGGCGAGGGGCGCCGTGTGGTGCTACTTCCATGTGCTGATGATTGTGTGGCATGGGGCGGCGCTGGTGCAGCCGGCGGTGGCGATGGAGATGGAGACGGAGGTGGCGTCGTGGGGGAGCTGTGTGCTGAGGAGTGCGGTGGCCGGAGAGGTCGATGTGCATTGTTATGGCGTGGCCGCGCAGCAGGCGAGGTGGGTGCCGTGGAGCTTGGTGGGCTTCTTTTGGATCTATAGGGAGAGGGGCCTGCAGAGGCAGCCGCATAAGAAGTTGGTCGGGTCGAGGGAGTATTTTAGGCTCGAGATGGCCATCTATGTGTTCCGCATGCTGTGCTGGTACTTTGTGACCCCCGGCGGAGTGCCCCTGACGGAGGAGGCGTTCACAATGGTGCATTTGGGCCTGTTCTTCCTGTCATTCCTGGTATGTTGCGTCCCCGATCATTTCCGGGTGCCAGATGATACTAACGTGTGTATGACCATAGTCTACATTGTTCTCAATCACCTGCCTCAAACTAGAAGACCCACCCTCCATCTCCCTCCGCGAACCACAGCCCGTCCCCGGCACCCCCAGCCCCCCGAATCCCCCCCACCACAAATGATTTCCGCCCTCCCCCGACACCCAATGTCGCCCACAACCCCCATGCGCCCGGGAACAGCAAACCCCCCGCCCTCAACCGGCGGATCAACATTCTACTCCCCCGTCAAGCGCGTCCGCGCCGCCTCCCCCACCCCGCTCCCGCGCCGCACAATCCAGGAATCGCCAGACGCAATGGACTGGAACCCCACCACCGCGAACGAGACAAAATGGGAGATCCCATCCCACCGCCTCCCGCCGCCGCCGCAGCCATCATTCACCCTCCCCCCTTCCTCGGCGCAGCTGCAGCGCCAGAACCAATACAACAACAACAACCGCTCCCCCTCGCCATCGCCCTTTACAGGCACGCTCCCGCCCGCGCCGCGTGCCCCCGCGCAGCGCATCGTGTCCTCACTCATGCAGCAGCCTTTGCGCCCCACGCCGCCAGCGCAGATCTCGCGCGAGCAGTTCTTCGCGCACCGCTTGAACCCCGGCCAGGCGGCGGTTCCGGCGGGGCGGGAGTTTGAGAAGGTTGCGGCGCCGGGGTACCGCCTGGGGAGCCCGCGGTACGCGCCGATGGCGCCGCAGAGGTTCTTTGTTGCGGACGAGGCGACGGGGCTGGAGGTGCTTATGGCGGGAGGGTTCCGGCTTGAGGATGAGCCGGAGGTTGTGGCGGAGGGGGGGGGAGGGAGGAGGGGTGGGGGGTTGTTGCGCTGCGGTTGGGGGTGTTGGTGGTGGGCGGGGCGGCGGTGGTGTATGGTGGGGAGGTGGGGGTGCGGTGTGGGTTGGTGGGTGTGTTGGCGGTGGTGGCGTGGAGGGTTGGTGGTGGGGTGAGAGGGGGGTGGGGGATGGTGGAGGTGGGGTGTGTGGGTGTGTTGGTGGCGTTGGCAATGGCGGGGGTGGGAGGGGGGCGGGTGAGGAGGGGGGCGGTGGGGGTTGTGGTCGTGGCGCTGGTGATGGAGGTTTGGGGGGTGCTGATGAGGATGCAGAGGGCGCGGGCGAGGAGGTTTTATGAAGAGGAGCGCAGGAGGGGGATTGAGGAGGAGAAGGAGGCGAGGAGGCGGGGGGGCAGCGCAGAGGGCAGCGCAGAGGGGAGGAGCGCGAGGGGTGGGTTTGGGGGGTTGAGTTTGGGGTAGGGGGATGGGGATGGGTTTTTTTTGTTCTGTTCTATTTTTTTTTACTCGTCTTGGGGTCGTAGGTAGTGAGTGGTTTTCTCTTAAGAGTTTTTTTTAGTATTCTTTTTGGTGTGTTTTTATATCCTCTTTTTTCTTATTCTCTATTTCTTCTGAGAGATTGCGTGCATTGTTATCTTCAGCATCATCATCACCATCACCATTAAAAAAAAAGCAACGTTTATGACCAAAAGGTTGGGGGAATCGAATCGAAGAGGGGTTAGACAGTTATCGGGGGGGGGCCTGGGGGGTGTTGGGATTAGTTTTATTTTGTGTTTTTCTATTTTTTTTTTTTTTTTTTAATGTGTGGTTTTAAAAAAATTTGGTATGTGCTTTTAGAATCAAGGGGGGGGGGGGGGGGCGTCGAGATGAATTGAATTTGAAATGGACCTTTTTGATATCGGGATTGGTTTGGGGGCGTGGAGGGCCCGGGGGGGGGGTAATGTAATGAGATGTGTGATGAATATGATATGATGTTATTAACCTTATTACTGCCGGTATTAAATTGGATTGTGTTGTGTGCATGATGAGTTAGTGAGCTTGATCGACGGCTTCAGAATAAGTACATGATAGAGCCTGAATGTGCTTGCTGTCTACATACATGTAGTGGTAGTGGTAGTGGGAAGAGTGATAGCCCATGACCTTATGTAAATACCAACGCAACATTCATACATACTCGACCTCACTCCGCCCGAAACCCCCCCCCCAAAAAAAAAAAAAATAAAATAAAATAAAAAAATAAGAATACATCCCACTCCAAACTGTGGCTGCTCACTGCATCTAAAAACTACTATCCGAATCCGCTTTCCAGCATTCTCCCCGGAGGACCGTGCCTCTATATATACATAGGCACATATAGCTCTGGGTTCGGGGCTGGGGCCGGGGTGGGAGTGGAGGTGTGGTGATCATTGACCCCGACCTCTATCCTCATCGCTGCCGCTGGGTTATAGATTGGCTTTCTGTACACTTTGGATCAGATACCGGCCTTAGGCCCCCCGGCGCCGGGCTTATGGTTAATAGCGCGGGTTGCCCGGAGGATGCGGTATTGCTAGGATGGGCGTTTTGTGCTGTGGGGAGATCCAGACAATGCGGTGCATGGTTTGTGGGCACGGGCTGGGGGTATGTAGGTACCGCACGACCGGCCATGTCCACGCCCACCCGGCTACGTGTTTATACTGACTGCACCCCCCGGCATGAACGCGGATCTTAGGGGCCACACTCCGCGCATACCGGCTTTCCAACCTACCAGCGTAGAGCTATTTACCGCCCATCTGGAGACACGGGTACCGCAGGCGGGCCGTTGCAACCACCCATCACAGACTATCACTCGCCGCTACCATAGCCCAACCACGGCCCGCTCATCCATCCCGTGGTCTTTTCGCACCTTAAAACCACGGTGAAGGCCATCGAAGCTCCATGGTTCTGCCCGGATGTGCTTTATTCGAAATATCTGAAAGACGTTGAGTGTATCCGTGGTTCGTGGGTTTCTTAAGCCCGATTTACAATCTGCCGGTCCGGATTCTAATCTGGGCCACTCCGGTTGGGTTTGAAATATCATTGACACTACCTTCCCTATCTACATATCTCCACCCCATTACCACCGCACCACCGAACACACTCCCCCCACACAAAACGAAATCTACAACTGGCTCTTCCCCGGCACATTCGTAAGATTCACCTTTGTATGCTCCGCCGTACTGACAACCTTCCCATCCTCCGTCTTCATAACGCCCCTAATCGTCGCCAGCCGCTGCCCAGCATGCACCACCTCCGACAGGATCGTGACCTTTGTGCCGCACGGCACGGGGCGGATGTACGTGACGTTTAGGTTCCGGGACACGCCGCTGCTTGTCTCTCTCTCCACAATTAGCCACCTAACTACCACCGTCACACCCGGGGGGGGGGGGCATAGTTACACAAACTCCCAGAAGCCCTCCCGCGCGATAACCATCAGCGCCGCCGAGGTGCAGATATCGTAGATGAGCGCTGCGCACCCGCCGTGGAGGTTGTTGAGGCCGTTGGTGTAGGCGGGTTTTATGGTGAGCTCGAAGACGGCGGTGGTGGGGGTTGCGGAGACGAGGACGAGGGATTTGAGGATCTCGCGGTCGAAGCCCTGTGGTGTGTTAGTGCTAGATCAGGAGGGAGGAAAGGGGAGGGGGAGGAGGGGGACTTGCTTGGTAGCTTGGGTTGAGGAGGGTATAGTTTGTTAGGAAGGCGCGGACGCGGTCGGGACCGGCGAGGGTTAGGTCGACGGTGCGGTGGTCTTTGGTCATTGCGGCGGCGGTGGGAGAGGTATGAGAGGAAATTGGGATTGGAGAGCTATCGATAGATAGCTAGCTATGGGTATAGCATGGAGATAGATATATGGATAAACAGCGCCTACATGCAGATCCCAGGGATGTGAGGCTCAACCGAGGTGCCGAGGCCCCTGTCGTGTTTGTACAATATATATCCCCGCTGCGCTGGCTCTGTGTAAGTCTGTGTGCTAGCGGTGGCATGCCGAGTGAGAGGCTGTGATTGTGACCAGCGTACATAGCTGTAAACGGCGTTTAGCTAGACTACATACATGTAATCAGGGTTTGGCGGGAGCTAGCGGTGAGTTAAGGGCTCTGCAGTAATTGGCTCGTAAGAGGGAGAGTGATTAATGATACTGATATGTAGCGATTGTGCGATAGGGCTCTCTGGGTGATGGTTTGTGATGCCCTGGCTAGCTAGGTTGTAGTGGTTATTGGAGGTCACGAGAAATTTTAATGAGATCAATGTGCTCGTCCGATAAATCGATGTGTTCCTCCGATCTAATTCTAGTTTCCCTTTCCGAGAAAGAAACGTCTATTTATACAAACGAGCTTCTACCAATGTGTCAAACTTCCACGCACAAAATCGCCTCACCCGAAAGCGCTCTATGCAATGCCAAGTCCTCACAGCTCCCAAACCTCCAAAGCTCCGGGGCTTTCGCAGGAGAGTCTCCGCCTCTATTACAAACCAAGATGTTTGTTTGTTTGGATATAATAATTATTATAGTTCTCCAAATCTACATATTTCCGCACTTGAAATTTAGTGGCACGGTACTGGCATCGCATGGCAGTTCGCACCGGCCGAGGAGGAGGAGGAGGGAAAAATTGCGCAACCTGGAATCATTCTCTCCCGAAAACCAATTAAGGACCAAAAAAAACGCCAATTCACTCACTCGTTGAAGAAAGGATTTCGATACAGGAAAAAAAAAGAAGCCCCATCCCATTTTTTAAAGAACCACCAAAAGCCACCGCAATGTATCAACATAAATCCCATTGCTTTTTTTTGATTCTGTTCGAAATTCCTTCTTTTTTTACCCAACATCCCGGAATGAGCAAACATTAGGAAAAGAAAAAAAAAACAGACACCCAGGAGAAAGAAACGATTCCCAACAACCAAATTCACCGTTTATACGATGGCGAGCTTGGTGGCAGCGATATCGAGAGCGTCGACGTCGGGGGTCAGCCTGGCGAAGGCCTTCTTGGTTCCGTCGGGTCTAGAAGAAAAAAAGAAGGAGAGCTGTCAGCACAGGGACGACAGAGCTATATATCCGGGGGAATAGGGGAAAATCAACCTGATCAAGGTGTTGACCTTGACACAGTCAACGTCGTAGAGCTTCTTGATCGCGTCCTTGATCTGCCTCTTGTTTGCCTTGATGTCGACAATGAAGACAAGGGTGTTGTTCTCCTCAATCTTCTTCATGGCGGACTCGGTGTTCAAGGGGTGGACAATGACCTTGTACTGGTCGAGCCGGGGAACGTGGGGAACGCTCTTGCGGGGGTACTTTGGGTTGCGGGCCAAAGAGAGGGTCTTTGGGCGGTGGAAGGTAGTCGAGAGACGGACCTTGCGGGCAATCTTGGAGTGAGTACCCTTGAGGGCGGCCTTCTTCGCATCGGCAGCCTTCTTGCTGGCGGGGGTCTTGGGACCTAAGTTTTGGTATATATGTTAGTGTCTATCTCTCTCTGGTCCAATTTCCCAGGCTCAAAATCCTCCCGAATTCGCTCTGCCATTCCATCCATTTTTTCATCCTTCTCCTGGCTTTTCCCGACTATCTTTTTTTGATTGAATTGCCATCCACCTCTTTTTCTTTCCCTCCCGTCCCAAACCCCCCAGCAATTTCGGCCTCGGAAAACAAGCAGGATGGAGCGTTTTGTTACCCTTGGTAGGAGCTTTGGGGGCCATCTTATTTGGGTTGTCGCGAAATTAGGGCCGAAAAAGGGTTTCTTTGGTGATTGTCGATTGTTCGGTTGGGCGTGAATTTTTCGAGTGTGGTGGAATGTTAATCTCCGCGTCGCTGTGTGGGCCACCGTGAACTCGAGGGACTGCTGGTTGTGCGCGAGGGTTTGGCCCTAGACTGGTTTCGAGACCGGGTAACAGTGGTGTTGGGGAGGGATCAGCGGTTGTAACTTCATGTTTGCATGCTCATGACAACTCGACTGTAGCAAACAAGTCAGTCGTATTTTAATGACGCACACTAACTCTATAGTGCATTTTCTAAAACCATTATTATCTTTAATGCAGCTAATTATTTACACAGCTTCCATGAGTTTCATGACCAAATTTATTTGGTAGGTCAATTTACCACTTATTCCTCAAGCTCATTAACCTAAGGACACCGCTTTTTGTCAACCTTCCTCTGGCTAGGACGACATGTGTTTAATAACTGCAGCGGATTCAATTCCAAGGTCGCCATATCTCAAAATAGTGAGACCTCGTCCGGCGCTTTAATGGCAATGTCAATTCATAGTAAATGGCTTTATGATTAATCAACAGCGGTCGTGGGAATGACTAGATAGACAGATGGCTTTACTACTTATTTTAAGCCCATAGGGCAGCGGACCCTCATTGGTTCCGGATGGAGATAGATATACGGATATAATCTCTATAATTCACAAGAAAACTTTGAGATTGAGGAGCGACGCCTGTTTGCAAACCCATACCCGCGAAATAATTTCTAATTATTACAGTAGGGCTGGAGTAGTTGCATCCACCCGGTGACTGTTGGATTAAATCCAGACAATGTCAGACTGCACTCTTGAAGAATAAAGAGCCCCCCAAAGCAGAGAGTCTATGATAGTCATCTGATGAGGTCATTGCGTTGCTAGAAGTGGGGCGGGGGAGTGTCTTGGCCCGCTGCAGGATCGTTGAACCCGCCGAGTGGTTCCTGTGTTAGCTACAATTAACCAAGGATCTGTTTCTCGCTAGGCTAAAAGCTAAGGCACCTACCCATATAGCTGGTGGCTCGAGGAGACATCTGCTCTGTAGACTGCGAGTCTCGAGTTAACAGCTTTGCTTTCTATCCACCATATAAGTACGGCGGTGTAAACCCAAATATTGTTTGGCAAGACAGCTTCCCAGCCTAGGTGTATAGTCACTACTTTGTCAATGGCTATTGTGGGTATGAGGCGGCAGGTTATACTGTGCTGCGGCAGGAGTTCCTCAAAGGTTCTATACACGACCAATTGAAACCTCCGCAATCATCCAAGCGGGATCCAAGGCGGAATGCAACTCGAGAGAAGCGCCAAGACCTCCGAGTGATATCCGGTGAATACAGGTCTAACATCATGGGGCAAGTATTGTAAAGACGGGGCCTGCGTCGCTCTCAATAACTCCAGCACTAGTTGCATTACTGGAAAAAAATGGGCTGTGCCTGTGTGGGAGAAGATCCCGTAACTGCGATTGTTTTAGAGGCGTGAACCTAACAGTACGGGCCAGGGAGTAGTCTTTGTGCAGTACGCACCTCTTTTACTACAGGTCACCGAGGTCAGTTGAATTACATGTAGTTCTACTACCCTGTCTTACTACGCAGACTAGTGCGGCCCGCTTAGCATGCCTGTTACCCGCTTCCGCTAGTAGCAGAGATGCACCCGTTCTATTCCCTATCACACCCCACCCACCCCATCCCACCTTATCCTTTATTTACGATCAATATTACTAGTTCTACTCTCTCCTACCACCTCTATCTATCAACTCACCTATAGCTACCCAAACCGAAACCGAGGTCAAAAAGGACAAAGGACGTCCGGCGAGACTGGCCGGGATGGTGAGCTTTGGTGGGGGAGACCTGTCTCCCACACAAACAACCCATTCAAACTCGAGAAATGCATACCTAGTACCGGTCTACCAGTAACGCTAATTCGAGCGCTTCTCTACTAGCCAGTCCCCATCCAGTTATGGACTACACCGTCCATTAGATTCAAAGAGAGTCGATCCGGTCCGGGGGCGCGAAAGCAGGTGTTCACCATAAGATCAAGTATTTTGGGAGCTGTTGGAATGTCTCATCCGGTTTTCCCATGTCGACGGAAAGTGTATATAAGGAGCTTACAGCAGTATACCTGGCCACAAACGCTCAACAAAACAGAGACAACGAAGGCTACTAGTTGCCCCCAGGATAGCTCTCCGCGGTGTTGAACGTATCGGATCGTAGTATTTAATTCTAGCTATGGATAGCATCGTAATAGCAAAGCTCAGCTACCAACAAATGGACCTGTGTATGTGTAGCTGAGGTTAGTGCCTTGGGATTAGTACCATGCAATCATATCAGTGCACAGTATTGAGCCTGAGCTTGTTCTCATATGCTGTTCCCTTTCACATCACCGGCATGCCTTGGCGCACAGCCGCTCACTCGGCCGCCGAGAACAAGCCATATCGGTGCTCTTATACTTGGGGGATGATAGCTTGGCACGGGGTTTGGGCATCAAAACCACGCCCACCCGGCATACTTCGAGGAGACAAACTTGGATCTACTTTTACCCGAAAGACTAAACTCAAGAGCTTAGGGAGCCACATAGAGTAATCGACAGCACTGGCGCCGCGTTGTCATGCAATCACAACTCTCAGATATCTTCCAGAACCAAAATTTTTACTATATACAACAAACTATACACTCCCCTCTTCTTTCACTCTTTCCCTCCCCGTTTTAGTTTACAAGCACTGGTAATAGTACGGCGCTGAAACAGCAGTACAAGTAGTGCCAGTAACACAAGCAGTAGGTCCAGTCCAATTAACACCACCACTACACACACACCGTCAGTAAACATCCTCAACTCTCTTTCAAGAACCAAAACTCACCATTGCTGGTACTTGGATGCCACAGCCCCAGTGCTAGACGCAGTCGCGCTCGACGACGTTGTGCTTGTCACGATGGTGGTTGAAACCCTAGTAGTAGATGTCGCGCTGGTAGTGACCGGGGCGGCAGTAGTGGTAGAAGAAGCCGAAGTGCCCCTCCAGCCGAGGATCTCGTCAAGGGTGAGGACGTAGTCAGAGTAGTAGATTCTGTTGAGGAAGTCGAGCGAGTTTGCGGTGGCGTCCTCGACAAAGCTGTTCCATGTCACGAACCAGCTCCAGTCTGCGTCATATAGCTCGAGGAGTTCCGGGTCGGGGATGGTGCCGACCTCGGTGGTTGCGATTAGCTTTTTGTCGTTTCCAAGAGAAAGGAGGGCGTTGTATGTTGCGGACAGCGGCTATTGTATGATAATTAGCAGTCATTACAAAGAGGAGGAGGACAGGGTACTAACACCGTGGTCGCCGGGCGTAGATGGGTACGAGTCATATGAGAGGATATCGACCGTAGCATCACCGGGGTACCAGTCGGCAGCCACCGAGTTCCAAATCCAGATCAAGTTGTTGAGCCCATGGTAGTTAGTAAGACGGTCATACACAATCTGGTAAAGCTGCTTGCAGGGCTCTGGACCCTTTGCTCCCCACCAGAACCAGCCACCTTCGGCCTCGTGCAGAGGCCTCCAGAGGATCGGAATGTCGGCGTCGGCCAAACGCTGGATCTGCACAGCGATCGCATCAATATCGCGGATGAGGAGGGCATAGTCGGCGCTGGAGGTGTCGGCGAGTGCTGCCTCGACATCGAAGGTGACGGAGTCGGTGTAGAAGCCGCGCCACCACTCTTGACCTGCAACATCAATGAGACCGGATGGTGCGTTCCAGTCTACGGAAATTTATTAGCGAGATTAGGGGATGTAATGGGGGTAGGGACGTACGCCAGCAGAAAGTCACGATACCGCCGCGGGCGTTGAAGGCGATAGCGTCTTCGACGGCGGTGGAGGTGGATCCACGCTCGACACGACTGGGACTGTACTCGATGAAGTCAAGACCAAGGATTGCAGGGGATTTTCCAATGTTTGACTCAACCCATGCATATGAGGTTGTGTCTTGCTGGCCGGAGATGTAAGATGTGCCGTAGTTCTTAACCAGGAAGCTCATGAGCGCTTTTGTGGCAGGTGTGGAATTAGAGTTTACGAGGGCAGTTGTGACCTGGTGGGCACCTCGGGGAGTAGATGGAGTGACTGTGAGTGCGTCGATAAGGTACCTGCCATGTTTCCGCTGGTTAGATCATTGGCTCAGGGTTCAATGCGAGTGAGAGCGGGTGATTTACCAGCCCCAGTTGGTCTGAAGAGAGATGGTGTTTGTGCCTGCATTCAACAGCACCTGGCCGGCACTAACAGTGGTCCACGCTGTCGTCTCCGGGAGACTGACATCACTGCCTGCGCCGCCGTTGAGGGAGACACGTGTATACTTTGCACCATATGGGCCCATGTAGATAATACCAAGGTCATAGAGCTTTGTCTCAGCACTTGTGATGGTAAAAGTGACTTGATCAGTGCTCTCATCAAAGCTCTCGACGTACCCAGTGCCTGTAACGGGGGACGATACAATCAGCATGATTTCTCAGGGATACGCAAATTCGTCAAAAACGCACCAGAGTAGCCAGCAGAAGCAGTGGCAACGGTTACACCGGTCAGAGTAGCATCCTCCGCTTGATAGGTGACCGTTTGCGCGAAAATCGACGGAAGCAGTGAAGCAGCTGCAGTCAGAATAAGACCAGCATTCCGGCCGGAGAAAATCATGGTGGGCGAGTTTCTTCTGTTATGACGGAGGGTTGGTCGATCAATCTATCATCGTTGTGGTCTACTATTACCCCCTTATATACTTCACTGCAAAACATTGTATTGTAGCATTTTGTTTGGGGTTTAATGATTATGGCGGAAGATGAGCTGACGACCCCACCAAACCCGCGCATACTAGCTAGTTCCTCATCCCGTAATCCATATTGCAAGTTGCTAATTCCCCCTTCCTATTCCCGACTCCCCATAATACGGGGATGGACACGGAGGTTGCGGGTGGGTATCCGCAGGAACCTTAGATTCATCTTCCATACCTCCCGTATATACCTGGGTGTCATCACGCGTTAACAATCATCCGGTCCTGGAATCAATATGAGGCTTGTCATACCATACTCCAGATGGGAACTTTTCGCTGTCCTCGGACTTTCACAACTCCGTGTTTTCACAACCTGCAGGGATAGGAGATAAACTCTAATGTTTATGTTGGGCTGTTTCTAGGGAAAGATTCATCAGGAAAAATTAAGGTTAATTGACAAATTCGGAGCTGTCGGTCCGTGACGGGTGAAGTCAATGTTCTTGGCGTTTGAGGACAGGGGTGGCCTCTTACGCGCTATCTGGGTAAAAATTGCCTCTTCATCTATTTTATGTTATAGAGCCCGGAATCCTTTCCGTTGGTTGGTTCCTGGGGGCTCAGAAGTAGGAAGTCGATCTAGAAGCAGGTACGAATTCGGGTTGCTTTGTTACAGACATCGTAACTATTTCTTGGCGCTGCAGGCGACGACGCCCGAGAGCACCTGAATTGCATAATAATGATACTGAAGGAGTGAGGCTAACAAGTAAGGCTTTATATCGGAGAACATTAGGTTTCCTTTTCCTTGCATGTAGAGTACATGTACTTTAGCTAGGATACTCCTATATCTTATTCAGCCTGCGTATATGGGGGCGCTGTGAGTTCGCTAGCTATCTCATCTCGTCATTTAATCTGTGACCCATGTACAGGATTCAGTATGGACCAGTAATCCTGACAGTTCAAGGGAAACTGACGGAAAACCTCAATCATAACCAACATTATAACGAAACTTTAAATCATCGAAGCAAGCATGAAATCCTCCAGCAACTTACAAATGTTAAGTCTATAAAATGACAGGAATGGAGGTTGAAACCAAGTATGTGCCGGCCTTTAATGCTACTAGTCTAGCGTTGGAATGGCTGTGGGACAGTTACTGCTCGCGTGGTATAGAAACCTGGCTTGAGCTCTGGTCATAAATAAGGCGGAAGCATACGTAACTCAACTACGTGATTATTTGTGTAAGAGAGACAGGGCCTCCGATTCCTCCCGCGAGAATTCCGCCAATACTATCCTGTAGTCCTATGCACTCTTCGATACCATAATACCCCTACGGAGTATCCCTTAAACCGTCAGGCCAAATTATAATGGGAGACACCTAAACCCTTTTCGGAAATATGATAGGATCAACGCCTAGAGACTTGAAGTTATAGTCTTCATCATGCGTGACAGTCGACAGGTTGCAACAGAACTTCAAAACCCAGCGCTGCTTATATCATGATTACCATAAAGGGTTTAAGTGTCTCGTTGCAATTCGGCCTGACGGTTTAAGGGATAGTACTCGGAATGAAAATCTTCATAAATGACATCTCCCTAGGAGTGTATACAAACATACATGCATCTCTATTAAGCTTCACGGAGAAGGGATTATCACGACTATTAGCTTCAAAGGCCTTGTGATGCGGACTTACATGTTTCTCCCACTTCAATTCCCGCTTGCCTGAGTTTTGACCCATGTTTATTATCCCCCCACATTCAAGTTCCGTCCTTTTTCCATCCAGACACCCTGATTCTGCAAGTGGTGCTACTGGGTGGCCTTTCATGGATCCTTCAATATATAAGTTATTAGCTTTAATCCTAGGTAGATTAGTTCGGGGGTACCAATTAAGAAGTGCTTCTATTGCAACATAAACCCCGAAAATGAAGAATTCGGCTCTCTAATAGTTACCATAATAACCGCCTATTTCTGTGCAGGTGGCAGATTTGACATAACTATGCAACAGAGAAGACCGACCATCCCCACGCCATGCTACCGACAATCCCCTTACAGCCGTGAACACCAAACAATCCCCGACCCCAGCCGGACTCTAAAATTTTTACCACACTCTAGAAGTAAAACATGAGGTATTGGTTCACCAAAAAGGTTGCACCCGTTGCGTAGAGAGAGCTAGAGAAAGAGATGAGGGTGGGGTCAATTAAGGTGGGATGAATAATCTCCCATGCACTCATAGCCGCCTTTCTACCCAAAATACGGATAAAATGCTCAATATTAGTTCTAGGGTTCTGGAGAAATTGATGGGTTGGGGTAATTATAAAGAGAAATGTGGCGGGAAGTGAGAGTGCGAGAAACAGACCTAATTAAATTAACTACGACCCGATATACATAGTCTTCCCTTTACACACCCATTTCTTATCCCAGATGTAACTCGAACCATACATGGAGAGAAGTCAAGTACCGATTAGATTTTAGAAGCAACACGCTGCTACGTACATAATCAATCAATCAATCAATCTCCCGCGAATGAATGTATTCGAGTGATAGTTTATGATGGGAATGTGCCTGAGCCGCAGATCTTGTATTCTTGTCGATCACTCATTATCCCCGAGTGAGACATCATGGACGGTATGACATACTCGTGCAGTCACATGCAGAACACCGTACCCGATTAAACCGATCTCATTAATGCAGGGAATGTTCCAAATTCCACCATTCGATGCCCCACCAACCAAAACCACGGTATCTACAAAAGAAAAAATGATCGACAGACCAGAAGGGGGCCAACGATAAAAAATAAAAAAATAAAAAAAGGGAAAGACCAGCACCCATCTATACTCTATTCCAAAGATACCGCCAAATACAAATGATTTAAAAAAAATCCCGCGCATAAGAACTAAGAAAGAGATAATCACCTTTACACCCGCAACCCAGCGTTCAAAAACAGTCCAAAAAGGTTAAAATATATAGTTCTCTAGAATGGTTTGTGATAGTCGCCACCGCCTTGTTGGCCCCTGCCCTGCTGCTCATAGGGCTTATAACTCGGCCTTGGGCTCTGCCCACCCACTATTGGTAGCAGCCCTGCCCCAGCACTATCATTCGGACTGTGCAGATACACTGGGCTCCCGTGGAGCTGATGCGCCGTCACACTCGGCATATAATTTGTTGTAGGATAACTCAACTCCACGGGCGATGGGCTCTGGTCCCGATACCTTCCATGCCATTCATGTGGCGAGGCCAACGCATTACCATACCCTGATACCGCCACCTGCTGCGAATAACTCGCAGGTGATCTTGCCGGCGAGTTGTGCATTTCCACCGGCTCGGGCGAGTATCCACCATAGCCTGCTGTTTGTACCTTAAGTTGCTGTGATTTCTGAGGTGCCGGATGGGTTGGTAGTGCGTCTGGACCCGTAGGCTGTGGTGGTGGTGGTGGTGGGGGAGAGTAATTGCCTGCACCGGCGAAAGAAGCGGCGGCACCGACAAGACCAGATGCTTCTTCTTCTAGCCCCAGGCGCTTCCGGATCTTCTCATGATCACGTTCGCGGCGACCAATGCCACAAATAAGCCAGCGAGTACCGCGGGCAATGCCGCGGACAATATCCCATGGGTTGAAAGCGTCTAAGAGGGAAGTCATCACAGGAGTCATGTTTGTTGGGCCTTTATCATAGTCTTTCCAGGTGAATGCAAATAAGTGGAGGATAGCAAATATTATCATTTCGAAACAGATGAGGAGTGAGTTGAAGCCCACAGATATATCGCCGAGTGACATGTATTTTGTAGATTTGATTGCACCGGCGGAGGTAAGAAGGTCAAGAAGAATCTACAAATGCTTGTGAGTAGGTTTGAGGGATGGAAGAGGAACAAGAGGAGTGTACCATCTGCCAGAATGAGAAGAAGATGACCAGCTTGATACAGAGAAGTTTGAAGAAGGGCTTGTTGGGCGCTAATTTCTCTTTAACTCCCAGGTAAAAAGCAATGAGGCAGTACATTGCAATGGTTACGGCAACCATATTGAAAAACATGGTCCAGAGATGCGCATATTTTGGGTGCAATGATTCCTCACAGTAAAGTCCTTTTGCTTGGGTAACTGTTGCGGTAATTGTCATTGCGACACGGATAAAAACGTACTGGAATACCCCGATCCAAATGATCTACACCCAGGATATTAGAAACTTGATCGATCGGGTCGGAATGTGTGGGGGTTGATTAGTACTGACATTAAACCAAGTTAAGCCACTACGCGGCTGTGCCATTCTACCGCAAGGCCATGGCCATGGTTTCACTGTTAGTATTGCGAAAAAGTTCTTTTGGCCTCGAAGCGTTGGGTGAATATAGCTGCACAGCAGTGCGAAAAAAGCGGCTATTGCGAAGGCCTCATAACAGTCCTAGACAAATTGGTATTAGATAAAGACTATAAAGATACGCGAATGCTAAGGCGGATATACCCGTGCTACTTCCCAATAAATCGCATGCCAATACCAGACGTATGATAGCCAAGAAGTGATTGCGTAGATCGGGACCATAAGAAGAATACGAATAATACTGGTTTTGTTAAATATTATTAGTCTCCAACCTTATGATATCTAGACTGCCTATAGTGCGGCTCATAATTATTCTGAAACTATGGCAAATAATTGTTCCTTTCTTCCTGTGGGACGGTTAGGCGTAGGTTGACATTAACTAAGCTGTTGGAATCTTGCCGCAGGTCGGTCCATGATTGCCAATATGCATAGGGCAGTATGCGAGTCTAAAAAGGGAGAATATTAAAGAAACACTCACTGTCGCTGCTCATTTGGATTCGTGTAGTGACCCGCATGTTGATGGATCAAGAATAGCGAAATGATTGTAGCTATTATAGCACATCCCTATCAACATACTCGTTCAAAATTAGACTCGTGAGCATCTAAAAATTATGGTATCCTTAAACACAAAGCGAGAACCTACACCGCATATTAACCATCCTAAAGTATGTAAAGTCAAATTCCCGACAATTGTGTCGGTATCCCCTAAGACAGATAAATGTTAATTATCTGCAGCACGCGACCATCCAAGGCTGAGGGGTGATGGGGGAAACACTAACAATGGGTTTCTGAAAGCGTGGAGTTACAAGTTGCAGTGAACATTGTGAAGCTTGTCGTCCAGGACAGCTGAGCTGGGGGTGCGCGGGGTGCGGCGGCGGTTGAATATTGAAGTTCTGAAGGATAGGAGGGGGGAGGTTGTTTTTTGTGGCAGTAATCAGATCATGTAGAGGCCTGAGAAGCTCCCCCGGCAGTCTCGGGACGCGTGGACCTAACCAACTAATATGAGGCGCATCTAATTAGAGGGTTCCTCCGTGAATATCCATCCGATCCTACTGTTCAGTCAATTGTGGCTTAGGCAGGATCTGTCCCTGTTGCGCCACAACTGCGTCGTCATTTCTGCATGGGAAAGCTTGATCATTCCTGTTTTCGGGAAAAAGTCCGGTCTTTAAAACTGTATCACGGTCCGAACGGCAACCATTCTCCCTTCTTCTACCACACGAGTTATGTAATACCTACATGTAGGTACGTGCCTGAGCCATGAATAAATTCCTGGGTGATCATCAACGAATCCATTTCTACAAGACTAGATATCTGTTCCTCCTGAGCTTATTCTCAGGCAAAGACCCTGTAATAGGGTTCCTTCTTTCCCTCACATACAAAGTACAGGCTAGCTGTTTACCATCTTTAACGTTTCAATACTATAGACGCATTTGTTCGTTTCTAAACCTATAGCTAGAATTTTGCAGGTCTACATGTATATATGTACCTTGGATAGTTACTACGTAATCACTCAGGTCAATCAAGAACTCTTCATTTATTTTCTCTCTTTCCTTCCAATAGCTGTATTCTGCACAAAAGATATCCAATACCACAAAGTAAAATATTGAAACACGACTATTCTTTTTCTCTTGGGCCATAGTAGCACTGGCTATCCTTCAAACAGAATACAAAGCTGGGCAGCTGCCCCACACCTTGAAAGCTGTAACTACGATGAAACCAGCGAGGCATTGCTGCAAGATTATATGTGCCGTCAGTCCGCTTTTAGCAGGGATTCTGATTCACAACGTTGCCAGGATTAGGACGGGTTCAGTTTCCATCACGGATAATCACTCAGTAACATTAGCTTCAAAAGGGCAGTTGTCCCTCGTACGAAATATCAGAACGCAGTTACTACATATAGGTACTTGTATTTACTTTAACAATTGGTTAATATCAAGTTAGGCATACCTCGGCGCCTCCATATAGTCCTTGATAATCTCGTTAGCTCAGTATCTACCACCGCTGCAGTACCTACATATACTAATTGAGCTCTACAGAGTCCATAAATGTATATACATGTATATACGGGTACTGTAGTGCTCCTAGTCTCGTGCCCAGCCTGCAGTGCGACAACAAAACAGCCTGGGAACGAGACTATAGTGCTCCCAAAGTGAGGGCATATCCAATTACTCCGCTTGTATGCACATATCGCCCTATCTCAATTCTCTTGCCGCGTCAGCAATACTTTCATTTCATGTACACCGCATCCGTTTCGCCTAGAAAGGACGCGTCGCAGTATTCTTGGCAGTGATATGTAGTAGATAAGATTGATAAAAGGGGCTGTTCGCGTTGTGTCTAGACCATTTCGGTGTTCGGTCATCCCAGCGGCCGAGCAGTTGTCAGACCAAATTTAGAAGTAGAAAATGAGGGTATTAGATGCCATTATTTTGAAGGGAGTCAAACAGAGACAATTTTTATCTGAATGATGTATATAACTGATGGTTAGGATGGTGAAGAAATCTGGGTGCTTACACTAGCCTAGTACATGTACATACATGTAGTATCTACATGTAATTAAAGTACCTGTAGGTACATACTCTGACCACTAGAATTGCATTGTCCAAGGTTGAGGTTTGTTGGTGAAAGAAGGTTTTTATGAGGCAGCTAGAGTACACCATATATGGGACCTGTCTAGTATTATTTGTTGTAGCGTTATCATGTAGAGTTGTGAGTATTAACAAAAACAACTTTAAATGCTTGTATGCATAATGTGAGCCAAGGATGCGGCTCTGTTCTTCAAACCCTACCCTAGCACTGATTGGTCCACACTAACGTCGCCGATTTTGCCCCTCCACTCATCCCATCGGCGGTGACACATTTATCTGAATACAACTTCAACCCTCAAATCCCACCACCCACCATCCACCATAGGCGCCACTACTTTATATTTACACTCATGCAATTTCAGCGGTAGCACTTGATTTTGCGTAGGTGTGTTTAACACGTCCTTCTTTGTTTCCAGTGGTTAACTCTAGGCGCGCAAAAGAAGATTTCTTTCGGACCTACGTCTACCCTACCTACCTTCGAGACGAACAATTGCTGTAACTCGGACAGAAACAAACCGAAAAAAATGCTTTCTACGGCGACGATAGAGGGGATGAAGGAGCAGGTGGTGGACAACCTGCCGAAGCGAATTAAGCAGGTGAAGTTTGGGATTATGTACGTATGCTCGCTAAATCGGCACCCCCGACTTCCCGCTCATGCCCATTAACATTGGTTGATTCTTAGGTCCCCAAACGACGTTGTGAAGCAGGGTGTTATTGAGGTCGCTACACGTGAGCTATTCGAATTTGATGGAGGGCGACGTCCAAAACCCAATGGCGCCCTGGATCCGAGAATGGTACGTGTACTATAAAGGAGAGCGGCGACAGTGTACAATCTTGAATAAGGCGTCTGATCTGACCGGGTCTGACTACGTAGTGAGTCTATGTATTTGTCGCCGTCTCAATCAAGATTGTATTCTGCGCCTTGGATGGACTGGGCTAATTGGGTTGGTTTGTGCTGCATAGGGTATATCCTCGAAAACCGGAATCTGTGAGACTTGTGGCGAAGGCCTCCAGAACTGCAATGGGCATTTCGGGCACGTTAAACTAGCGCTCCCGGCGTTCCATATTGGATACTTCAAGGCGATAATAACGATGCTCCAAAATATCTGCAAAGATTGCGCTCGAGTACTCTTAGACGACAATCAACGTCGTATATTTCTCAAACAGCTTCGCACGCCAGGGATCGATAACCTTCGCCGTACACAGATTTGCAAGAAGATTAACGAACAATGCAAGAAGACGCGAACGTGCTTTCACTGTGGATCGATCAACGGCGTGATTAAGAAGACGGGCCCGTTGAAGCTGTCTCACGATAAATTCAGGGCATTTAATAGCAGTACTGCACAAAAGAAAATCCCACCAGACGAGAAAATTGCGTTTGATAAGAGTTTTGCAGAGGCTAAAAGAACAAATCACGATTTGGAGAAGCACGTGAAAAAGGCGATGGACGATCTTAATCCGCTGAAAGTATTGAACTTGTTTAAGCAAGTACTTCCGACGGATTGTGAGTTACTGGGAATGAACCCATTGGAGGGACGTCCAGAAATGTTCATCTGGCAGTATGTTCCAGCTCCGCCGGTGTGTATACGTCCATCGGTTCAGCAGGACTCGGCAAGCAATGAGGATGACTTGACCGTCAAGTTGACGGAGATAATTTTCATGAACTCTCTCATCCGAGCAGGTCTTCAAGAAGGAACTCCGATTTTAACGCTCATGGTAAATTTCCCCTATAAACACAATCTTGTGGTATTCTGACTCGAAATAGGAACGCTGGGACTATCTTCAAGCCCAAATAGCAATGTACATTGACTCGTCCCTTCCATCCCTCCAACGTTCTTATAGTGATCTTAAACCAATACGCGGTTTCTGTCAACGGTTAAAGGGTAAACAAGGCCGTTTCCGTGGTAATTTATCTGGAAAACGTGTCGATTTTTCAGGGCGAACTGTTATTTCACCGGATCCAAATCTTTCCATCGACCAGGTCGCAGTGCCAGTCTTGGTAGCAAAGAATTTAACATATCCCGAGAAAGTATCCCGCTATAACAAACAGAAGCTGCAGCAACTCGTACAGAACGGGCCTGATGTTCATCCCGGAGCAAATTATATCATCAAGAAAAACAGCGATTTTAAGATGTTCTTGAAGTTCGGTGACCGAAAAAGAGCGGCAGATATGCTTCAAGAGGGAGATATAGTTGAACGACACTTGGAGGATGGAGACGTAGTTCTCTTCAACCGGCAGCCGTCACTCCACAAGCTTTCAATCTTGTCTCATTACGCCAAAATTCGCCCTTGGAAGACTTTCCGTCTCAACGAGTGTGTCTGCAATCCTTATAATGCCGATTTCGACGGTGACGAGATGAACCTCCACGTGCCACAGACCGAAGAGGCCCGCACGGAAGCTATCGAGCTCATGGGTGTGAAGAATAACTTGTGCACTCCACGTAATGGTGAACCGATCATTGCCGCCATCCAGGATTTCATCACAGCCTCTTACCTCCTTTCATCGAAGGATAGGTTCTACAACAGAGCTCAGTTTGCTAACATTTGCATGTTCATGGTTGATGGAAATTTACAAATCGACATACCTCCTCCTGCAATTTTGAAGCCACAGGCTTTGTGGACTGGAAAGCAGATTTTCAATGTTCTTTTGAGGCCGAATAAAAAAAGTAACGTTCTGGTCAATTTGGATGCGAAGTGTCGTGATTTCAAAACGGTTCCTGGACAAGCTCCTGATATGTGCCCTAACGATGGCTGGCTCGTAATTCGTGGTTCTGAGGTTATGTGTGGTCTTATGGACAAGTCGACAGTCGGTTCAGGAAAGAAGGATTCTGTCTTTTATGTTATTCTTCGTGATTATGGCCCAGACGAAACCGTCCAGGCTATGAATCGTCTTGCGAAGCTTTGTGCGAGGTGGCTCACGAATCAAGGATTTTCAATCGGTATCAATGATGTTTTACCTGGTGCTGCCCTTAGGAAAGAGAAGGATATGCTAGTCGAGAAGGCATATGAGGAATGTGACGAGTTAATTTTGAAATTCAAGGAGGGGAAACTTGAGAAGCAGGCAGGATGTGATGAAGATACAACATTGGAGAACCAGGTTTCCGGAGTGTTGAACGCGGTCAGAGAAAAGGTCGGAGACATTTGTATGAATGAATTGAGTAGGAACAATGCGCCACTGATCATGGCGTGTTCCGGATCAAAAGGTAAGCACCAACAAACTCGGCATCTATTCGACCTAGTGTTAATAACAAAATACAGGTTCAAAGATCAACGTATCCCAGATGGTTGCTTGTGTAGGGCAACAAGCTATGGGCGGCAAACGTATTCCTGACGGTTTTCAAGATCGTTCATTACCACATTTCCCAAAGAACTCTAAGCAGCCTCCGTCGAAGGGATTTGTGAGGAATTCTTTCTTCTCTGGACTTACGCCAACGGAGTTCATTTTTCACGCTATGACTGGTCGTGAGGGTTTGGTTGATACTGCTGTCAAAACTGCAGAGACTGGATACATGTCACGTCGTCTTATGAAGTCCCTCGAAGATCTGAGCGCCAGCTACGATCAGACTGTCCGGACCAGTAGCAGTGGTATTGTACAGTTTCAATACGGAGGTGACAACCTGGATCCAGTAGACATGGAGGGTAATGCTCAGCCTGTTAACTTCAAACGAACTTTCTATCACTCCGAAAACTTGACTTTTAATAACACTGATCGCGGACTATATCCATGGGAAATCATTACGCTCACTGACTCGATTCTTAACCCATTGGAGGAGAAGCTCGTCAGGTATGATCTCCTTGGAAACGTCATTGGTGACGATGAGGTCGACGACCGTACAATGGATGAGCATGAATCCAAGCGTGAATTTTTCAACTCAATACGAAAGTTTATGCGCAATAAAGCATTCGAGCTTGCTGCTCTCCGTTCCCGGTTTAATCTACCACCTCTCGACGAAACCCCAGATAGCGATTACATGGATATCGACGACAGTTATTTCGCCGCAGCAGATGTTAATGCCGTTAATCGCATCCAAAGGATTTCAGAGAAACTTCTCCGTGAGTTTTTACGGCAATGTCTTACAAAATATGAGCGTGCGAAGGTGGAACCGGGTTCTGCAGTTGGTGCGGTTGGTGCTCAGTCTATTGGTGAACCGGGAACGCAGATGACATTAAAGACTTTCCATTTTGCTGGTGTCGCCAGCATGAACGTTACTTTGGGAGTTCCGCGTATTAAAGAAATTATCAATGCCAGCAAAAACATTAGTACACCCATTATCACTTGTAAGCTGGTCACCAAGGATGATGAGAGAAGCGCAAGGATAGTAAAGGGGAGAATTGAAAAGACATATCTGGAGGACGTGAGTCTAGTTTCTCGAATTGTTTGGACGAAGGAGAATTTTCTGACTGTGGAATTGTAGATCATTTATTACGTCGAGGACGTCTGTTCACCGGATGACAACTATGTCTCCGTCCGTGTTGACTTCCACACCATTGATAAGCTTCAGCTTGAACTTACAGTCGATGACATCCTCAACGCACTTGTTAAGGCAAAGCTTAAAATTACCAAATCTGATATCAGGGTTGTTGGAAACCGTATTCGCATCTACGTCCGCGAAATGGCAGATAAAGACAAAAGAAAGACAACTGCTGAAACAGACGTCTTCCTTCGTGTACAAAGTCTAAAGCGTGCGCTGCCAAGTGTCGTCGTCAAGGGCTACCCTCAGGCGGCAAGAGCAGTTGTCAAGAAGAACGAAAAGTCGGGAGAGAATGATATCCTCGTTGAAGGCTATGGGTTGAAACTTTGTATGAATACTGAAGGTGTGGTCCCGACTGCAACAAAAAGTAATAGTATCATGGAGATGCGAGAAGTTCTTGGGATCGAGGCTGCTAGGTTTGTACCCATCAAGCCCTCTTTACTTTATTATCACAAACTAACAACCTATAGATCCTCTATTATCTATGAAATCTCCGAGACAATGAAAGCTCACGGAATGGACATCGATCCTCGTCACATGCAACTCCTTGGAGACGTAATGACTTATAAAGGCGAAGTTTTGGGAATCACACGTTTTGGTCTCGCCAAAATGCGAGACTCAGTTCTACAGCTCGCCTCATTTGAAAAGACAACCGATCACTTGTTCGATGCAGCATTTCACATGAAGACTGATGAAGTGGAGGGAGTTTCCGAATGTATCATTCTTGGACAAAGTATGAGCATAGGTACCGGGGCTTTCAAGGTGGTGCGCAAGTTGATGATTCCGGAAAAGGCATTGGTGCCTAAGAGGGGGATGTTTGAGGCTGCCTATGAGAAAAATTATAAGGGACTTGCCGGAAAGAAACAAAAACCACATTCAAAGGGGAGGTGACTGGTTCAATGATTGTATTTATAGCTGCGACGAAAAGGCATGACGACAAACAAGCTTTGTATAGTTAGGTTTGGGTGGTTACCGTAATATGTACTGAAGTTACTTTATGTTATTCGGCACCTCTATGACTGAACACCTAGTTAGTCGGGGAGCAATGAAAAATGGACCGGGAGCTAGACGTCCCCTAGAGTAATGGTGTAGTTGCATTTATAACTGCCAAACTTACCCTACAGTTCGAACCTAGGACTACCTAGAGGCTTATCCGACCCACTAACCTTGACTCGGTTTTAGCCTCACAATCGCGTAACTCTTATGACTCTTGGGGGGCTGGATTTCCCTATCGCACTATTTCACCGGCGGCGGCGCGCTAGAGCTCGAGTGATATAGGGTGACGGAGGCATCTACATGCCAAGGCTTGGCACCCTGCAAGACTATTTATTTCGCGCAAACTTTTTTCGAGTCTTTGACCTCCCGTCCTATTCGCCCACATCTAATTGCAATCAATGAAGTCTCTCACGAGTCTCACCCCAAACGACATCACAATGGGCCAGTCTCATACTGCACCAGCGACCGAGCACACACTAACTTTCCAGAATCCAGCATCCGTCATACCGCGCGGGCATCTCCAACAATTGTTTATTTGCACAAGGTATGTCATCTTTTTTTCCTTTCTCATCTCACCACCTCCCCACTCCCCCACCTCCCCACTCCCCCACCTCCGAATGATGACCACACCTCGTTATCCCAGCTCACTCAGACGTAACCCTCCGGGAAAGAACTGTCACCATTGTTTGATTTGGTGGCACTCCGGGGGAACGCATGCTGTGAACGCGAATCTATATCTGACATTTATTTTTTCTGTCTCTTGCCTCTTCTCTTGCTGTTTTGCTCCTATCTGCTCTGCGTTCGAGGTTTGGGAAGAACCTGGCTAACATTATCTCCTCCGGTTTGGAGAGGTAGATTAGATGATAATCAAGACCAAGGCTTGCTGGCCTTTCTCTAATCAATTATTAGTGGAATTTGACCTGTGCCAACAGACCAAAGAATTGAGGAAGGACTACTATTAACCAAGTATACCCCAATACTCAGTCTCGGCTTCGTGACAATGGGATCATAGGAATTGTGCTCCTGAACGCCCATTTGATCTGTTCAATGTCTGTTTCAGAACCTCTCTAGTGTAATTTCGATTTCGACGTGAACATACACCAAACCCACCCCATTCAGAGCCCTACTGGAAACATGGATTATTTAGAATCCGTCTTGCTTGGAATCTAGTACTGGAGGGCTTTCACCGCGTCAATCCTGCTTTTTTCTACAGCCATTAGATAGCAGTTTACCTCTATTCCTCCTCTTACCAGCAACGGACGCTTCTGTCCAGGTATCGTCCAAAAGGAAACAATAGTGCGAGCCGACAAGGTGGATATGTAGGAAAGAACTATCGCCGCCTTGTGACTATTTCAGTCAAGCGCATGTGCGTCCTGTGCCGGTACCTGTCAACAGGTGCCCGCTCAGATCCTCATAAGGCGACTTTGTTAAATAACAATATCAACCGACCAGGTGGGAAAGTAAGATTTACATGCTATCAGTGTATATGTCAAGAGCCAATTTGTAAGAACTGTATGAAGCTATATCACGAGTTTGAATTGTACTGCGCGACATTGTAATTTGTTGGATTGGATCACATGAACTTGCGCGAAAGTGAACCCTAGACCTGAATTCGCGACCCGGACAGAATTACTCTTGGTCGCACTCCACTTCAATCTCGAGTTAGAACACTGGGCGACTTCCCGTGGACGTTTGGATGAAATTTAGAGTAATGGCAACGCTCCAGATCCAGAATCTGAATGGGGGGGGAGAGGGGGGTACGTTCAAATTTCTAAATCTTTAAAATTTGAACGGGCGAAATATGATTGGTTAAGAAAAGTTCCGGGTGGGTCCTGATGCTACGCACTAAACCAAAACAGTACCTAAAAATCTACTTGTGATCGGTTGCCTTCACAAATCCAAAGCTTCACACCAATACGAGTGTCACGTGATCAATAAAGATTCCGGCATCGCTAGTAGAAAGTATTGTTCGCCATGGGAAGGCATTCGCATCCAGATCCAGAAATCTATTTCCTAAACGCCTTCCAAACCTTCACGCCGTCGCCAAGTTACCTTTTACTCCACTGACAAAAACGGTCGACTTTCGACCCTTTGTTGAGCTCTAATTCTTTTTTGCATGAAGCTAAGCGGTGCGTCTAACTGTGTCTTGTTCTTTGCGATCCCGAACAGGGCCTTCCCTATCCCGAACGGAGCCATAAGCAAGCCATAGAATGAAGTAATTTCACGCGTGATGTATGCGCTAATCCATAGTTTGAACTTTAGGGTATCATACGAGACGAACGCTTTCGTGGCTAACTTCGTGAGAGATTCATTTATGGATTCTCCCTTTGCATGTCGAAACCAATTCTCAGCTGCGTAGTAGTAGAAGGGGAAGTGTTCAAAACGATTCCCAATCTTGGCGTTCGCAATAGGAATATCAAAGTTCTGAAAACCAAGATATGTGAGACAAATTTTAGATATCTCAAGATCCGCTTCCTCTTCCGCGATAAAGAATTGGCTAGCCCGTCCTTGACGCGTACGTTCAGACGTAAGATATTGCTGGACAGAGTAGTGGGAAAGTCCGATGTACCGGTCGGTAAGGCTCAATATGCCCCCACATATCGTGAGCAAGCTCATGGGATCGTTTAATCTCACATCTTCGTCCAAAGATTCTATTCCTTCTTCGATCACGATAGCTTCGGCTACTTCTTCGATAGTCATCGGGCGAACAGCAAAAATGATTAGTTTGAGGACTCGGCGCATTAACTTTATATCGTCTTCATTTTTGATGCCGAGTAAAATGCGTTCGTATGTCTCGTCAAGGTCTTGAGGAAGAGACTTCAAAGCCTCTCGAATAATCTTCGGTCTTCTAAGTTCTCGAATTATGTCAAGTTGGTGTTTAGCTAATCGAAACCTATACTATAATTAGAACTAATTTGGATCATAACACCTAAAAAGAAGAATTCAAAACTTGCATTCCTTTTGCCTGCTGGGCAAGAGTAGAAATGATATCATTCTTTAAATCTAATTGGAGATTTTTCAATTTGCAATCTTCCTCAATGCTTTTCGCAACAAAAAACTTGACGTCCGCAGCAACATCATCACTTCTTATGCGAACAGTGGGAATTGCGTGCTTTAAGAACATCTCCTCTAATTCGTACTCCTTTCGACTTGTGAACAGGAAGCTGCAAGAACACTGGGGATTTTTATATCCAAGCATGCGGTCTAGAGTCAATAATAATGTAGACCTTTCAATGCATTCGTCCAACGCATCCAAAATGACGAAAAGCCTCTTGAAGTGTGTTGATATTATCATCACAAGGAGTGACCATAACGCATCCGTATCACTGATAGATGGATCGTCGGTTCGTGTTCTAATTGCCTCCAGAGCTTCATGTTTTTTACGAAACATGACCACCTCTTTTGGAATCTCAGGGAGATTTTTCAATAGCTGGTATATTAGTGAACCGAGCATTCCGTCAGTAGTTTGTTTTCTGGCATCTTTGAAGTCGAAGTAGAAATAGATGATTGCCGTATCTGGGGAGGTGCCGTGCCGTGAAATCGTATGTTCGATTACAGTAGATCTATTGGGTGCCGTTAGCAATTTAATGGGGCAGAATGGCATAAAGCGAGTAACAATTTGTGGTTCTGTAGGTGTAGATCTACATAACTTACGTCAATATTGTTTTCCCTGATCCAACTGTAGACGGGGGTAATATTATTAACATTGATTTCAATCCCTTAGATTTCTACAGTTATGAACTTACGAATTCCGTGTAACCATAGGAATGATCCCGGTGTACTCTGCCATCGTTCAAAATCTCTTCCGTCAATAAACCATTTACCTGTTCCAGGTCGGTGAAGTTCATAAGCGGCACGATGGTTGGACGCGTAATTGATTTTTGAGAAAAAGCATAAATGGCCTTCGCGTCTTTTGCCTTGATTTACCCCAATTCTGCATAGTTAGAAAAGCCATAGCCGCATAAAACTGTATACAGACGAATTAAATATGTACATACCATCTAAGTCGGATTCTCTGTTTAACCTGCTTTGCTTTATCTCATTGCGGAGTTCCTTAAGGGCGCGATAAATGTTTTTGAGATGGCTCTTAATGGTCCGCTGTTCTTTATTTAATTTCTCGTGCGCGATCCTAATATATGTTTCCACCTCACTTGAGAGTGTCCTAGGTATTCCTTATTAATGGTTCCCAAATCTGATAAAATACGAAGAAGGAAAAGCCCACATTTGATCCGCATACAGCGCTATCTGAAGCATAGACTTAAGCCTCTCAATTCGCTTGATGCATTGTTCGATATTCCTAGCCCTCGAAAAGCCCAAAAAATATTTACCAAGACGGCTATTAAGGCTTTCGATTATCTCCCTCACGAGATTCACGATTTCCTTGCAAGATTCAAGGGGTCCCCCGGGTTTATCGAGAAGTCCTAACGCCAATAACCTGGGATGGTTATTTGTTGTTTGGAAGTCATCGAGCTGTGCTTTTAGAGCTAACAATATATCGTTTAATGTTACTAGCTCTTTGAGAAGCTCTCGAAACTCCTTGGGCGCGCTTCTCACAGCCCCCATATAGGCGCGGCCTTGTGTTATAATCTTCCCGGTCAGGTGAAGGATGCCCCCAACACTCGCGACAAGTCCCACCGCAGATACGACTTCTGCATGATGTTATCGAACTCTGAGGCGCGTATGAGAATGGCGATATCGTGTAGAGGAAGAGGTTGTTCAAGAAAATATACTTATAGGAGGTCTTATGGTATTTCCAGTCTACTACCTATATGAGCAAGGCTGTAAAATAGTAAAGTCTCGTCACAGCCTCCAAACAAGGAAATTTCCATAGCCAACCACGACCCCCCCCCCTTCTACGTGGCAGTGGCGGTGGCCTGCATGTCTTGGTCAAAATATCAATCAGCCAATGACTCAAATGTCTCCAGACTTACAAACCCTAATCAGCGAGTGATATTTCATGACGCTGCGCTCCCCCGCCATGGCCAACTTTACCACCCACACCAATTTGATACTCAAAAATCATTTTCCAACCGTACATCCTAGTTTACAGAATTTTCACCCACATACACATCCTCGTTAAACTACAATGTAGCCTTTCTAAACTTCAACGTTCCCCATTCACAACTATCTGCATCCGCATTAACCGGATTCAACTTCTCCCTGCCAACCTTCTGTATCACCTGCTTCGTATACGGCGCCGCCAAACCCTTATCCACTGCAAAATGCGCATACAGAATCTCATACGTCGGCCTCCACACGCCTCTATCAATCGTGCTAATCGCAGACCAGCTCGCCCCACACGCCGACACCGCCGCATCATATGGCATGCCGTCATTGCCCAAGTTGTACTTGGCCGTGTACTCGTATCCCAGCAGGAGACGGTTCGACAGCTTCCCCCAGAGGTCCTCGCCCTGGTTTTCCGAGATCTGCGACATCTCTGCCATGTTCCCGAGCGAGAGCTGGGTGTGGCCTTGGTCGCGCCCAGACTCGCAGTATTGCCCGGTGCTGGCAATCATGAAGGAGAGCTTCCCGCAGGCGTCAGAGTCGTAAAGAGTGAGGGCTTCGTTATAGAGGGATTCGTTGTTGAGGAAGACGCCGAAGGCCATAAACGCGCCTTCATAGATAGGGTTCCCCAGCCGCCGGAGCTGTAGTCCCGGACTGGTCAGCGGTCGAAAGCTCAGGTATAGCTGGAAAGAGTTGTCGGGAAAGAAAATTACTATGGATATGCTGAAGTAGACTTCGCATGCGCAGCAGGCGCGAAGATGTTCTGAATCATATTCGAGAACTTTGTGATATCTGCCGCCGCCCAGCCATTCCAATCATAACGCAAGATCTCGGCCGCATTAACCAGATGTGTACCCGTGATACTAGCACCCAATTGGATGTCGCTCCCGTTCATGATGGTCAGCGTGTTTGACCAGGTATTCAGGATGTCGCGGGACTTGGTCGCATATGCCGCATCGCGGGTGATGGAGTAGCGCAGGGCCAGATCGTATGCCGCACGGCAGTCCGAGATGAGCTCATAGAGGCCGACGAAGCCGATGGTGCTGTCGCGGGTCACGAAGCTCTTCGGGCCGTTGATGGTGTATGTAGACTGGGAGCGAGAGTTGGCGGCGAACTCGGTGTAGGCGGTGTACCAGGGCTCTTCTTGGGCATTGACTTTGGTGCGGATGCGCAGGAGATCGGCGGAGGAGTGGAAGATCCTATAGAAAGGGTAGTTAGTTTATTTATACTATACATTTTAGTGGGTGTTGGGGAAGTGATACGAACCCGGGGTGGGTAAAGGTTCGACGCTTTTGATGCTGGACTGTGGCGCTGGAGGCTAGGGCACTGAGGCCCAAGAGAAGAACTGCTATGCTGAGAAACTGGCTTTTGAAAAACATTGCGGAGGCCCGGTGGTCTGGGAGGATGTTATCGAATGTGAGGGAAAAAATATTTTAGATTTTACCTCATTATATATCTATCAAGTGGTACCTAAAACTCACGATGATAATACAGCCAAAACGAGCATACTCAAAGTATCTCGAGCGGTAAGTCCCCGGAGATTAAGCCGTAGTGTTCGGTTACCATTTGGATAGAAACATTAAGACTTTCACACGTCTAAGCATCTTAAATGTATGATACTACTAATCTTAAAAGTGGAGAAGGGGTCTTATAGGTTTCATCGAAGTCCTAGCAGTTTAACTAATATAGTGGCACGTTTCTGGGAGAAGCGAACCCACTATCCTAGTTCATGTCACCGAGGTCAATGTATGTGTTTTTTTTTTACAAAGGGGGGGAAATTGTATCTGAATATTACTTGTATGTAGACTGTATTTAGTAACATTTGTGCCAGAGCTCTAAGCTTTTATATCTGCCAAATAATCCGATCTATTCTTTAGAGTACTATTGTATATCATAATATCGACCTCTCTAGAAATATGATTTTGATATTAAAGTATTAATCATTAGGTCGGGCAGGTAGTAAAGTATAACGATCAAATAATTACATGTATAAGGCAGACACCCTGAGAACGGAAGTACCCGTTCCGGACCCGGTGGCAGCAACCGAAATATAAGGCTGATTATATTAGTCCCTAATTGTTAGATTTAGAAGCCTAGTCAAGTACTCCTACAATCGTGTGGGGTGTTCTGGTACGTCGGCTTTGTCTAGGACACAGCGGTAGATAAGTAATCCTGTAGATCATTCCCCTATCATTTCGGGTACCTCCATCCCTAGCATTAACAAACATCAACTTCCAGAAACCTACGATACGTGGGGTTCGGTTCGGACTCCCCCGACGCGCTATCGTCCGAAGATTCCCCCGTTGCCTCATGCACCCTGCACTGATCGGTTTTCGGACCGGCGGTCCCGGTGGAGTGGTTAAGCTTTGTGCATGGGGCCAGGTACAAACGCTCACATGGCGGAATTGATTAGCCCAGAAATCCGATTTTTTAACCCACTCTGATCTGCTGTTCTATGCTATGCTGTAACGAACCAATAAGTCAATCAAAGTCCTATGCTGGTGTGTGTGTGTGTGTGTGTGTGTGTGTGTGAAGTCGTTTGAATTGTTTCTAGGTATAATCATTGCATAAAGTATAAACTATGGCGTAAATACCTATCCCCAATGCCAGATCCCCCAGTTATAGTAACTATGGTATGCTACTAACCGCACTCCTCTTATAAGGTTGATGACTAAGGAACCCCCACCTAAGAAAAAAAAGAAAATTCCGGATAACACAAAGGAAAGTAGCATAGCCAAGGAAAAATAAACAGGACCCAGAGGCCAGGATCCCAGTACCCAAACTGCAGCCTGAATGGGGGGTAGAAGGTTTGCCGGCGATGGCGTGAAGAGAGGTGCTGGTGGTCTTTGGGAGGTGACTCGGACCTTCGAGCTCGATATCCAATGAGTGTGTGGAAAAGGGCCCTCCCAGGAGAGGACCCAATTTGACCAGCTTCAGTCAAGGAGAGGTCGTGGATTGTGTAGTTGGGACAAGTCTTGGTAATTGAAGCTAAAGTAAAGTCTGTGGTGAGGAGTGTACTTTATGAACTCTTGGCGGAGTTGAGAAGGGGATTGACAAGGACAAGAGGGATGACTATGCTGGAGGTGTGGTCGAGTGATAGTATATGAGTCATGATCTTGTAATTTGAGTTAACGTGATAGCGGATCACCTTTCTTTTTATATATCAAACTTAAAATTTAAATAGTTAATACATGTAGTTGGTTCTGGATCTCAGTAATAGTACGGATTATAGAAACGATCTTCGTATGGACAAACTTACTATATGTATATACTACTAACCAGCAGAGATTTTGTCACAACAATGACACGCTCTGTCTATGAAGTCTAAACCGTCGACCTCTTGTATTAACAACCTCGTCGTGAGTACAGTCCTAGACCGTAATCTATTACCATGTGGGGAGCTAGTGGGGCATTTCACGTGACACGAGCGATACGCGATAACAAAACCCACCAAGCAAGCATCACAAACTACCGGCGTATTCCCACCCACCATGTTTCTCGCCCGCCAACTACCCGTACGACGTAGCCTTGCAACACCCGCAATCGCATTCCCCTTCCTCGGCCGCCGCCTCGTTGGTAGCTCGGTGTCGGCGGAAGACGAAGAACAGATTTCGCAGGCACGGAAATGGTTGGCCTCATTCACACCAGAGAATATCCCAAGGAAGTACTGCGAAGTCACGTTTTCGCGCGCGTCGGGGCCCGGTAAGTAATTTAGGATTAGAAATCCAGCTATTGGTAGTGTTGAATTGGTGCTGATTCAAAGCGGGTGTGTGAAAGGGGGGCAGAATGTTAACAAGTATTACTACTCTATTTGCGATATCTAATGAGCGAACCAAGAAGGGACGCTCTAGTGTATAGAAGTCGTTAACGAGCACTGTGACTCAGGGTAAACACTAAAGCGACGCTCCGCCTCGATCTGGGATTACATGGCTACTTCATCAACCCCTATATCCTCCAGAAAGTCCGAGAGAACGTATGTAGCTACACTCGCGCCTCTGCGTTTGGTGCCATAGCACACAGTAACAGCTGCCTATGTAGTCAAGCTACGTGACCAAGCACGACGAAATTGTCATTCAATGTGACACCCATCGGAACCAAGCCAAGAACACGGAGGAGTGTTTCCAAAGGCTCCATGCCGCAATTGCGAATGCTGCGCAGCTGCGGGGGGAGACTACTGAGGAGACGATGAAGAACGTGGAGAGAATGTAAGTAATTTCCTCCGGGGCGCGCGCTGGGGAAGTAAGTAGGCTTACGGGTTTCGTGAGATGTAGTGAAAAGAAGAATAAGGAAAAGAGGTTGCAGGCGAAGAAGATGCACAGTAGTAAGAAGAGCGCTAGAAAGGGTGCGCGGGATGATTGATTGATGAGATTCCTATTTTATCTTTTATCTTCCAGAATTATAAGTGCACAGCGTGCTGTGCCATGAGCTTTTGGGGGTGAACATAATACAGGTTTTGGGCACAGTCGAAAATTCGGGTCAAAGGCAAACTGGAAAGTTAACAGGCTGTCACTTTGGTTGCTCGATGGAATGCAGCCAAATTTATTATTATGAGAGTTTAATCCCACCGTACTTGCAGGAAACAAAAAGAAGAAAACCAGGAAAGCAAATTGCCTGTGAAAGAGTTCGACTTTAAATCCAGCTATATTGCTAGTAGCATGTAGTAATATTAAATAGGTAACGCGGTAATTTCCTGATAATATAGCACTCAAGTGATTGTATCATGGATCCGGGTCGCAGGTATGAGTTAAAACCTTCTACAGTGTATTTAGTAATATGTGTGATCTAGCCGATCATACAAGCCCAAGCGCCGTTTATCATGTGCTATCACTCGACACATTTCATATCATCTTGGATAGAAACCACATCCATAACCGGAAACATCTTTGGTCGCAAAGTTTAGGGTACGAAACCGGTAGAGGTTGCTACCAAGACAAGTTGGTTTTAAGGATTAAGGAACTACATTGTTGATTTCCCGGACCTATCTGTACAGTATAGTAGTAAAACACCCCCCCAACCCTAGAGTTGGAGGTGCCCGAACCAAATGCGTTCCCACCGCTCTATTTGTTCTTCGACATCTTATACTGGAATGGTTTCCGCGTCCTACGTCCGTTAGTAAAATCGTACAGTCCCACCACCAGTAGAAAACTTACTGCGAAAACTCTCCCAGCTTATGTCCCACCATATCCTCGGTGATCGTGAACTCGTTGTACGTCTTCCCATTGTGCACTTGAAACCTATGACCTACAAAGTGCGGCACAATCGTACAACTTCTCGCTTGGGTTTGGATCGCCGGCATACGTTCGCCCGGTTTTGGCGCCGTCATAGGGACTGGTAACCTATCAATCTCCCAATCGCAATTAGCAGCCGGTGGAGGAAACTTGTAGTGACCGGGCGGGGATGTAGCTACTGAACGACGAATGGACCTATTCACAACCATTAGCAAGCACTTCACGCGAGAGAAAGGCGTCGAACTTACCCTTCCAGACTGAGCGCTTGAAGAGAGCTCGTGTTGGAAACATTGTGGCGTTGTGATTTGGTCTACGGAGGTGAGTTTAAGGTTTTTAGTCCCCGGCTTATCGCCAGAAAGTATTTCTGGAATTGCCAAGATCCCGGGGTTAGGGGAATTTCCAGGGTTAGGGTTATGGCACTGGGTTGATGATTGCCACAATCTCACCTTCCTTAGAAGAAACTACACTATTAGGTTGATGAATCAAAGAAATACCTGATGATGGTCGTTTGTCATAGTTTGTCACTCGACCTTTTGAATGCGGGTGTCGAGACTTATTCTTATCCATATAAAACTTGGCATACCCTACATACATGATGTATATACTATGACCGCGTGCCTGTACTGTAGTGATACTTACCCATAAATTCAATACTAATAATATTTTTATACATGGCTCGGAAGCCTACCTACAGCAATGTACGTTTAACATCCTCTGTTGCCTCACGTAGTGTAGGTCCTTACAAATGACTATATGTACCCATTCTATCACAGTAGGTACATACTACGGTAGCAAGCTACATGTATCTACATATTCATTTGATCCCGTGAAAATACTATCTTTTCATTGGTAAAAAGTCTTATCTGGTTCTAAGATTAGAGCGTATTTATTAGGTGTCAATCCGAAAATTGACACTTTAAAAATGACAGTTTCGGAAGACAAAATTGACAGTTCCCCTCAGTAACCTAATTAACCTAATTAACCACACCAGGAAGGTATGATGGGGGAAACTGGGTAGATAAATAATTTTTCACGCTTACTGTGAAATACGCAGGCGGGATATATACTGCACTCCTACATCCCCACCTTGGAAAATTGACAGTTTCGGCAACCACTTTTTAATGTGGCGAAGTGTCAATTTTCGGATTTGACACCTAATAAATACGCTCTATTGCGGTTGTGTTATGTGGCTTTAGCCTGCATTCAAAATTAAAAACGGACCGGGTAACCGTTATCTATCAAGGCGGGGCACCTGCTGCTTTGTTTACGCTCGTGGTCTTGGCAGCCCCTCCATGAAAGTCAAAATATTACCCGCATCCCATCTCCTATATAAACGTCACCAACTCGCCTCCCCTATACGATAGCAATTTTTTCTACAAAGTGCTACAATCATTCACAAAAATGACTGAAGAGGCAAAGAAATTAGTTAACGCTGCGGCGGAACTCACGGTCTCAGAGAGCACCGCTTCTAGTCAGTGATCCCTCATGACTCATTTTTCAATCTTGAAAAACAACGCCCTTTTCCCTCTTTAATATTCTTAAGGATTTTCACTAATATTAGATTTCTATAGTTTATGTTGATGAGGATACCGGTGTCGATTCTGCCGACACCCCCGGTACTCCAGACAAGCCATTCAAATCCCTCATTGGTGCTCTAACACACACCTACAAGTCCCACCCAGATGCCAAATTTCAAGTCCGCAAGTCAGAGTCAGGACCTGATGACGAAACACGCAAAGAGTACAAGCCTGCTGCTAAGGCTGCGATGAAAAAGGTCGCCAACATGCACGCTGCCAACTTGAAAAAAGCTGCCAAGCAAGCTGAGATCAATGCAAAGGAGGCCGAGGCCAGGGCTTCAAAGGAGGCGGCATTGGAAGAAGCCAAGAAGATTGTTTTGACCGAGGATTCATCTCTACCTGCTGCAGTCAACATCAAAATCAGGGGCAGTGTTGCAAGCCGTGGCAAAAGAGTCAAGGTTTCGGGGTGGGTCCACAGATTGAGACATCAAAGCAAGCTCATTTTCATCACCTTGCGTGACGGAACTGGGTATCTTCAATGCATTTTGGCCGATGACCTGACAAAGACATATGATGCGCTGACCTTGACTGTTGAATCAACAATCACTATCTATGGCGTTATATCCCCTGTCCCTGAAGGCTCGCATGCGCCTGATGGCCACGAGCTGCATGCGGACTACTTCAAGGTCGTTGGAAAGGCTCCAGGTGGTGACGAGACCATCACCAACATTGTCGCCAAGGACGCAGACCCTCAGACAAAGTATGACAACAGACATCTGGTCATTCGTGGAGAACAGGCTAGTGCGGTATTGAAAGTTCGAGCAGGTGTTTTGAGGGCATTCCGGAAGACCTACGAGGACCTTGGAATGCTCGAGGTGACCCCTCCTTGCATGGTACAAACACAGGTCGAAGGAGGAAGCACTCTTTTTGAATTCAACTACTACGGCGAAAAGGCATATCTAACCCAGTCTTCCCAATTGTACCTTGAGACTTGTCTGCCCTCACTCGGGGATGTCTTCTGTATCCAGGAGTCCTTCCGGGCTGAAAAATCATTGACTCGTCGTCATTTATCAGAATACACCCACATCGAGGCTGAGCTTGGCTTCATTAGTTTTGACGATCTTCTTAGCAACCTTGAGGAGACAATCTGCCGCACCATCGACTATGCCTTGGCAGATCCACTCATCTCTGAACTTATCAAGGAGCTCAACCCCAAATTCAAGGCTCCTGCTCGCCCATTCTTGCGCATGACCTACGCAGATGCTATTGAGTGGTTGAAGAAACACGATATCCCCAACGAAGAGGGTAAACCCCATGAGTTTGGTGATGACATTGCTGAGGCTGCGGAGAGGAAGATGACGGACGAAATTAATCTACCAATCTTCTTGACAAAGTTCCCCGTTGAAATCAAGGCTTTCTACATGAAGAAGGACCCTGAAGACCCTAGGGTTACCGAGAGTGTCGACTGCCTCATGCCCGGAGTTGGTGAGATTGTTGGAGGAAGTATGAGGATGGATGGAATGGAAGAGTTGCTCGCGGGATATGCCAGAGAGGGCATTTCACCCGACCCATACTACTGGTTTACAGATCAGAGAAAGTAAGTTTTTCTTTTTTCTTTTTTCTTTTTTTTTGGTAGTGTCATTACCTTACTAACTCAAAACTCTAGATACGGAACGACTCCTCATGGTGGATACGGGCTTGGCCTTGAGAGATTCCTCGCTTGGATGTGCGACCGTTACACTGTTCGTGACTGCTCATTATATCCTCGATGGACCGGTCGTTGCACTCCATAAGCAATAACTTGTTACTAGAGGAGTTAGGCTTTTTAGATTTCCCTTTGTAACTGTTTTCCAGCATCATTTCCCACTTTTCACATAATCTTTCGATAAATTGTAGGTGCGGTCGGTGGCCAGCGATATCCTCCTTTCTCCTGTACTTTCGTGTCCATTCCCTAGAGTCTGATTTTCAGACCTAAATCCCGTGATTTCAATAAATATGGGTTTCAAGTAGAGTTCTTTACCTGGGCCTTCGCTTCTAGCTGAACATAGCCCCCAGGATGTTGAAATTATTGAATGCGATCCTGGGAGAAGTGTCCTACTTGTCATGGGATGGTCATATTTGTCAGAGGCCGCGGCATATATGTTAACGTGCAGTCATGTTTTGAGTCTCCCCGGTATAAAGATTTGTGTATAAAAGGATCATTAAATAACCTCTATTGGTTAGGTAAGTCGAGTGACAAACTATGGCCAACAACCCGGGGAAATTTAAACGCGGTAGTTTGGATTAGGCTATTCCAATTCAGTAAAATCACAAGTGAAAAAGAAAAGCCCTAGATGTCTCAGCCCTAAGTGTACCCAAAAATACATGTAGCCTGCACCTATAGCTAGCCTACACCATCATGTACAATGAGTGAAACCAATCTTTTAGTGGTATTTATAATTAGATGGCCATGCTAATGGTAGCACTGTGGCAGCGAGGTTTTAGCAGTCATGAAGAATCAGGTCACTATTATAGAGCTCAAGGATCAAATATTACAATGCCTTGGTATGTTGTTTGGATTCGGCTCAAAATTGCAATCCGAATCCAGACAACACCCTAATATCATGACATTCAGCCGAATATCGTAAATGATATTCGACTCTCCCCGCCAACAACCGTGAGGGTCGTTAGCACCAAACTAAAATACTCAAGGCCGCCTTACATGCATTAGAGACCTTGCATATTATTAAATTAATACCCGTAGTTACAGAATAATTCTAAGGATTAGTATATATTCTAAGTATTTGACGGCGTATTCTTAAGCCCAGAATTCAAAAGCGATATATATATAATACGCATCTTACATACGTGTACTGGAGTCTTGGGTATTTTAATTTAGTGTTAACGGCTCTCTCACGGTTTAGAGCGGAACGGATTTCAGTAGGTTTTGTCCTGTCCTACGTGATTCTCGGAAGACAAAGCTCAGACTCTGAAGATAGAGAACAGGCTCAATTAAACCGTGATAATAAGGTGATAATCAAAAACAAGAGAAGAGTCGAGACACGAAGAAACTAAGGCTACTAGTAGCTACATCGAACACAGTTTCTTGTCGTAACCTGTGCTGGACTGCATTCCATCTCGTCTTCGGACACTAGCCGCTTTGCCTGTGCTGGTAAAAGACTCTACTAAAAATTCTCGCTGTATATTTATTCTTGTGCTATTATCTAGTAACCACTTTTCGCAGTTTTTCAGAGCGGAGTATTACATTGTAGGTACAATGTCGAAGGATAAGTGGTAGATATATGCAAGTACAGTACGATGCCAGCCGTGAGGGTCAGGCGCAGCGTCGCAACGCCCCCCGAACAATCACGGGTACCAGCACAGCAACCACAATTGATCCTTTGGAGAGCTGAATTTTTGTATAGTTGTTAAATAGTAGATAAATAACAATAATTTGACATTTAATATCTTGTGTACCAACCTGCCGTGAAAAGGTTGTGGAAATCTGGTTGCGCGCGCGGCGTTGCGACGCCGCGCCTGACCCTCACGGCTGGCATCTTACTGTACATATAATCAAGCAAGGACTGCTCTCGGACCCAAATGTACAGAGTTTGGTAGAATTATTGCGAAAGTCAGAACTAAAAGAGTGGGCTTCTTGGTCCGTGCTCACTGCAGAAATTTCTTTAATGGCCAATAGAACTATCGGGTCACGGAAAACCCACTTTCGCAATAATTCTACCAGACTCTGTAGTGACTAATGATGACGAGAAGAAAGAAAGGATTTATGTAAGAAGGACGGAATAAATACTAGATACATATTATGACCATTGTGTCTTGGTTCTGCGTGACCAAATACAGTCGCCTCTCGATAGAAGGATACTTTCGGGACCGAAGATCTGTATTGAATATATTCTACGGGCAAAAGTGTTTCGGGACCGCTGATTGCTATCCTTATCCTTATCCATAACAGTACTGTGCATACGCCAAGACTATATTCCCTGTCGTATTTCTGCTTACATAAGTCAATTCCCCACAGTGGGACTCAAGACGAAAAAAAAAACCCTTTTCGTTTCGCGACAACTCCAGTGCTCACGAAGACGTCCCTGCACGTCTACCTTAACATCCACAGTACAGTTGGCCTGTAACCTGAGGAATAACCAATTATGCAGCTTGTAAGATCAAAGATCCCTTTTTTTCTTTAGATATCACAATTGCCATGCCTTTTGACTAACTATATTTCCTTCTCAGACTTGGAAGTCAATCGCTACTGTGCCTACCTCACAGGAGTTCCTGGACATCGTCTTGTCTAGGACTCAGAGGAGGTTGCCTACTCAAATTCGCGCGGGCTTTGCCATCAGTCGTATCAGAGGTTAGTTTTATATTCGCACCTCCCAGTACTATCGCTTTGCTAAGTGGCGGAACAATAGCCTTCTACCTTCGTAAGGTTAAGTTCACCGAGCAAACTTTTTCTGAGAAGCTTGGTGCCATCCTGGAGTCCTTCCCTAGGCTCCAGGATATTCACCCGTTCCACAGCGCTCTCATGAATACACTTTATGATGCAGACCACTTCCGCATCGCTCTTGGTCAGCTTTCGACCGCCAAACACTTGATTGAGCAGGTCGCTCGTGATTATGTCCGTTTAATCAAGTATGCTCAGTCGCTATTTCAGTGCAAGCAGCTAAAGCGTGCCGCACTCGGCCGTATGGCCACCATTACCCGTCGTCTCAAGGGATCCCTTGAATACCTCGAGCAGGTCCGACAGCATCTTGGTCGTCTTCCGTCCATTGATCCCAACACCCGAACTTTACTCATTTGTGGATATCCCAATGTTGGAAAATCTTCATTTTTGAAGTCGGTCACTAGGGCCGATGTTGATGTCCAGCCCTATGCATTCACCACTAAATCTCTTTACGTTGGTCACTTTGATTACAAGTACCTTCGTTTCCAGGCAATTGACACCCCCGGTATTCTCGACCACCCACTTGAGGAGATGAACACCATTGAGATGCAGTCCATCACTGCCATCGCGCATCTGCGGTCCGCTGTCCTCTACTTTGTAGATCTGTCCGAGCAGTGTGGATACACTATTGAAGCTCAAGTACAGCTCTTCCACTCAATTAAGCCTCTTTTCGCCAACAAGATCGTTTTCCTTGTCGTCAATAAGATCGATGTTACTCGCCCTGAAGATCTCGAACCCAGCCGACAGGCTCTCCTTGAGACAATAACCAAATCTGGAGAGGTTGAAATGCTCAAGCTCTCTTGTCACACCGAAGAGGGCGTCATGGAAGTCCGTAACCAGGCTTGCGAACGACTTCTTGCCGTGCGTGTTGAGCAGAAGCTCAAGAACGCTGCTAGTGGCGCTGCAGGAAAGGAGGTTACTGATATCCTCAACCGTATCCACGTTTCACGCCCTATTGGAGGTGTATTGAGGGAGGCGTTCATTCCCGATGCAGTTCTGTCCAAGAAGAAGTACGATAAAGATGATCCAAACCGACCTAAGCTCGAGCGCGATATCGAAGCCGAGGAAGGTGGTGCTGGTGTCTATAATGTCAACCTCAAAAAGAACTACATCCTCGAGAATCCTGACTGGAAGTTTGACAAAATCCCTGAAATCTACGATGGGCGTAACGTTTACGACTTTATCGATCCTGATATTGAGACAAAGCTTGCCGAGCTTGAGGCCGAAGAGGAACGTCTACAAGAATCTGGGTTCTATGACGAGGATGAGGATATCGAAGATGAGGAGGATGCTGAGATTCGTACCAAGGCCGACTACATCCGTGAACAGCGTACACTTATTCGTAACGCCGCTCGCTCCAAGAAGTCGCTCAAGAATCGCGCCATTATTCCTCGTACCAAGGGACAAGGAAAGAAGCTTTCCGAGATGGAGGAACACATCGGTGGAAAGCTTGGTTTCGACACAAGTGGAATTGCTGCTCGCGCTCGATCAAAATCACGTGGTCGCCGTGGTGACGAAATGGAGGTTGACGATGGCCCACAAGCAACCAAGGCCAGAAATATCGAGAGGGCAAAGTCCAGGGCTAGAAGCACAAATAGGAGAGAGGATGGTGTTACAAATGAGGGTGCTAGGAGTACGGCCGAGAAGTTAATGAAGCTGAACCAGAAGAGAATGAACAGAATGGCAAGACAGGGTGAGTCTGATAGACATACTACTGCGAGTATGCCTAAATGGTTGGTTGCTGGAAAGAGAGGGATGGGAAAGACGGATCGGAGATAATTGGATTGTGGAGGTGCGGATTGGCCAGTCTGTCAAATTACATACAAAATGGGGGTTTCTCTTTTCTCTTGTCTTTTTTTCTACGGTTGCTTTTACGATACAAGTTATGATTTTTTTACATTTCTGTTGGGGGGGATGCTTGTATGCTAGGAATTCTTAAAAGTAAATGGGTCTTTAAAATCTATTCCGTGGCCCTGACATATTGCCTCATCAATCCGCGCAGTAAAGCTTAAGCTCGGTGAGTGAGCTCGGTGAGTGATCCTTTGAACTTAATGTAAGGTTACATGTACTTTGCCATATTCCTCAGTTGTTTGATCGAAAAAGTCTAAAACGACACGATTTGCTCCACAATAACACATGGTGCAAAACGACACAGTTTTTAAAACCGTACTGGCGTATTCATGTACCCACGAACTGTTTAAGCTAAAACAATGGCTCTCAAAATTCCGTCAGTAACGGCTTACTATATAGGCTATGGCCAAATAGCGTATATGATCAATAGTTCATTCAACAGCTCGATCACACCTTTTTCTTTTGGATCATAGAAAACTGTTCCCTTAGGCGGTCAGTCCAAATCGAAATCGTGACCGAACCAGATATGGCTGGGTGCGCTCAGTTGAACGTAATTACTGTTCATTCTCTCCCTGTCTCTAGTGGAAAAGGTGGGGCATTCTAGCGTGTAAGAAACTCGAGGACAGAACAAATAGGAGCTGCGTTTATCAGAGCATAACTACTATATCTAGTTCGGTCACGATTTCGATTTGGACTGACCGCCTAAGGGGTAGAGCACGTGTCTAAAACTGCGTCATTTTAGACCCTTTGCAGTGATTAATTTACTGAGCTCTCGGAAACGTTTTGATCGTAAGATGGGTTAGTTCTTGAATGGGGCATTTGACTATTGAAATAGCTATTGGAAGCTCTTATAGACACTATTCATATCAAAGCCCCGACAATTCCAACAAATAATTGTTATAAATCATATAATCTTTTAATTCTACATCATCGAGTGATATTTTGTGATAGTGATTTGCGGCTCTGCTTACTCATCGCACCGAAACTTTTCAGGGCCGTTGCTCCAAAACCTCCCCGCTACACACCCCACACGACGCCCCTCTAAGCACGGTAATATCAACACCACAACAACAATATCAGCAGCAGATAAATTACATCTGTTCTAATATCTAAACTCATCAGTTTACGCAGTCATGTCGCTGCAGATCCCATCCGCTCCTGGTAGCGGGCTATTCAAGTCTGGTTATCAATCGTGAGTTCCCCTGGTCGTTACCGTGGGATTGAACTGACGTAGGTGTTATTTAAAGATACGCGAGCGAAGATGGTGCTGTCATTCGAAACATCGACGCTTGCAGCACTATTGCCTCCACAGTGTTGACCTCCTTAGGGCCTTTCGGTCGTAATAAAATTATCATCAACCATCTCCAGAAGATGATCCTCACGTCGGACGCTGCTACCATTTTGCGGGAGCTGGAGGTTGTGCACCCGGCCGCAAAGCTGGTTGTTATGGCGAGTCAACAGCAAGAGGCTGAGGTGAGGATTCATTCCGAGGAATGGTGTTTGCAGTTGGCTAATGGGTTGTTTGGTAGATGGGAGATGCTACCAACTTGGTGATCGTGTTGGCGGGAGAGATGTTAAAAATGGCCGAAGGATTGATTAGGATCGGCTTACATCCCTCGGAGATTGTCAATGGTTACGAGAAAGCTGGAGAGTTTGCTTTGAAGGCTCTTGAAGGTAATAAAACACCCATCCAATCGCCGCGTTCTTGTTGCGCTAACCTTTTACCTTTGCCCAGAGCTTTCCGTCGACAAGATCTCCGATATTCGCTCGCTAGAAGAGCTCAGCAAAGCTATCAAGACTGTCATTTCCTCGAAACAATATGGCAACGAAGATCTCCTTGCGCCTCTCGTTGCTGAAGCTGTGCTTGCAGTCCTCCCCAAGAATCCTGTGAACTTTAATGTCGATAACATCCGCGTTGTTAAGATTATGGGATCTTCTCTCCCACAAAGCCGTGTCGTCAGGGGGATGGTTTTCCCAAGATCGCCGGAAGGCACCATTAAGAAAGCTCTCAAGGCGAAGGTCGGTGTCTACTCTTGCCCAATTGATATCTCACAAACCGAGACAAAGGGCACCGTCTTGCTACACAATGCCAAGGAGATGCTTGATTTCACAAAGGGCGAAGAGAACTCTTTAGAAGCTATCATTAAGGAGATTCATGATTCTGGTGTAAGAGTGGTCGTATCTGGATCTACACTTGGCGAGCTGGCGCTGCATTACCTCAACCGCTACAACATTCTTGTTATCAAGATTCTGAGCAAGTACGAACTGAGAAGATTGTGTAGAGTTGTCGGCGCTACCCCCCTGGCGAGGTTGGGCGCGCCAATGCCTGATGAGATGGGAAGCGTAGATGTCGTTGAGACCGAGGAAATTGGTGGAGACCGGGTTACTGTATTCAGACAAGGTTAGTCTTACTGTCGTTACTAGATTTGAACATTTCTGATGATCAGCAGAGGATGAAACTACCAGGACAGCTACTATTGTTATCCGTGGTGCCACCCAGAACCATCTCGATGACGTTGAGCGAGCTGTCGACGACGGCGTCAATGTTGTCAAGGCTATCACCCGAGACCCTCGTCTTGTTCCTGGTGCTGGAGCAACTGAGATGCAGCTGATTGAGCGAATCGTTGCTTATGGCGAGAAAACACCTGGTCTATTGCAGCATGCTATCAAGAAGTATGGTGAGGCATTTGAGGTTATTCCTCGTACCCTTGCGGAAAGCGCTGGGCTCGATGCCACCGAGGTTCTTAGTAGGCTGTATGCTGCCCACCATAAGAGAGATAACTGGAATACCGGTGTCGACATTGAGGTATGAACTCACTTATATTTCCTCACATATAAACAAGTTATTGATGTTTTCGATTATAGGACGAGAAAGGAACTGGGTTAGTTGATGCCAAAGAGAAGGGTATCTTGGACCTCCTCGTTGCTAAAAGTTGGGCTATCAAACTGGCGACCGAAGCTGCACGTACCGTACTCTCGGTTGACCAAATCATCGTGGCGAGGCAGGCTGGTGGACCCAAGCCGCCAGCACCTAACCCAAATTGGGACGAGGATTAGGTTTAGCAAAATGGTAAATATTTAAAGGCTTTTCTAGAGCGGTTGAAAATGAGATTACGAATTCCGATACCAGTAACAAGCTTGCATAAGTTTGTACAATAGAAAGGCCTAACTCTGAGTCAAGATTGACGTCAAGGGACTAACTATATTTTTAAAAGCCTGAGGTGATTGAGTAATATTATTTCAATTTAATTTTTACATAACGTAAAGCAAAGTATTTACTTCTATATTCCATAAGCTACTAAACTAAGTTCAACATTGCCATTGCTTGACCTACACGGGATTCCATAGGTCGGCATAAGCTCTCTCATGTCTAGCCTGTGCTTCAACCTCGACTTCTTTATCATTCTCACTCTCATTCATCGATACCCTTGCCAACAGCCTTTTTGCCTTTTCCATAAGCTCGGGAAAACTCCCATCTTCTTCTACGATTGTATCAACCTCCATCTCAGTAGTGTCCTCCCTCGTGTCATCTTCCATGTGATAATCCCCTTCCCTTCCATTTCTTACTTCGATATGATCGCTCCCCTCCATCTGTGAATCCTGGTGCTCAAAGTTGCCATTCACTCCATTTAGAGACTCTATCTGTGACAACACTGCCGTTCTTCGAGCTTCATCAGAGTTCTGCGACTCCCGCACTTGTTCGATTTCGGCGCCTAGCTCCTTGATACGCGCTAGCGAGCTCTTGGCTTGTGCCATTAGGGCATCGTAGCTCTTCTCTTCGGCGGCGATGTCGGCTGCAAAGGTGCTTGGGGCGGGGTCGTGGTGGGTCTGAGAGTTTGGGGCCATTGAGTTGCTACTGTTGCTGTAGGATGTAGAGTGCGGGAAGGCTGGTGAGGAGTCCATAGCGGGAGGAGGAGGAGGGGTTTGGGAGGGGCAGTTTAGTAGTAGCTGGGGAGAGAGATAAGACTTCAGTGAGTGGAAGTAGGTATGTTAAGGTCGCTTGTGGTTGTTGACAAAGCTATCTACCTATCTGCCCTTTGGTGTAGCAGTAGTAGAAGCTTACTGGGTAGATCATCTGCTTCGCTGGCTGGAATGGGGTGGTATGTGTTCTCTGATTGGAGGATGTCGGTAGCCGTGCAGAAACAAACAACACGGAACACAAAATCGAAACATGAAAAAGGGTACGAGGTCTCAGCTCTGGTTCTGAATGACGCATAGCGCTAGGTTGAGGAGGATACAATTGCTTGTGGTCCGGGCGGTCATTGACCTGTTATGTTAATTATCCGCTGTTTGCTCAATTTGAAGGTTATTGGCAGGCTTATGCGGCCAATTGGGTTTAAACATGCGCGGTTTGAGAGGTTTCGAGTGAGATGTGGTGATTAAATGGTGGTAGGGTGATGCATGATAACTCTTGGGTCTCTTTTGGTCTTTCCTGTGGGGATACAATCGAACAAGACAGATATTGGAATGTGGATACAGAGTTTTGGGGACCGTATTTGTTGCTCCGGTCGTCTTACGGATATCTCTCACGGTTTCAGCCCTGTCTCCGGTCTTACCAGATACCATGCCTGGCTGACTGTATTCTCTCTGGTACCATCATTATTAAACATCAAACTCAGAACGGCCCCTAGATCTTTGGTCTGTATCTAGAATTTCTTTTTCCTATAGGGACATATATCTAATTTGGAATTACTCGATGTTTTTGAAGAAAAAAAAAACAATGGAATCGTCAATTGCAATTTTCGAGGCATGTAGGGCAACTCGGCCATAGACCGATATGAATTCATAATATAGGCTGTAACTAACCATCCATAAGTACTCACCATCGTTAATATCTTTGACGGGTCAGTGGGGTACCCTAGTACCAAGCCATGCGATTGAACTCTGATATCAGGTAGACATCCATTTTGAGACATTCATGCATTGTTGGTCTTTCGCCGGTCCTACATATATTTACTTTACTCTCACTTATTATACCAGAACTGCATTCATCTGTCCCAATACTCCTACACCGCTAGAACCGACAACTAACCTACATGTATACTGTTAATGCGTTCCACCGGCAAGCCATCAACAACGAAAACTGCTCTGGCATGTAGATTTGTAGTTGCCAAGCTATTTCATCTCCGCTGGTTGAAGTGAAATATTATTGTCAATTACCAGGGTTAGGGTTTTATGTAGTTAGTAGGCACATATATATATCAATTATCAAACCATGCCGCCAGATTTATAATGCCGACCTTTTTGGCACCACCAAATAGATAGTAAGACCGGCGTTAACTATCGGGCCGCATGATAATGTTCCACCACAGCCCCGCCGGACCGGCGCAGGCTAAGCTGCGTGTTATGGATGATGATTATTTAATGCGGACGTTGCAGTCTACCCCACTCACCTACCTCCATCCAACGTACTCTCAATTGCAACATCACCATTTTCTGTAAGCTAACCCGCAAAAATGACAATTACACACATCGTTATGCTTAAGTACCCTGAAGGTACTTCCGAGGCTACTATCAAGCAGGTATGTACGTGATGAAAACTGCAGCTGTGTGTCGTGTTAGCTAATTGTGCCGTTGATGCAGACTCTCGATGATGCAATCGCCTTGAAATCGACTTGTCTCCATCCTAAGACTGGAAAACCATATATGCTCTCTGTAAAAGCAGGGCGTGACAATTCGCCCGAGGGTATACAGGTATGCTATTTTGCCGGTTTTCTTTACTTTTTTTGTTTGCGGCTAGCTAGCTTGGGTTGAGCTGATTGGAACTAGAATGGGTTCACGCATCTCTTTGTGATGGAGTTTGAGAATGCAGAGGACAGGGACTATTATGTGGCGAAGGATCCGGTGCATCAAGTTTATGTGAAGATGTTGGGGGCCCTACCGATCGGAGCGGTCATGGTGATGGACTTTGAGGGCGGGTGTTATTAGTGAAGCGGTTTTCTAGATGATGTGCTTATAGTAATTAGCTGGCTTGAGCTCCGAATTCGGTTCGGTTGGTGTCTATGAATATTGTGCTAGTTGGTGCATATTAAAACTGACTTCAACTCCTCATCTTTGTTTGATATCTGGTTCCTGGCCCGCTCGGGAAGCTCATACATTGCGAAAGCTAGTCGAACGGGCTAGGACTGCGAATTGCTCTAGTCGACCTTGAAACCTATCTATCCTGAGATGTCTGACTGTCCCTTACTGTGAATTCTTTTTACTATCGTACTTCGGGACATTCAACAAACCGAACTCAAAGCATCTGGGAGATAGGCCGTACACATAAAGGATGGCGTCCAATTAATTACGAATCAGAGGAGTTTCACCATCATACGGAAGCTAGCTTCTCATTATTGGACACTTCAATAGCATACCTGGATATCTAGGCGAGAATCCATATTACTGCTGTCCTAACCTCTGCTGGAATTAGAAGCCCATCCAATTGGTTTTTACTTTGACATATTTAGCGTATAGTTAATCAGGGTGATTCCTCCCCTTCTCCGTTCAAAGAACTATTTGCGTTAGTGGCTAAGGGGCAGTCTGCGACAGCTATCTATTTCAAGACAGTTGATTTAACTAGGCAATTCATGAAGGTATTCGTTCACAAAGTATACCAGTCAACATATTAGCCTCTTCAGAAGCCTGATATATCCTGCCTACGCATCCTGAGCCCACTATATGCATTTTCTGGCCGCTATGGTGTGGGAAAATAAGATGTTATAAAAAACATCTTAACCCTATGCAGGTGCCTTCCTTAGAACAAGTTCCCGGAACGGTAGGTAGTTTGGTTCTGTTGTTCAAGGGTCTGCATAGGGGTCCTGTGCCTAATATTGGTGCTGGTTTTGTTTTACTTCCAGCTAGTTCCGGGAGAGCAATTTCCCTTGATCTGTTATATTCGGTTATTCATTAGTGGTCCGTTTATGGATGTTTCTATGTAGACTAAACTAAATTTCTAGAGGATTGATATATTCTTAGTCGTAGATATATAATTGGAATGCTCCTTGTGGACTGTATATTCAGATTGTAAGGTATCACATATTCCTGGGTTCAAAGAAACTTTAGCTTAGCTAGCAAAGGCTAGCTTCTAGTTTCTGATCGATAATGCCCAGGATGATTTATAGCTTCTAGTAGATCTGAAACTTCTTGCCCCAACATACAAGCCAGAGTAAAGCATCTGGCCGGCCGGATGAAAAAGATCTTAAAATGGGCCCGTCAAATGAAGTCCCCCAGTGGTATATATATTCTGAACCATTGGGAACCTGGCTCATAGTTCTGGTATTTGAGACTTTTCGGTCTCTAAACAACCGAATGATTACATGACTGGCGTTGATGAACCGAGATGCCGAGATGTCTTGATCAATATTTCTATTTCTTTCCTAACTGGGATAGGTCTAGTGTTCCATTATGTTTCGGGGAACAGGGTTTGACTGATTCCCAGAGCTTCTATGTTCCAAGGCATTATCCAAGGCCTTTGTCGTCGATTGTATTGGGAGTCTTCTTAATGATGCGTCATAGTGCATCACTCATGGGCAGATCCAGGCCTAGCCCAAATATGAATTCTAGAGTTAATTAGATTTCCATCCAGTTAGATCGTTGTGTAAGATCCTCTCGTGCTTTTTTGTTAGTACTGTATGCAGCCTTTTTAGCTCGATCACTGAGCTGATATCTTCCTGTATTGAAGTGGGCGACGGCTGCTTTTTCTACTTCAAGTCCCGAGGGAAGATGCAAGAAACAGGTGTGAGGCTCGCGGTGTTGTCTCCGTATAGATGCTTTCAAGATAAGCAGCGGTGCGTTCCAAGGATATTAAGGGCTTAAGAATATGAAGCCTTATAACTTTGATGAGATGCAGTCGTCCAGATGATCTAGTAGCTAAAGTGCTCCTCAGGTACACAGGAATATGGCCTGGTTAGTAGTGTTCCAAAATGGCATTTCTTTATTTGAACGCCAAGCCCTATCAACCGCGTTGATGGGAGATGGGTAATTAGTTACTATCTTTGAAAATTTGATGGTATTGACGATGTTAGTATTGGTGTTGGTAGATACATGTAGATGCGTTGTTGGTGGGGGTGTGGACCTCAACCAACGGTGTCAGCCGGGTCATCCCCTTCAAACGATAGTCCCCAGCTCTAGCTACACTGGCCCACTTCCACGCTGGATGTTCCACTGGCCTAGATAAGCTTTCTACAACACAAATACACTAGGTTGCTCAGTCGATCATCCACGATTTTCTGGCTATTTAGACGAACGAGTTTTGGAACACATTGACTTATTCAAAGGTCTTCCATCATGCCCCGCTGCCCAGCTGAAAGCCTTTCTAGATACAGTTAGGTATGCCTTCTGGTAGGCAGTCTTAGTGAAGTATAGTTGAACACTCGCCTTGGATCAGACTTGGAAGGAAGGTTTTGACTGGGAGGTACCTGTTCCTGGAATTTACACAAAACGCAATCTACAATGTGCTAACTCATGTAGATGTGTGTGTAGGGGCGGGCAATCAGACAGTGCATTATTCAAATACGAGCAACTTATGGAGACCCATTGCATGACTCCACTTCAAAGATAATAGATCCAGGTACAAAACTTGACTACCAGCACTGGCGGTAGTTATATGGCACTCTAGAGGAAAGACACCCATACTTGGCCAGAAAACCACTACTCAGAGTCGTCACCAGATAGAAAGACAAAATCTCCAGCAATACTCATGGGGGCCTTCCCTATACAATTACATGAAGGGGTGATATGTTTGGCTACACTACATACTGCACAATTCTCTCCCCGGTCCTGTCAAGCTGGCGAACGAATGAGTTCCTTTTGAATATCCTGCGATAAGAAGTCTGGGGTGCTGAGGTACTGCTCCTGTAAATATCACAGACAAGAACCACACATCACACGGACCTGCAGGGATCATAATGGTTCCAATAACACCCACGCCAGAATTTATACACCTCCAATATCTTGGGCAGGAACTATCGAACCTGGCATTAGGTAATCTGTCCATCATAATATATCACTCGATCAAGCACATAGCTACATCTCACTACTAGTCTTTGACATTGAAGGTTATATATAGCCATTTAAGAATACGTGTTGCCTTCTCTCGGAGTGCGAATGTGTGGATGCAATAAGTGCACTGCCCTGGTCTGGCGGTGAGGCGGACTCCGAAGGTTCTACAGCTGCAAGTTATTTGATGGGCTGATGTGTTGGCATGAGTACCATAAGCCGGAGGGAAAAGAAAGACTACACAAGGGACTAGCAGACCGGGAAACAGTGGATCATATACCGAGCCTCTAAGCCTATTTTTAACGTCTTTTTCCAGCAGGCCATCAGATACCAGCGCCAGAAATGACATCTTCTCGCATTATATACCCGCGAGACCACTTAGTTATAAGCGACGTGGATGGTAAAGCTTCGATTTAAGCAATCCCTCGGAACAGAAGATCTAGAGTATCCAGTACTCTAGGTTTACGCACGCATCCGACTCCCGGGTGATATTTCTCTTTGGCCGGGGCGAGACAATGTCAAAATTGACAAAATCTTATCGGAAAAATAAAGTCCAGTCGTGATCACAATCGATGTGTTGGATTCGATTGCCTCCGCGGTGATATTTCTGTGTGGCTAAGAGCCTTATATAACTTCACGCATTATATCCTGACATGCTCTGGGCCCCGCTTAAAGGTTCCACGATGTAGGGCGGTAACGACTACCCGATGGCCGCACCCCTACCACTTATGGTACACATCACATGCCTCTAGGGTAACCCCTCGATGGGCGGTGAGCCCACACAGAGAACCCGGTCCCGATGACGGAATGCCGGAGGAGAAATTTGGGAGCTGTTGCTATTGATGGTGTCGATGGCGGGCTCCGTTGAAAGAGAAGCGGCGGGGTGTATGGTGCAGTCCCGGCCTGGCCAGCGGGAAAGTCATCAGCTTTACCACAGATTCCTCCAATCTCTGTTAACACAGTGGAAATATGCCTCAGATACCGGCAAGACTTTTGGGTCATAGATGGTAGGGACTTTCTTTTTTTTTTCCACTATGAAGTATTCTGCAGCTGGGTATAGATTATATGGTACCACTCGATGATATCAAATCGGCGTGGGTATCGTTGCCGGTTACGGAGAGCTATTTCAGTGACCCGAGGTGCATAACTCGATATTCACTAAGAACCCGCAGCAATTGATCGGCCAGAACACTACATATTCGTATAAAGAATCCATCCGCCAACCTGCAAGGAGCGAGTAATAGTCATCAAGAAAGAAGCAAATATCTTGTTAGCTATTCCATTTACTCAAAGCACCTATACCCGATGACAAAAGTTTTGGTATTGCCAGATGCAGAGAAAGCAGGCCCCCAAAGGACGGGGTGTGGTATCATGAGAGCCCTAGAATACGTATATATGTTCCGATTTTGCAACAAGGGCCAGCGAGAGCAAATAAAAGAGGACGGAAGGTGATAATCACGGTGGGAGAATTAAAGAGGACATGTAGTGTCAGTGCGAAGCTAGAAGGAGGTGGTCTAGTATCATAGCAGTGAGGAAAAGATAGCCTCTTCCGTCTCCAAGACCACAAAGAAGTAAGAGCAAAGGCGGGTAACAAGAGCCACTCACACCCACACTCGTATGTACTCATGTATGTAGTTGGTAGCAGTGCGGGTAACCGGAAATGATTTCCTAAGCATGAAAAAGCACCTCCTTACCGCCCAGACTAACAATGCTTGGCGCCTAAAACCCAACCAATTGCGGAGCTAATCGATAGCGAAATAACACCGCCCCCTGGCCGGGCCGGTGGGCGCATATATGGTCTGCACCGCAATTGGCTACTGTAGTAATGGGAAATAAAGATTGTTATGTACTAGGAATTGGTTAACCTACGCACTATCGCTCAGGATACGTGACATGACTATCAGTGCACCTACGTATGCTAGAGTACATGAACTGTGGACTTATGGCGAGGGATAGGAACCTGTCCTCAATTACGTTGTATAAAGCGAGAAACTCTATATCTACTTAAGTAGTCCAGTTAATATCATCATCGCCTCCTCTGGTCCAATCGTTTAGTCTTGCTACCGCCGCACTACCTTACAGTACGAGATCCCTACTTTGTAGGGCGCGGTGCTTTGATGTGCAAACTAACTACATAACTACATGACTACATGCAAGTGCCATTGTGTGTTCGGATGTCTACATACATGCACGCTTTCACGTCTGTTGTTGGTCGATCGGCGGTCTTTATACTACGGGCTTCTATACAAAAGGTTCTAGCTTCCCTTTGCAATTGAATTGATGCATCACATGATACCTGCACTTCACCTCCCAATCTTCTACTAAGCACTGCGTGTTATATGTTGCAATTGCGCGGCGTTATATGCCTGAAGATCTTAATCTTTCTGTTAGAGTGTGGAGGGCGTTAAACATTCATCACTAACAATTGTTTCTCCCAACTAGTCGGAGCTATTTTACTATTCTGGCTTAGTGGCAGCGGATGATCGGCGTCTAAGACATTCAGTCATTATCATTATTCCCTAAAAAGATACCTACAATGTTATACGCCAATCCAGAACCCAACACAAAGGAAAGAAACCCCAAAAGAATGCCGCAAGCCCCCTACTCTTACTGCTAATCCTCATCCTCATCCATCTCCTTCCCCCGAACCCCATACTCCCCCCACTCCGGCCCCGCCCCCAGCCCCAACGCCCACCTCCCCAGCATCCACGCCCTGTCCACCCTCAACGCTCTCCCTACCGCCACCAGCAGCACCGCCGGTATAACCCACAACACCACCAGCCCCAACACCAGCCCAAACCCCACCCTCCCGCGACACCGAAACACCCACCCCAGCAGCGTATCAAGCACCAAGCACCGCATCTGCACCCGCGGCGGATACGCCCACTTCTCGCCCATGGCCTTATACAACTGCGCCGTGCAGCCCAGCCGGTAATACGCATTACCATACGACACCGGCAGGCGATAATACCGGTCACGTACGCGCGCATCGGCGCCGTGCTGGAGGAGTATGCGAACGACGGAGCTGGCACCAGAGGCCGCGGCACAGTGAAGAGGTGTGCGGCCGAAGGCGTCGGCCGCGTTGGGGTCGGCACCCGCCGACAGGAGGAGCGCTGCACATTCAGGGAGGTTGTGGAAGGCGGCGTAATGCAGGGGTGTTATGGCTGCGGGGGCGCGGGCGGAGATGTCGGCGCCGTGGAAGATAAGGAGGGCGACGATTGTTGTTGTGAACTGAGTGCGGCGGTGGGTGGGTGCCTTTAGGGCATGGTGGAGGGGGTCTCAAGAGTGCGGGCGATGCCATCGTTGACGGGGATGGTGCGAAGGAGGGTGTGGACGAGAGGGAGGTTGGAGGTGCGGGCTGCGGTCTGGAGGGCGCCAGGGTAGGTAGGGGAGCTGAATGCGTAGGTGGTGAGGATGGGTTGGAGGAGTGGGGGGAAGGCGCGAGTGGTGAGGAGAAGAGAGAGGAGGTCTTTGGGCGTCGTGAGATGGGTGGATATCTCGAGGATGAGCTCGTTGGGGAGCGTGAGGAGCTGGGAGGACGGTGCTGGAGGTGGGGTGGTATTCGTAAGTTGTGCGTCCTGTTTTGACTCGACCGCTTTTGGGGAGCGCCACTGCCAGAGTTGCGAAAACATTGACTCCATGCCAGCAAAGATCATGATTCCTGTCACGGCGCAGAAAGAAAAGAAAGAGGCAGAGAACGAGAAGAAAAAAAGTGAAAAAGTAGGTTGTCTGAACGTTTCCCCTCCTCAATTCTTATATCTCCAGCTGAGCCATTGGCACCAATCGATTTTTTGGGTGGACTGTGTTGTACAATTATTTTTTTTTCCTGCTTCCACTGCCACCCCCCTCCGTTTCCAGCCGGAATGTTGGAGCTTATCACGTAGTTGTGTTACGGGGGACGTCGGGGGGGGAAGTTGTTTATTGGGGTGTGTAGGGTGCGAGGATGTGTGTAGGGTGCGAGGATGTGTGTGGTGTGTGCTGCTGACCAGCAACAGATCCACACATGCAAGGTATCTTGCCCCCATCTTGCCATCCAACAAATCAGCGATAGGCAGGAAGCAAATAGAGGCGTAAGGCTGGACGCCCCTTCTGTCCAGTGAATTATTGCCCTAGTAGAATTGAGCAGATAGGGTATGTACTGCGCATGTACCGCCCCCTGGTTGGAATGCTTTGTCTCGCTCCAGATCTGCTCGTCAACGTGTTGCGATCAAGATGTCCCGAGGAGGGGGTGCGGTCGCCGGATTTGTTGGTTCCATGTGGTGTGGTGGTGGTGAATCGGACGGTCTCAGATCAATGTCGGACCTGTGTGTGGGATGTAAGTCAATGGCAAGTGTCTTACGGGGGATTCAATTGTGATTAGTAGAGCATGTAGAGGGGAGTGCGGTACTGTATGTAGGGTAGTACTCAGGGCCTCGAGAAAATTAAGAGATTGGATGATGCAGCTACTGGAGATAGAGTACAGTAGTGGATGCTATTCCAGAGGGGTAGAGAAATTGTAACACGAGTGCAGGGGTGCCGTCTTCGGGTGTCTGGCTAGCCGCCAAGCCGGGCGGATTCCTGGGCCCGATCATTGGCGGTCACTCGGGTTCCGAGTCTTTTCCGGTGAGCGAAGGAGGGAGTGGAGTGAGTGGAGTGGAGTGAGGGGAGTGAGGGGAGTGAGGGGAGTGAGGGGAGTGAGGGGAGTACGATGCTTGCATAATTCATCTCCGCGGATTACTGTGCTATTACTACTGCATTACTACTACTACATGCTACACTCAATCCAAGTGCACTCTCAGGCACGTCAGCCAGGGACGCTGTAAGATCTCTAAAGAGTACCCGAGTATAGGTACCCTATACTCTATTTCCGCACCCCGCCTGCAGAATTATACTAACCTGGCCCTCAATCCATGTCTGTGGTCTAATAATAACGATCCCCGCCTACTCTACTCTGCTCTACTCTACCCTACCCTAGGTACTCTACGTACCCACCCAAGTACCCATCCCATCCGTGCACCCCAGCACCCAGCGTCATCGATCGCTTCCTGCGGCTCTTTCTCCCACTAACCCACTAACCACCACCCACGTGACAAACTCTTGGCACGCTTTTGCATTTTCAACCTCACCGTACCTACAGCATACAGCCCGCACCGCACCGCACCGCACCACCGAGACCGCCAAAACCCACCACCACCGCAATGCTACCACTATTCCGCCACGGCGCGCCACGAAATGCCGCCGCTGCCGCTGCGTGTAGGACGTTTACGAGCACGGCCCAGCGGCCGTCAAAGATTGGGATGCTGCCCGTCATCATTCCCGCCGAAGTCGAGCTGACCCGGCTGCCGCCGCCAAAGCCGACGAATCCGAGGGATCGCCCGATTGGGTCTATGTAAACCCCCCCCTCTGTCACACTGACCCCCATTGCCCCCCTCTGTCCCCCTGACCCCCATTGCCCACCTCCCTCCCCTCTCCCCTCTCCCCTCTCCCCTCTCCCCTCTCCCCCACCCCGCCGCCGAGCGCTAACACCCCCCACACAGGATCGTCAAAGGCCCCCTCGGCACACTCACCCTCCCGCTCCCCCCTACCTCACCATAACCACCGAGCCCATCCCCGCCACCACCTCCACGCGCGCCACCATCACCGTCACCGACCCGTCCGTCCGCGAGCAGCGCGAAATGTGGGGCACCACGCGGTCCGTCCTGCAGAACCTCGTCCTGGGCGTGACCGAAGGCCACAGCGTGATTCTGCGCCTGGTGGGCGTGGGGTACCGCGCGACGGTCGAGAGGGGCGGGAGTATCCTCAATCTCAAAGTCGGCTTCTCGCACCCCGTGGAGCTGCCGGTGCCGGAGGGGGTGCGGTGCCAGGTGCCCATGCCCACGAGGATATTGCTGGAGGGGTGTGATAAGGTGCGGATCAAGGACTTTGCGGCGGTGGTGAGGGAGTGGAGGAGGCCGGAGCCGTATAAGGGCAAGGTGAGTTTTCTTCTTTTTTCTTATTTTTTCTTTTTTTTGGGGGGGTTGGGCTTGGGGTTGGGCTTGGGGTTGGGCTTGGGTTGGGCTTGGGGTTTTGGAGGGGTGGCTGACGGGGGTGATGTGGTGAATGTAGGGTATATTTGTGGGCGATGAGACGATCAAGTTGAAGATTAAGAAGGTCAAATAGATGACCTGCTTCTGCTTTTGGGGATCGGGAATGGGGGCTGTATGGTTCAATGGGATGGGATGGGAGGGAGACGGGGGCGAGTGGTGGGAAGTAAATAGTTTTCTTGTATATATCATACACTGCAAAAACTCCGTCTTTGCCTCCTTCCCCAAAAATTCCAATGCAGAATGCAAAATGCAAAAATCCTATCTAAGCTATAATACCGGGAGAAACAAAGAATAAAAAAAAGAATAACCAAAAGGAAATAATAGGCTCAAAAAAGAACAACCTTTTTCTCATAACTAGACACCCCCAAACAAACAATAAAACAAAAGCTAAAAACCAAAAAGAACAAAGTCTCTATCCATTCCATATTAATTAATTAGCAATAACCCCCCCCCCCCAACCCTCCCTTACGCCGCCGCAGCATTAACCCTCTCCGCCTCTTCCACGGCACTCCCATACCTTCCCACCGCCACCTCCACGGCCCTCACCGTCGGCCCCAACACCCTCTCCACCACCCCGCGCCCACCACCAACCTCCATACTCCGCTTCTTCGGCTTCACCCCCGTCTTCCTATACTCCTCCTGCGCCTCCCGCTTCCTCCGCCCCCGCTCCTCCTCCCGCTCCTTATCCGCCATCGCCGCGATCGCCTCGATCCGCGCCTTACTGTTGCCCAGGCTCGCAACAAGCTTCGTGATGTCGCCCGCGCGCTTCTCATCCCCGCTCAGGAACGCGAGCCAGAAGTGCCGCAGGAACTCGTTGGTGGTCGCGTGCACCAGCGTGACGCTCTCGAAGACGGAGGCCGGGAGGCCGCCGGTGCGGCTGCTGTTGTAGCTGCCGGCGCCGGAGGTGGTGACGTCGAGCATTGCGGCGCGGCGCGATTGCACGGCGGCTATGACTTGTGATGCGGCGTCGCTGGGGCGGGGGCGCTTCTTCCCTTTCCCTCCTTTCTCCCCCCCCGCCGCTTCCTCTTCCTCGTCGGCGTCCTCGTCGCCGTTGGGGAGTAGTGACTCAAGGTCGATAGGACGCTCGCCGAGCGCCCCGCGTAGCTGCGAGAGCACGGCGGACGGGTCGAGGGTTGCGTACGGTGATGCGGAGGCGGCGGCGGCGGCGTCAGAGTCGGAGCCGGAGAAGAAGCGGCGCTGGTCGCGGATGTTGAGGATTATGCGTTCCTCGGTGGGGTCGGGGCGGAGGTCGTGTAGTGTTTGGGAGGCGATGGTGAGGGAGTCTTGGTCTTCGGTTGTGGTGGGGTCGCTGTCGGCTCTGCGGAGGGGGTTAGTATGTGTGGGGGAGGATGGTGGGGGGAGGAGGAAGGGGGGGAAGGGGGAGGGGGACTCACGGTGCGACGAGATCTACGAGTTTCTGGGAGAGGCTGTTGAGTGTGCGGATTATCGGGACGTTCTCGACCTTTGTGGGGCGCATGGTGAGGTCGGGCATGTTGCCCTGCTTCTGCGAGAGGTTCTGCTCGTTGCCCTCGAGATCAATGGTGCGCGGGAGTGTCTCGATGCGGCGTCTCTTGCGCGAGTTCTCTATAAGCCCACCCACACATCAGCACTCCCCCCCCCCCCCCTCACCTCAGACTAAGTGACAAGCAAACCTTCATCATCCCGATGCAAATACCGATCAAAGATCACATCCGTCCCATCCGTCGGCAGCGGCTTCTCGCCCTTCAACTTCTTAAACAGCCGACTCATAAAAAACCGCATCCAAAACGCCTGGTCCGTGATCTTGGGCACATTCTCATCATACACGCTCTTGACCAGCGGATGCTGGTCAAATATGTCCCTGATGACGTCCTGCGAGATGCTAATCTTGCCCACGCCGTCCTCCGTCTTGGGCTTGATCGTGGCGAGGACATTATACGGGCCGCGGCGCTGCTCGCGTTCGATGGCATGGGCACGCAGGAGGTGCGTGCGCGTGCTCCAGAACTGGGTGGCCGTGACGGCGCTGGAGAGGACGGCCTCGCTGAATGTTTTGGAGAGGTCCGCGTTGGACTTGAGGAGGGACTGCTGCAGGGCCATGTCGTTCTCGAGGCGTGATTTGGACCAGTCGGATGGGTCTGGGAGGGTGGTGCTGGTTGAGGAGGAGGAGGAGGCGGAGGCGCCGGCGGCGGAGGGGGTGGCGGGGCCGGAGGTGCTCTTTGAGTCTTGGATGCGTGTTGTGAGCGCTTCTTTGACGGCGTCGGCTTCGGTGCGCGCGGTGGGCGGCGGGGAGGTGAAGGTGAAGACATATTGCTCTGGGTCTTTGTCGGGTGTGGTTTTGGCGAAGACTTTGATCATTACTTTGGCGGTTGTTGCTGGGGTTGCTTGGAGGTCTGGGGGGGGGGGGGGGTGGTCAGTGGGGTGTAGAGATGTAGGACTCGGGGACGGGGGAGAGGGAGGGAGTGCGAGGGGGGGTCAGAATGGGAGTGCGAGGGGAACTGAGAGGGACCCCATACTAGTAATCGTACTCGTCGGAATCGTCAGTGACGGCGGTGCCCCCGGGGGTGCAGCAGGCGTCCATGTCACCGAGTCCTTGAGCACGAGCAGAGCGCCGTCCTTCTTCTTGTAGGAGGCCGAGCCCTTGACGGTCGCCATGGCGTGTCGTGGTGTTCAGAACGTATAGCTGCTGGTAGTGGTGGTTGTGGTGTTGTGAGCACTCGTCCATTCGTCTCTCTCGAAGCGTAGCTCTGGCTCATATTGCCTGCAACCCTAGCCCTGTGTTGGCCGTGGCTTAGTTACCCGGCCGTGCACACACACCTGTGGGTAGAAAAGCCCGAGGAATTGAGATACAATGCGGGCATCGTTACAAGACAGCCCAAACAATCATTTCCGCCAAGAGGCCTTGCCTAGATACCCAACCCTAACCCACGCTCGCATCAAATGGCAACTGACAGCTCCAAATTCCCCCACAACCCCACCCGCGCACGATGTCCACAATCACAGAGCTGTGCACAACACCGCCCAACGTCTCTCCGGAGGATAAATACTCCCAAGTAACTCCCTCCCCCCTCACCCTCTCGCTCACTCAACATCCCAAGCTCACCCGCAGCAGCTGCATTCTAATCTAATTAACATCTCCCACCCCGCTCACAGCTCCTCGAGACCCTCACCGCGCTCGATAGACTCACCACCGCAGACACAGCAGATGTCACACCCGCCGAGACACAAACGCTGCTAACGTGGCTCCCGGGCGTCATGCTGCCCACCGAGGCCCTGCTCCCGCCGGAACACGTCCTCGAAGACGACGACCTCACGCCCCCGGCCGTGCTGGCGCCGTACCAATCCGTGTGCCGCCTCGCGCTGCAGATCATCACGCGGCTGCCCACCGTACCGGACGATATCAGCCCCGAACTTGCCGTCGCGCTCATCTCACAGACGTCCCCGCACGACCCCTGGACCACTGCCGAGTCGCGGGCGCTGTCCACCTCGCTGCTCGCCACGCACACCCTCCCAACCGCCACACTCACCGCCTTCCTCACCGCGCTCAAACCCCACTTCACCACGCCCCACCCCACGCTCACTCCCGCTGCGCACGCCGCCGCCCGCCCCTCCACCTTCCGCGCCCCGCTCATCGCCCAAACAGCACCATCATACCGCAGCACCCACCCGCACACACCCACCCTCCTCCACTACACCGTGCTCCGCCTCCCCGCGCACCTCGACCCCCTCTGGCCACTCATCCTCCCCCCGCTCCTAACCCTCCTCGACGACCATCACGCCCCCACGCGCGCCACCGGCGCACGCATCCTCGCCGTGCTCCTAACCCACCCACAGACACCGTCCATGCTGTCCCGTTCGGGACTCGGGCCAGTCCTCTGGGACGCCGCCCTCCCAGCCGTCCTCTCCCTCCCGCCGCTCACGCCAACGGCAGTGTCCGTGCCCCTTCTGGAGGCGGCATACCCCGCGCTGATTGCGCTCGCGCGCGTGCTAGGCGGCGGACGGGCGCGCGAGCGCGCGCGGCTGCTGGGCGTGCTACTGCGGCGCGGGGTGGTGGCGGGGATGCGGTATGCCGGGGAGATTGTTGCGGTGGTGGAGGTGCTTGTTGGTGTTATTGGGGAGCTGGTGCGCGAGATGGGGGTGTGGTGTGTTCGGCATTTGGGGGATTGTGTTGGTCTGCTTGTGGGGGTGCTGGTGGACCCGTTTGTGGGGGTGAGGTGGGGGCTGGCGGTGCGCGCGGTGGGGGCGCTGGTGGAGGTTTTGCGGGTGGGGTGGCGGAGGATGGTGGATGGGGGTGGGTGTGGGCGGTTGTGAGGGGGTGTGTGGTTTGTTGGCGGCGGGTGGTGGAGGATGAAGGGCGGATGGAGGGGGGGGAGGAGGTGATGGGGGGGCTGAGGAGGTGTGTTAGTGTGCTGGCGGCGGTGGTGGGGAGGGAGGAGTGGGAGGGGGTGGTGAGGGAGGTCGTGGCGGTGGAGAAGAGTGCGGTGGGGCTGTTTGAGGGGACTGTGGGGAGAGGGGGGGAGTAGCTAGGTAGTTGGGAATAATAAATTTGCTATTCTCTAGTTCTGTAATACACATGTATTCAGCACTCGTAATCACCACCACTGCTGGTCTTCCCCGTACCGCATAGAATCCGAATCCCACAACCATGGACCCAGCCTAGGAGCAGAGACCCGGCGCCCCATCCACGGCCAGCCCAATTGAGTTATACTACATCATCTCTGCCCCGTATCCCACTAGACAGCCAAAGCAGCTATCCCTAATTTCCTGCCAAACGATCATTACCACACCACCCAAGCCATGATAGAGCTCGAAACCGCCGTGTTGAAGCTATAGCTACCTGGGTGGCTGGGTCCAGCACAATAGTGAGAGGAAGTTGAACGCGTCGGTTGGCTATGGCTCCGGGGGGGGGGGGGGGGCGACTACTTTGGCATGGGGCGTGCATGTGGTCGACCACCAAGCTTTAACTACATAACATGTAGCTACTTGCGGTGGATATCAGCAGGGGCTTTCACTTAGAAAATACATGTATCTATAGCATGGTGTGCCCGGAAGGCTACATATATATATGATCTAGGCCCGGGGGGGGGGGGGGGGGGGGGGGGGGCTACCCAAGCTCTTAAGGTGCCTTTACATGAAGCTTGATCAAGAGACTTCAGCTGCAGCTGACTTAATACGTACAGCTACATGTGGCTGGCTGTGTGTATGTCCATGGCTATCATGCTTCTTCGGAGAATTCCCCCCTCGATAGCTACGCACATATAATACGTTGAAAGTATCGCACGGTTAAAGCAACTCGATCTACATCCAAAGAGCCACCACGTACATGAGCTAGAGATCGGCGCCTGCCCGCACCCCCGCGCCCGGGAGTCGGATACACAAACTAACCCCCCCCCCCCCGCCCCCGCCGGATCGGGAGACTATCCGTTCCGGGGAATGCTACATGAATTCCAGCGTGCTTAACATTGGACACGCACACACACACGCACGCACACACACACACACACGCACATCCCTTCTATTTCGCTTAATTACATATATATATATATATATATACAACTGTGCATATATATTGCGTGCCATTCTTCCCTCCTAGCTATGATACCTAAACAAAGGCTTAATTAAAAACCAATCCGCACAATCCCTCCACACGGACTGCAGAGAACCCAGCTACCTAGCTAGCTGTGGTTCAACTGAGCACAAGTGATTCTTCCGGTACATACGTGTGGGGGAGGAATAGCGAGCGAGAAGCCAAGATAACCAAGCTGGTAATATAATAAACCCCCGAAAACAAAACCTACAAAAAGTGATACTGTGGCCATACACCCCCCCCCCCCCCCCACGGGGCTATCTATGGGCTCAATTCGCATTGTGTTCTACTTCCCGCTACCAGTATACATGCACCCCACAGCATCACTCCCACCACTGCAGCGGACCTACTGATGTAGGCCATGGGGCAACCCACTCGGTGTTCCTCCATGACAAGGCGTCTACTCCTAAACCAAACTCGCCCCATACATGACAAAAGACAGACCCACCACCAGGGAACTTCAAAGTAGATACCCCCAACCGGCCAGCGGCTCGTAGTAGAACGTATGCCGGTTGTTAGATTATTGCATACCAAATAGCCAATTTTGTTACTGCTGGAGTTGGTAGATAAATGGTATGCACTGACTAGAGCACTGTCACAGAGAATAGACGAAGCAGTCATGAACTGAAATGTTAACAAGTGGGAGGTGAGATATAGCTACATATAATAAGCTTAGTTTAGAGCTCACGTAGCTTGGATAAGTTTCCTGTTGTTCTTCACCTATGGTTCGTAATGTAGTTTGGTAAAGACCAGAAATACCAAAAGCTCTTTTTTTTTTAACTGCCATTCTCGATCTCAAGTGAAAACCACAGCTAATAGAAAACACGCATCCATGTACCCTCCAACCCCGAAATGGTAAAAAACAGTCAAAAACAACCCACCGCGGACACACCTCTGAAGACTCCCCAGCACTCCACCCTGCATCACCAGCCATCACTCACCCCTCCATCCCTGTCTAATAATCCCTGTCGAAATCTTGGCGCCCAGCGCACGAAAATCTCGTTGCCAAGCAAAAAAAAAGTTCCACTCCCAAGCACCAGCAACAAGAACTACAACTATCACTCGTTCACCAACCAACCCAAAACCCACAACCTCCCCTCCCCTCCCAAAATCACAACCCCTCCATTCACTCCCTCCCCCACACAGAAACACATAAACAATGGGCAAGGGTCGTTCAAAGCTAAAGCAAGGCCCCCCCGGCGCGCTCGACGAGTCCCTCATCTCGTCGCTCAAGCCCGGCATCAAGCGCAAAGCCAGCACCGCCGCCGACAACGACGGCGGCAGCGAGGGCCCCACATCAATTGGCAAGAAGGCCCGCCAGGAGGAGCAGCAGAAGGCCAAGAAGCGCAAGGAAGACGACTTCCGAAAGACCAAAGCCGCAGCGACGAAAAAGGAAAGGGCGACAAAGGACAAGGACCAGAAGAAGAAGAAGTCGGTGGCCGGTAAGGTTGTGAGTTCAAAACCTTCAAAGAAGGCTGCAGAGCCCAGCAACAAGAAGAAGGACCTGTTTGATGATGTGGACGAGATCAATGACGCAATTGCTGCTGCGGAGGAGGACGAGGAGGAAGATGGTGAGGAGGGACCTGGCCCCGTCTCGCTCAACGATGACTTTTTGGCGAGTGGGGACTCGGAGTCCGAGGACGATGTCTACGATTCCGAGGAAGACCAAGGACCAAAACCAATCTTTTCTGATGACGAAGACGACTCAGAGGGAGAGGAGAGGCTGACGGCCGCCAACATTGAGGGACTCTCACGGAAGCTCGATATGCAGCTCGCCGAGGAGGCCGCCGAGGCCCAAGCTGAGCTCGAGGAGGCGGCCATGCAGACCAACATTGCCCACGACAAGCCGAGGATTCTCGGGGACGCCGGAGAGGACGAGGATGAAGACATGACTACCGCTCCCCCAGACATTGCCCTTCTCCGCACCCGCATAAACGACACCGTCCGCGTGCTCGAGGACTTCTCAAAGCTGGCTGAGGAGGGACGCTCGCGCGTCGACTACACTGAACAGATCATTAAGGACATCTGCGAGTACTATGGCTACTCGCCATTCCTCGCAGAAAAGCTCTTCAACCTCTTCTCCCCGTCCGAGGCATTCTCCTTCTTCGAAGCCAACGAGAAGGCGCGCCCCCTCGTCATCCGTACAAACACCCTCAAGACCGCCCGCCGCGAGCTCGCCCAGGCACTCATCAACCGCGGCGTCACCCTCGAGCCCGTCGGCAAATGGTCCAAAGTCGGTCTCCAAGTCTTCGAATCCCAAGTCCCCCTTGGTGCAACCCCCGAGTACCTTGCAGGCCACTACATCCTCCAAGCTGCCTCCTCCTTCCTCCCCGTCATGGCCCTGGCCCCCCAGGAGAACGAGCGCATTCTCGACATGGCCGCCGCCCCCGGCGGTAAGACAACCTACATCTCCGCGCTCATGAAGAACACAGGCTGCGTCGTCGCCAACGACGCCAACCGCGCACGTTCCAAGGGTCTAATCGGAAACATCCACCGCATGGGCGTCAAAAACACCATCGTGTGCAACTACGACGCCCTCGAGTTCCCCCGTGTCATGGGCGGCTTCGACCGCATCCTCCTCGACGCGCCCTGCTCCGGTACAGGCGTCATCAGCAAGGACCCCAGCGTCAAGACCAACAAGACGGAGCGCGACTTCCTCGCCCTCCCGCACCTGCAGAAGCGCCTGCTGCTTGCCGCAATCGACTCGGTCAGCCACAGCTCCGCGACCGGCGGCTACATCGTCTACTCCACCTGCTCGGTCACCGTCGAGGAGAACGAGGGCGTCGTCGAGTATGCGCTGCGTAAGCGGCCTAATGTGCGCCTTGTTGAGACAGGGCTGACGTTTGGCCGTGAGGGCTTCACGTCGTTCCGGGGGAAGAGGTTTAATGAGAAGATGAAGTTTACGAGGCGATACTACCCGCATATGTACAACGTTGATGGCTTCTTTGTCGCAAAGTTTAAAAAGATTGCGCCGACGCCGAAGGCGGATGCGGAGAAGGAGAAGGAGGATGATGACGAGGAGATGGTGGATGCGGTGGAGGAGGAGGATAATGTGCCCTTTGGCGGCTTTGACGATGAGGCCGATAAGGAGCTGTTGGAGAAGGCGGAGATCAGGATGAGGAAGAAGAAGGGTCTCGGAAACGGCGTCAAGAAGAACGGAGTGAATGGTAACGCTGCTGCCGCTGTCCCTGCCGCAGTCCCTGCCGCAGAGGAGGAGGTCGAGAAGAAGGTTGAGGAATTAAAGATTGCGGAGGAAGCAAAAGCCGAGGAGGAGCCCAGTAAGGAGGTCAATACCCCGAAGAAGAAGGATACAAAAAAGGGAAAGGAGACCAGCCAGGAAACCGAGAAGCCAGTAGTCCCCGCAACAGAGACAGCCCCAGCAGAGGTGAAGGAGAAGAAGTCAGCTACAAAGAAGTTACACAAAGGCAAGAGGGGTGGGAAATAACTATAACTACATAGACTAGCCTCGCTGCATCTGTCCACATAAAACTTACCTTATTGTACTATTCATATAATAGCAATTGCTCTCTCTGTCTCTATACTGTTTTTTCTCTCTTTCTTTCCTGTTCTATTCTCGGTTTTGTTTAAGGTGGATTAGCTTTTAAGTTTTACTTTACGGGCTGGATAAAAAAAGTTTTCTCTCTTTCTTCCTTTTCTTTTTGTGTGTGGGTGCGGGTTTATTGTGTAGATAGATTGATGAGCTATGTGCATGTACGAGCCCGGTTAGTTGTATAAATACTCCTTACTTAGGATCCGTGTTCTTTTTTTTTATGCTACCGTGTTATGCCGCCGGCCACTGGTAGTGGTTTTGATAACAATCTTGGCGGAGAGGGTTGATCATTGACCCAGGCGAATACTAGGGCCATATATGTGGTTTAGAACAGTCCCTCCTACCGGGATAAGTGACAAATAAATTTTGATCGTGCCGTTATTAGTTATTCGCATTTGGATCTAACTATGTACTCAAAAACACCAAAAGACTTGAAGCACTAAAAGGCTTAAGTAAAATCGACTAAATACACGAAACGAGAAGAGAAGGTCAAGGAAAAGTTCTAAACATCCGCTAAAGAACTCCTCCAGATGGCTACCGCCATATCCACAACCTTCTTCATCTCGTCCACATCATGGACCCTAACAATGTCAGCCCCGCCGCACACACACGCAGCCACAGCACCCGCTGTCCCCCATTGCCGCTCTCCCGCCATCTCGACGCCCGTGATCGTCCCCACAAACCTCTTCCTACTCGGCCCCAACAGCCACGGCATCCCATTCAGGTCCCCACCCCACCTCGTCAGCTGCCCCAAGTTCCGGATCACCTCGAGGTTTCCAGCCATGGTCTTTGCGAACCCCAGGCCCGGATCAAGGACGATGTTCCACCTCCTGATACCAGCCTCCTCGGCGGCCCGGACGCGCTCAGCAAGCTCTGACGCAATAGTTGCGATCACGCCGTCGGGATAGGACGTGTGCTGATTCATTGTCACCGGGCGTGCCGCGCATGTGCATGATGCAGATGGGCACGCCAAGCTGCGCAACAGTCGCAAACATGTCTGGGTCAAGACGGCCCGATGAGATGTCGTTGATGATGTCAGCACCTGCTTCTACGGCCGCCTTGGCGACGGAGGCACGGTATGTGTCGATGCTGATCGGGACGGTGATGCCTGCGGCACGGATTGCCTTGATGGCTGGGATCACGCGGCGGATCTCCTCGTCGGCGCCGACGTCCTGTGCGTCTGGGCGGGTGGATTGGCCGCCGATGTCGATAATGGAGGCACCGGAGGCGATAAAAGCGTTGGTGGTTGAGATGAGGGATGAGTGGAGATGCTTGCCGCCATCGGAGAAGGAGTCGGGGGTGAGGTTGAGGACGGCCATGAGAAGGGTGGGGCGGTGGGGATTTGAGGGGTCGAGGGGAGGCAGGTGAGGTGAGAGAGACATAAAGGTGCGGAGTGGGGGGGTGTTGAGCGGCGTGGGGGGCAGCGCGGAGAGATGGTGCTTGAATGCCGTGGAAGTTAGGGGGTGGGCCCGCTCGGGAGCGATGCTATACAGTTGATATAAGTATTTATATATGAATAGCTTTAGGTGGAGCTTACTCGCAGAGGGGACGGAGAACGAATTCTCGTTCCAACATGGCTGCATGTGGAATTTTCAGGTCCTCGGTATTGAGCGTCAGATCATCGTATAGAAGAATGTCTAGATCGATTGAGCGTGGTCCTTTTTCGACGACCTTTACTCTGCCTAGGGTATCTTCGATCTCTTTAATTGTCTTTAGTAGATCATGAGGAGATAGAGTAGTTTCTACCTATAGTATTCTTAGTTGTAAATTCAAAAAAAATCATCGCATGGGACCATTACCTGGATCACCCCATTCAGAAATGTTGCCTGATCTAGAACATACATAGGCGCACTCTGATAAAGATTGCTTGTTCTTTTGACAGTAATCCCTCTCTTCTCAAGTTCGACTAACGAGTCCTTAACAGCTTTAAAGCGGTCGCCGACGTTACTTCCTATGGCGAGAAAAACATCGTGTTTGCCTTCACCAGCGCTAGAGCATTCCTCGAGGTTAAAGAAAGATCTCTCTCTTGTGATCTCGACACCGGGACACTCGGCGAAGGTCAAGGCGCTAGGCTTCTCGGCTTGGACCGTAATCTTCGATACACCACATTTGACGCAGGCCTCGCGGGCGATTGCTGTGACAAAGGCCTCGACTGTCTTGTAATCCGAAGCCTCAATGTGCTCAGTAATATGCTGCGCAACAGTACGGAAGTCGTAACAAGGGTCAAACTTTCCGGTCTGGGTTTCTCCAACGGCCAATTGTTCTGACTCAAGATTGGCTGATTTCTTGGACTCGTTTGGTTTGTGCATTGTCAAGTTAATTGTTACATTTTGCTTCTCAAGTCGTTCGTAAGAGTTGACGCCGATGATTGTAACAAGCCTCAGGTTCTTTACAAAGACCTTATCCTCGCCTTCTACAACCACCGAGCCATCTGCCTCTTTTTTGCGCGTTATTGAAATCCCGGCCGCATCAGCCCTGAGAAGTGCTCTAGGCTTCTCCACTACAACCTTGACCCACTCTCCGTTCAGCACTGGGCTCAATGCTAGTCGAGCAACCTTCTCGACGAGGTGTTCAAGGGAGTGAAAGTTGTTGTCCTCCACGAGGGCCGAAACGGATTTTGCAACGGTCCCGTAGTTGATGCTGTATGGTAAATGGTCTGTTGACCCAGCAAGCGCAACTGAGCTCTTAAGCCATATGGAGAGTAGGATAGGTTGTGGTCGAGGGCGTTTCCAAAAGTCAACCCCGGTAGTCGCTTTTCTTTAACTGTCAGATTTTTCCAAGAAGGTATCCCCCCACCCCTATAAAACCTGATGATCATAAACCTACAAGTTCAAAGAGCGGACAAAGATCAAGTCATTCCCTTCCTCTGAAGAGGGAGCTTCGCGCATAGTTACAGAGTAATTCCGACTTCTCTCGTGCTGCAGCTGCTTTGGGAATAGGCGAGTGGGTGGTTGGAGGCGTAGTTGGGCCACTGAAGCGGGTCGTAGAAATATATGTCGGTGAGATGCGAGAGCAGGTCTCAAACGATATCGTAATGTGGAGAGCATTTGGAGGGGGTTTTTTTAACCCCTGGATGCTCAGTTTGTCTTGAGTGCGGGGTATCATGTGATCAGTGGGGATCATGAGCTAGCCTTATCTACAACCCTAGCCTTTGCGGAAGAAGAAAAGCAGGTACACATCTGTCAGTAATAAATATATGAACTGATTCCGAGACTTGGCTGCCATCCAGAAATTCGAAATTAAGCCCCCAGAGATTTTGCCGGCAAAACAGCCTCAGGCAAAACAGTTACTTTTCTACTTAAAATGCGAACCTCCTTATACTAGTAGTAATGATAACGGTGATGGTGACCCAGGATATTCATCGAGGTAAGGCAGAGGAAGAGTTCTTGTGTAGGGTACCTACGCTCCTGATTCGTCTATAGGTATATACATGTAGATCTATGTAGACTTAACAATCAGTGACGGTTAACAAGAACATTCCGACATGTCTTTTACCAAACGCTGAATTTAAACTCCGAAGCTTTACTTCTAGCTAGACAGACTTATCTACCAGAGTGATAACTTATGATGATCCTTTGTGATTAGATCGATCAGATAAGAGATAAGAAGTGAAACGCTTGTCGTCATTTCGATTTTTGATCCGTCGAGATACCGGCCACAAAATGCCTTCCCGTCGTTTATTTTCCACGATTGGAGCTCTAAGTCATGAGAATCCCTTGGTAATATAGTTTTTTTTCTCGTTGTACCTCTCGCTTGCTAATTGAAATAGGGACTTCCCAAATCTGGATCCTTTCCGCGTATGCAGAGAGGGCTTCCCACGAAAAGACATATCAAAGATGTTGACAAAGTGATCGCCGTATCTTCTGCAAAGGGCGGTGTTGGAAAGTCCACGGTCGCAGGTTTGAACCTAATCTGATATTCCCGACGTACGAGTGCTAATTCTAGTCTTAGTTAATCTTGCTCTTGCTCTTGCACGGCAAGGAAAGAGGACTGGAATTCTCGACACTGACATTTTTGGACCTTCGATCCCCAGACTTTTGAACTTATCCGGCGAGCCTCGTCTCTCTCAAAGTACATAATTCACTCCTTTACCACCTACAGGACGAATTGCGGAAGTTGATCTAGGAAGGTAGACAACCAGTTGATTCCAATGAGTAACTACGGCATCAAATCCATGTCCATGGGATACCTGGTAGGCGAAGAGGCACCAGTAGTTTGGCGTGGTTTGATGGTCATGAAGGCTTTACAACAGCTCCTCCATGAGGTCGAGTGGGGCGGCCTAGATGTGTTGGTTTTAGATTTGCCTCCAGGAACCGGCGACACTCAACTCACAATAACCCAACAGATTATACTCGACGGTGGGTGCACTTACACCACTATAACTTCGATGATGGGTTGGAGCTGACGCCCTCTAGGTGCCGTTATTGTGTCCACACCCCAGGATATTGCTTTGATCGACGCCGTCAAAGGAATTAATATGTTTAAGAAAGTCGACGTGCCGGTAAGTTTGGGGTCGATTGCCAAAACATCTACATTCTTGAATAATGAAACGTTGTCTAATTTTAATTGAGACTTATAGCTCCTTGGGATGGTTCAGAACATGAGTGTATTCACCTGCCCAAACTGCAGCCACTCAACACACATCTTTGGAGCAGATGGAGTTGCGCGAGAATGCGTAAAACATGGGATCGAGCTTTTGGGCGATGTACCACTCCATGCTTCCATCTGTCACGATGCTGATAAAGGAAAGCCTACGGTTGTCGCTGATCCAGACGGGATCTATGCGGCGGCGTTTTCGTCGATCGCATCGAAAGTAAACAAGAAACTATTCTCGTAAATATCATCAGCTAGTGATGGGGAAATACTGTTTGTGGTAGACGTATATTCTGTCAAGTTGATGCATTCATTGTGCATTGATACAATCTATCAAAGACAATGTTTCTTCTTACCTCTCTTATTTACAGTCCCTTTAATCGATTCTATCGAGACCCCTAAGCTTCGATTCAATTGAATCCGCTTGAAAAATGACACTGTATCGGGGGTATGCATCTTTTTCGACGCTGTATTAGAATTTTAGATTTCCTATCACGTTTTAAATACCGGATTCAATCATTTCAACTCTATCCCAATTTCGCCGGCGATTATTACCTCGGGGTGGGTGATAATTTCCAGGGTTCCTCGTTCCGGATACAATAAATGGTATCATTTAAGCTTGAATTGGCTGCTAGCTCGAGCTACTATGAACTGGGATTTACAGAATTTCTCTTCAGTAGTAGCACTAGAACGAGGTAGCATGGAACCCCCGGAGGACATGATGAGAGTGAATACACATACAATGTCTAGTTACCGCGAAGAAGACTTGGAGCCATACGTACTCTATTAAATGTGCTATATGTACATGCCATGGTTAGCCCGTCAATAATTTGGCTGAGGAACTTTAACCGAGTGATTATCGATGATTAAGATTCATCTCAAGATAGAGTACGGGCACGCGGACCAAACTGAGGTCTTGAACTTATAACTAATTATAAAATGTGTTAGTATTGTATGTATCTCCTCCACTCTAGATCTCCATCGTGGTCTATGTAACTTTAAGTTTGGAATTAGCCATGACTGCGCGAGATACTGCCGTATTGATAGGTAGCATTGATACCCGCACTACATAGCTCCACAACCATAGTCGCAACTCGATATGCCGGATTGCCAAGGTTTCGATAATTTCTAGTAAGTTAATTTACAGTAAGGAAATTCCCTAAGGATCTTGTATAGGACTGTAGGAGATCCTGAATTCTGTACATTTTAGGCTCACACGCGAGGTTTGGTGCTTGAGCTTGCCACGCATCGATCCAAATGCGGAGACAGAACCGAACTCATTGCCAGTGGTTTTTTCGAAAGTTCTTGCACCCTGATTGGTCGAGGGCGACAGGGGTTAGTTTAATAAAGCACAAACTGAATAGCAACTAGCGAACCCCAGAACTGATGAACAGGATGATATTGATTGTGGCATTAATTGGAGGTGCGTTGGAGGTGGTATAAGTGGAGATGGCATGAGTCGAGATACCTCACTATTAACTGAAAGAACTGAAATATCTACTAACTTAAATGGATCACTACCGGAGGAGGTGGGAAAATTACTGGTGGTAAACTACATGTACTCTGAGTGAGAAACTACCTACCTACTGAGTTGGCTATATCCTCAACGGTGGGAGCTGGCTACGGGTAGGGAGCTGGCTATGGTCAACGGTGGGACTCGGGAACTGGCTATTGGAGAGGTTCTCGGGTGGGAGAGTTTCTTGAGGAGGAGTATGGCCTCGTGGTCGCGAGGTGGGCCACTACTACTAGTAGTAGGTAAGGTACATGACTCTAAGCACCTATATATACATAGAAGAACGCACAACCTTAGCTTCATAACCCCACACTTCTCATTTCTCTCTCTATAGAGCTTTATGGATCCCTTCACGATAATAACCGGGGCCGGCGGGCTCCTCAGTACCTTGCAAGGCATCATCAATGAAGTAAAACCTTTCGTCGTGTCATGGAAGAACTGCCCCAAGGAGCTTATAGAGTTGCGAGACGAGCTTCAAGCTCTCGAAACACTCTTGAAGGACATAAAACCAATCGCGGACCGCCTACGTATTAGAAACAGTCATGACCGAAGTACCTGAAGCCTCCTCTCAAGCTTATCCTCTTAATACATTATGTAATTACTAACAATCTGACCCGAAGATGCAACACAGCCTGCAGCAGTGGTGAATCTGCTAAATCTCGCTGCCGAGATAAAAAAACTTCTCGAACCATACCAAGGTCCTGAAAATCTCAGTAAGATCTATAAAAAACCAGATAAAAAGCAACGGCTAGGATGGAAGAGCACGAAGGAAGACATACAGAGTTTGAAGGAACGGGTCGCAAGTTGCTTGAATGAACTCCAGCTGGCAATGGCGGCAGATACCAGGTAAGGAAATTTACGATTGATTTGGTGATTGAGGTTAACCCTGTTTTAACCATATTAGTTCTGGCGTTATGGACGTAATCGAAAAACTTGATATTATCAAGGATGAGAGGAATGCGGAAATTGATAGTATATACCCATTTAAAGTGAATGATGATAGGATATTAGAATAACAGATAATTGATAGGGAAAAGGCGCGACAAAATCTTAGAGTGGTTGTTCACTGGAGATCCCGGAAGGCGGCATAACGAGGTTCGAGGACGACTGGAGGAGAACACAGGGTGTTGGATTTATGAGACGGAACAGTTCAAGAGCTGGCGCGACAATAAGACACCTTGGTTGTTGTGTCAAGGCGACCGTTAGTTCTCCGTTCATTCTTTAGGCCCTATTTTTGTTAACGAACTGTAAATTTAGCTGGTGTTGGAAAAACGTTCATAATGTAAGTCACACGAATTTCAGACATTTACCTGTCAATGCCAATTTATGGCTGCGGTATATCTCCCTCTACATTTGTTGATAAGCTCTAGGTTAAATGTTGTCCATCATATATCGGAAGAATTTATGGGGGAAGATTTTGGCATTGCCTATATGTACCACAACTTTGGGGACAAAGGGACTCAAGATACAGCACAAATATTTGCCAGTATCCTACGCCAGCTCGGGGGACAGAAGGGAAAAATTTCTCCGGAAATAGAATCTCTATACAAAAGGCTTTCCCCCACCTTCAGCAAACCGAATATTCCAGAGCTGGTAAACGCTCTCGTAGCGGTTATGCAAGAGTTTTCCCGCGTGTGGTTGTTCTTTGGCGCTTTAGATGAATGTCTAGAGGAAAACCTGCGCGCAGTGTTGTCAAACCTGAAGAAGCATTTTAAGATACCAGAGGTTCAGATATTTGCCACTAGTAGGCCTTACCTCTCGGATGTCAAGAACGCATTTGCGGATCAGACAATTCTCGAAGTTTCGACGAGCACGAAAGATATCGAGACATTTGTGCAAAATCAGATGTCACATTTCCCGTTCGAGGACCCAGATGAGAGCCCCAAATCCGAAATCATAGATAAAGTTATTGAAGAGTCCAGGAGCATGTAAGTTGGTGAAGGTTCTTATCTTTTGTTGACAATGGCTGATCTGATCGCCCTAGGTTTTTGCTAGAAAAATATCAGACCGATCACATCCTCAAGGGCCCCATAAGAAGGTTGAGGAAAAATAAGACAAATATATTCAACAGCATGCCCAAAACTGTTGATCAGTACTTTGAGACATCTTTGAAGAGGATAAATGAGAGTGCTGACTCCGACATGGCTTTAAACGCTTTGATGTGGATTTCAAACGCAACGCGCCCCCTGCATGTCGCCGAAGTAGGCGCGGCATTAGCTTTTAAAGGAGTTTCTATTCTAGATGCATATGATGCAGAAGATGTAGAAAATGCTTGCGTCGGTCTAGTCATTGTTGACAGGAAGAGTAATTTTTGCCGCTTGGCCCATCAGACAGTTCAAGAGTATCTGATAACCAAACCGGATTGGACGAAGAATGCGAACTTTCTCATTGCAGAAACGACTTTGAAATATATCACCGGGTTTAAAGTCGATTGTTTCTAGGACGAGAGTTCACTTAAGATTCATCTTGAGAGGAACATACTATACGAATATGCCGCTAGAAACTGGGGAGTCCACATGAAAGGTTGCGATGAAGAGCAAAACTTAACTCTCACCCCAATTCTTGATGCCTTCTTTAAAACAAAGAGCAATGGAACCAGCAATGCAAGTGCATGCTTGGGTCACGGGGCGACTTATTGAAGCTACTGAGAGCCACTTCGGGCCTTTGCATACGGCGGCATTTTGGGGATTATCACTATTTACCCAGACGATACTCCCAGGAAACAAATACCTAAATTCAAACGATTGGATATACTGCCGAGCGCCACTTTCCTATGCGGCGGAGAGAGGGCATGAAGCTGTGGTCAAACTACTACTTGATGCAGCGGAGAGAGGGCATGAAGCTGTGGTCAAACTCCTACTTGATGCGGAGGGGATTAGTGTGGACGTAAAGAGTATTGGTGGACGGACGTCACTCTCTTATGCAACAGAGAAGGGAGAAGAAGCTGTTGTAAAGCTCTTACTTCCTACTGATGGGGTTGAAGTAAACGTGGGGGATATCAATAGACAAACACCACTCATCTGTACAGCAATGAACGGGAACAAAGCTGCGGTCAAGCTTCTTCTTGCTGATAAGAGAGTTGATGTCAATCAAAAGGGCCTTGAGGAATTGACAGCACTGTCATGGGCAGCAGCAATGGGGCACGAAGCCGTAGTCCAGCTCCTACTTGCTGCCGAGGGAATTAATGTGGAATCGAGGAGTGCCGAGCCGGACAGCACTCTCCTGGGCACCAGGGATGGGGCACGAAGTTGTGGTGATGCTCTTACTTATTGTAGAGGGAATTGATGTGAACACGAAGAGTAGCGATGGCCGGACACCATTCGCCTATGCAGCAACGAAGGGGCACGAAGATATACTTAAGCTCCTATCTACTATTAAGGGAGTTGATGTGAAAGCGAAGAAAATCAATGGCCAGGCAGAACTCTTCTGGGCAATATCAATGGAGCAAGAATCTGAGGTCAACTTGATACTTGTGGGGTTGATGTTAATCATAAGGACGCTAATAGCCAGACACCACTCTCTCAGGCAGCATAGATGGGGAACGAAGCTATAGTCAAGCTCCTGCTTGCTGCTGAGGGAATTGATGTGAACACGAAGGACATTGATGGCCGGACGCCATTGTCCTGGACAGCAACAAACGGGCACGAAGCTGTGGTCAAACTCTTACTTGCTGCTGAGGGAATTGATTTGAACACGAAGAGTGCTGATGGCCAGGCAGCATTCTCCTATGCAGCAGGGAGCGGAGGAGTAACCGTGGTCAAGCTACTACTTGCTACCGATGTAGTTGATGTGAATACGAGGGATAATAAATGTGGCCAGACACCACTCTTCTGGGTAGCATTGATGGGGCAAGGGGCTGTTGTCAAGCTTCTTCTTGCTGACAAGAGAATTGATGTGAACATGAAGAGTGCCGATGGCTAGACTCCACTCTCCTAGGTAGCATTGATGGGGAAAGCCGATATGGCCGAGCTCCTACTTACTACTGAGGGAGTTGATATAAACACGAAAGACAATGAATATGGCCGAACACCACTGTCCTATGCAGCAGAGTACGCGTACGAAGCTGTGGTAGGGCTCCTACTTTCTAGAGATGGAGTTGATGTGAATGCGAAGGGCAATAAAAATGATCGGACACCACTCATCTATGCAGCAATGAACGGGCACGAAGCTGTTGTCAAACTCTTACTTGCCACCGAGGCAGTTGATGTGAACACGAAGGACAGAAAATATGGCCTGACGCCACTCTCCTATGCAGCAGCGAAGGGGCACGAAGATGCGGTCAAGCTTCTGATTTATTTTTTTGTTTAATTCTTCAAGCTTCTGATTGAAGCACGGGCCGATGTGAACATCAAGAGCGATGATGGCCGAACACCTCTTTTATGGGCAGCAATAAAGGGTAGAAGGCGGAATGTGGAGCTCTTGGTCGAAGTAGATAAAGTGGACCTAAATATCGATACTACGTTATGGTCCAAGACATCATCCCCAGATCCAGAGATTATGCAAATTATCCAAGCCGCCAAAGAAAAGCGGTGCTCATCATCTAAAGTTCCGGCAAAGGAACTTATCAGAAACGAATTCCTTATAGAGGCTGCTGTGGCGTCTCCCCCGGCCCTTCCATCTCAGCAGAACCCTGCATCTCCCTCTACCATATACCTTAGCAGTTTTAGAGGAAGAAATATCTTTCTGGCGTTCTGGGTTATTTCCTGTTTTCCAGTTTTATGCTATTTTCTTTTATAGAAGTTTGCGGGTTTGTTTAATCATGTTTGCATGATCTAGTTCTCATACTAAAGACTCTTAATTGACATTTCTGTGTAAACGTTTTTCAAGCTTTTCATGTTATTTATTACAATTCTCCCAATTATCCTCCAGGCTAGGCTTAATGAATCTCTTCGTCTCGATCTCTTTGATTAGTTTCTATCGGTCGTTTAGCAAGATTTCTTATTAAGCCGCCGCACTGGGTACAGAGAAACAATGGAATAAAATGATGTTTTTTTTCAGTAGCCATGAAATATGAGATCCGTGATCATTGAAAAGGGGAGTCCGTCGGAAGAAGTCTACATGTACCTAATAAATCAACCAACCAATCATAAAGGAAGCGAGTTCAAGAGATTGTAATTACTACTTGGCACGACACCCTAGGATCTGACCCTATCTCACAGGGCCCGCGGATAGTCGTATCCTGAACGTCAACCTGAATTGGTTTCTAGGAAGTGCCTCCTCGCAGCTACGCCGCAGCCCCACACGCCTGATCTGATTATAATTTTTAATGGAATATTGATATGTTATTCTGGGTTATGGTTGTTGGTCACATGCAGTAGCCAATCAGAGAGCGATATAAGCTCTTAACCACATACCCTTCACTTCATTTAGGGTATTCACTTCGTTTAGGGTTCATGAAGGAAGTAATGGTCGATCGAGTGATATTGGGTGATCAAATATCAAATCATGCACAATCCCCACCCACCCCCAACAAACGTCACACATCATAATTTAAAGACAAATTCCCATGGAAAGAAATCTCAAGACTCTTTATCTAATAATACTCAACCCGTAGACAAATTTCTTTTTTCTTTTGGGGGGGGTTACTTACATATCTGCATATCTCTTCAATCCGTAACATGTATATCCCACCATTGCCACCAACACTGATCTCGGATCCATATCAATTACTCAACGCCAAACTGCTGTTACATACACGCTACAATGACGCCGCTCGGAGGATATTACGCGAGATCGAGACTGCGTCTCTCTCGCACTTATCCCTCTTCAGCGGCCGGTTCGGCCTTCGGCGATACAGTCATAGTTATATAGATAGCGCTCGCCGTTGATCCTCGGACCAGAAAGAGGGGAGCAGGGAAGTGGGCTGTACATACCGCATCAGCAATTAATGGTTGGTATATATCCAAGATAAACAAAAAACTAAATTAACCCCACTCTTCCACAGATTCACCGTGCGATTGCTATGCCCACATCATTCGAGCCTTCCGGCCACTCCAGACTCGAATACTCTGTGGCAGGCTACTGTGGAGGGAGTACTTTCAGTATGTAGCAGTATGTTTCCATTGAAGAAAGGGTTCACAGAGAACAATACCAGAAGAAGCAGTACCAGAAGTAAATTCGACAGCCCGTGTCGTGTGCTATTTTGTAAAAACCAAGACCCAGAAAGTAAGAGAGAAGAGCCTAGCTATGAAAACAGAATAGGTGGGCGAGTACATGTATGTAACTATGTAGTGAAATGCCGTCCCCAAATACAGTACTCCCCAATGTCCCAACCAACCCAGCCAACCCAGCCAAAAGAAATATGTATGCACCGCGAGCAGAAAACAGCAAGAGAGAAAGAAAAAACAAGAGAAAGACCCATCCAAAACGAAAAACACCAGACCCAATATCCCCATCCCAGTTTTTGTAAATACAGCCCACTCAACCTAGCCCACTCAACCTAGCCCAGTAACCCAGCCCCGTCCCTAAAGAAAAAAAAAGAGGAAAATACAGAGAAAAAATGTATTTAAAAGAATGGTAGTTAGCCCCCCCCCAACGCGAGTATGTATTTACAATTTCCCAGCGAGTAAAATGCTATTAAAAGGGATGCTGATATTTCCCACATCGTAGATGTAGGCGAGATAAAACTAAAGATAGTTAAGTCAGTAAGGGGTAAAATGAAAAATTTGTCGGAAGAGGCTGAGCACGCTTACCTCTGAATATAGCATTAAGACTTTTGAACCCCAAACTCCGAACCCCAAGTCGCGGTGCGCACACTAGTGCATCGTCACCTCAAAGAAATCCACCCGCCTTGTCGACATGATGTTGATTCTTTTAATTTCTGCCCAGACAAAATATTAATATAATCCCGTAAACACACACTCGAAATGACGAGCACTTACAAAAGTCAACAGTCAACTTCCTCAGCGCCTCCTGCCTCTTCAAAGGAAGTTCATGTTCACTTAGCCTCCTCTTTCCGCTGAAGACCTTCCTCCAAACATCTTTGACCCTGCCGCCCCAGGAGAAACCCTTGTTGCGCGCAACAATGACATCGGCCTCCTGCACAGCCTCAATCTCCTCATCAACAACCCAGACCCATTGCCTCGGTTGCTGTTGTTTTTGCTGCTGCTGTAGCTGCAACTTGCGTTGCGTAGCTTGACGGATGCGTTTGGCTTCGATGAGGTCGCGACGGTGGCGGGCGGCTTCAACGCGTCGCATTTCCTCTTGCCAGGGAACAATGTATTCCTCCTCTTGATGCGCGAGCTCACATTGGTGCTCTTGTTCACGTTCTTCTTCCTCTTCTTCCTCCTCCTCGTGGTGATGGTGATGGTGGTGGTGGTGGTTGGGGAAGTACGGGATCGGCTCGGGGTGAGCGTTAGGAAAGTGAGAGTCCCGTGCGTATAGGAGGAAGAAGCGGAGGAAGAGTTAGAAGTAGATGATGAGAACTTCATTTTGTTATCTTTAGTATTTGTGACGATGTTGGTTGTATTGGTAGTGGTAGTGGTACTTATTGCTGTTGTAGCAGTGGTGAGAGCAGGAGTGGTAGGAGGAGTAACGCCGGAATTAGTAGCGGAGCAGGCAGCACTGTCGCAGACGGGGCGGCCACCGGCACCTTTAAACGGCGGCGGAATTTCGAGGTGACAGGGGGTCGGCAAAAAAGCCAACGGAGCTCCAAGGATTGGACGGTGCGGATAATGTTGTGTTGGTTGTCTAATTACCAACGGTTTTCCCTGCTGATTGGATGACGAGCTGATGTCGACAGGGGAGGAGGCACCCACTACTGCAGGTGCAACCATGATGAATTTGATAGGTATGATGTGACTGGTTTTTTTGAAGGTTTCAAGGGGTGTGGTTATGTGGAGAATTCCAAAGAGGACTGGTCGGACCGTGTGTGGGAAAAAGAAAGAAAGGAAGATGGATGGATGTTGATGGATGATAGATAGAGGAGGAGGAGGACAGTGAATGGGTTGCAAGGTAGAGTGGGGTAGGTTATGCTCGAGATTAGAGATTCTCTGGTAGAGTTGCGCCGCGGTAGGGGGGAATTCTCACACACTCTCCCTCAGCTGGGAAGCGTGCCCACTCACACCCACCCGCACACCACGCCCGCCTGCACACACACACCACACAACACCACAAATCCATTCAACAGCAGCACCACACGCGCACCCACAATCTCGCAACAGGTGAGTACGTACCGTACCGTACCATACACATGCCTTCAACGTCTGTGCATGATCCTGGCAAATCTAACCGGCCCGCCGTTTCGACATCTCCATTTGTTACTTTCTATCCATCTTCAGCCGATCCTCTAAATTGTGTGAAAGAAACAAAGACGAAGCAAAAATAATTGGTCCTTCTGGCCTTCTTTCATGCCGCTGGTCGGATTGGGGCACAAATTCCTCACAGGCGGGCGCTCGGTAAAATTCGCTAGTCAGGCACACATTCTGCATACTACACCATTATAAGCTAGGACTTGCTTGAATGGTCAACGATTATTATTAGAGTCTTCTATTGGCTGCACAAAGCCAAATTCGAAGATTAGTACATGGAGTAGAGATTTACCCTAGGTAGAGGGTAGATAAGGTGGAGTACCTATGTACTCTATGTACCACCTCGATCTATGTACCTACTCTATGTACCTCTACTCTAGGGTACTCTAGAGTATTTAATCTGTCTGCTACATCATGTAAGTACATATAGTATTTTACTCTACTCTACCCTACGTAGGTGTATGTACCTACATGTACCTACTTCGCTGCCTACATGCACGCTCAGTCCTCTGACCAAAATATGTAGGTAATTGTGCTAAGGGGCTACCGATAAGTACACCCAAAACACGCAATGAAAATCTCCGGACGGACAGACGTCAATTCGCTTAGCCCTAAAGCGACCAAACACGAACAGTACACAGGCACGAGCCTCGATGAATCAATACGAGCGTTCATGTGTGTAATCAATTCCCCTTATAGAATGTTGAAAAGCAAAACCAGAGGATCAATGCCATCCAACACCGAAGAATTGAGCTCTGGCCGCTGTTGCGGGAGGGCTCCGAATGCTGAGACTGCGGGATAAACTCGGTTACTGAAATGACAACCACACTAGGCTAATTCAGGACGTTTCGACTTCTAGGAACAAAGATATGCTTTTTTTAAAAAAAAATTGTTGGATGGCTACCACCGCAGTTACACAGTACCTGAGAAGACAACAGGAGAACCTATGGGCCACAACTTGACGAACAAGTTGACCTACAGAATGGGTAGATGAATCGGTGCTATCAGACAAGCCTGAATTGGACAATAGTCCTCAAATCGCACAGCACAATGAAGTCAAGCGATGACAGAGAAGAGGTAAACAAGGTTATAAATCCCGTGTTGACACGTACGCAATGTCCCAGGTATGGTCCGGCCTACGAGGGTGACCGTCCTCTCAATGTACTGGTTCTCCGTCTTTTTGAATTATTGGGTGCTAGTCCCTTCTGTGCTACAGCTATCGGTAGTTCTCGTTCAAAAATCATGGGACAACGCAACCGCGAGTTGCTACGGGGGCTTGTCCCAGGATTTTTGACATGGAGTTATACCTATCGCTACCCCGCCATAAAAGCATGGATTCTGCCCATAGACAGGTTCGGCTACGCTGGGCAGTGGGCACGTTGTCGCCGTGCTACGTACACTAATCAAGTGAATATCAAGAGTTTTTTTCAGTTGGTCAATAGCGGCTACACATAGAATGAACCGGTGAAAGCTTACTCCAGCCAAGGATCCCGATGAAACGTCCTAAATCAAGCATATTCAAAAAAAATCCCGTGCACTATATGAAGGATGAACTCTAACCCCACACTGTTATACACGGGAATGTGAACGGGAGTGGGCGGGCCGCGTGGAGGTAGGTTGCAGCGAGTTGTGTGATATCACGGAAAGTAGGTGAAGAACAGTGGGAACGGATCTTAAACGGATCAAGTGGTACATCGGTAGCACGCATATTTTCAAGAGAGGTGGCCGGCCTGGATAATGACAGCACTGTTTACCCCTCATGATATCCCATCTATTCCTACATCTGTCTTCTTCACCTCTCTTCTAACGTTGTTAATCTCATTTTCAGGTCAATGGGTTTCAACGGGCAGTGGTTCAGGAACAAGAATAGGTGGGGGTCTATGTATCATCATGGGCTAATTCATACGATTTATATGGGCCTAGGCTGAAGGGGGGTGTTTACAAATGTTTGAGCCACGTCGAATTATAGGTATGCTATGCCGTCTATCGAATCCATAAGGTTAGCAACAAAAAGTACCCCTCTTTCTATTGTGACTAATAAAAACGGGCAACTTTGTGGTATCTTTCAAAACAATTACTTTTTAATTAGATAGGGCAAAGAGTCGAGGTGCCTGATATCAAACTACTTGGTTAGATGAAATCCACGTTTTGTTTTTCCTTGGAAGTGCTAATATAATACACCTCGAGACCATCTACTAGCTGGCCTCTCTTCGAGATATTCCTAGGTTGCAGCGAGGTGTTCGATTTTAGAGCAATAAACCCATGCTCAAGTTCTTGTACTCTCAGACAGCGGATGGTCGCATTGTTGACTCGTTGTGCATGGAACTGATCTAGATGATGTGTTTTATTTTTCCTCGAGACACAAGCCTGACCCACAAAGCCTTGAGACTGGACATTAAAAAAGCTGGATAAGCCTAGGCGGTATCATGAACTACACCAATCCTACTTTTACCACGTAAGAAAAATCCAATCACAGTTTATCACTCGGGTATGACAGTGACCCAAAAAGCTCATAATGCGTTTAAGCCAGATCTAGACCCGGACGTTGTTTTTGGGCATGGAAGGCGAATATTTACCATACGATCTCGGACCCTGTCCGTTGAATTAGGATAACAATAAGCTGCTGCGTGGTATGCGGAATCAAGCCTACCATCCTTCTATGAGGGTATCTCTTAAGCTTGAGTTCTTAAATTGTTGATGGCTAATTAAACCCTGTTATAACTATCACAACGGCGGAAGTCGATACCTTCCGAATTACTGTCTAGCACAAGTACTGAGGTGTAGTGAAAAGTGATCAGAATCTGATAAGACAAATACACGTATTCACCACAACATTCACTTATCAGATTCTGATAACTTACCCTCAACACCCGGTACTTCTCTGGCGATGCCGATATCATAGCACAATGATGGTATTCGGTGTTCAGAAACTCGGGAGACATTGCCTGAAATACTTACGGGAGTTGCACCAGCTTCCTATCCTCAGCGAGAGTAATTAGTCTAATCTATGCGTGGAGTGACTTTTTATCGTCGTTCGTTGCAACATTCCTCATGATCGATTTGATTCTCGCGCGGATAAATGTGTGAGAATATGAAATTACAGAGGTGAAAATTCACTTATTTTTTCATGAACAGAGGGATTTATTTGCTGAATAAAACTAATAACTTATTTGTCATAGCAAGTAACCTGTGGGCCAATCGTATTTGGTGGTGGCTGGTATAGGACATAATGCAAAACCTGACATGGCTCCGCCCCGTCGGGACTCCATCCCTACCCATAAAGAGAGCTACAGAATGAAAAAGTGGAAAAGTAGTTTCAATCTCCTGGATTCCATATATTCTAGCGTTTCCCGGGTCCCGATACTCTACAAGTGAAATTTTGATAGGTTTTGCCGCATATATAAATTATGTACAGAAAGCTATAAACTAACAAAAATATTTAGCCTTCAACTGCTCTTTCCTTAATCTTGACCATCATTCCCTGCATCTCCACCACCATCGCAAACCTCTCCTTAGGCGCCTCAACCTCCTCCAGCTCCCACCGCGCCACAACAGTTGCCACCAATTTCACCATTAAGAACATTGCCAGATGCCTTCCAATGCAAACCCTCCCACCAGCTCCAAACGATAACCACCCGGCCTCCATCTTACTGGCTCTCTTTCTTCCATGCTCATCCACACCTAACCATCGCTCAGGTTTAAACTCCGCTGCGTCGGCTCCAAAATAACCCTTATCGTAGTTGACTGCCCATGCCGACATACCGACGGTATATCCCGGTGGAATGAAAAACTGGTTCAGCTGGCAGCCCGCTGGAGGCGAGGTACGGGAAAGAGAAAAACCAACAGCTGGGCAGATACGAGTAGCTTCGTTTATGACGGCTTCAAGGTAGGGGATCTTGTTGGAACCGCCATAGTGGATGAAGTCTGCGAATGTGACCGCCTTAGGGAGAGCTGCGAGCTCGGCGCGAACAGTTGAGAGCGCGGTGGGGTCTTTCAGGAGATTGTGGATGGCTGTAATGGTTGTGTGGGGTGTGACCCCGACGGCGCCAGCCATGAGGTTGAAGTACTGGACTGTGGTACCTTGTACGGTGTCGCCCAGGGGGTAATGATCTCGCATGGATGCTTGGGCGGAGTGGAACTTCGCCAGAAGATGGTCCGGATTTTCAGTTCTGACCTCGTCAATACGCTCCTATATAGACACAAAGTCAATTGTCAGTTATCACATCTCCAAGTTATTCAATAAAGCTGATGTATACATACCTCCAATGGCACCTTCCACTTCTTCTCCCCAATTCCCATGCCCGTATAGAACAGCTGGTCTAACCAGTAGACTAATAGCATTCTCCGTATCCATCGAGTTGTTATCATCAGAGCTTGAGGAGTCGGTAAAAGCCAACCCACAACGCTGAGGATAAGCTTAATCCCCCAAAGGGTTCCAAAGTGGTCCTCTCCGGCCAGACAGAATCCGTTGGAGTTATTGCAAGCAATTTGCGCAGTAACGTCCCAGATATAGTACTCTACCCAGTGTGTAAAGTTGCACACCTTACCAGGCTGGATAACATGCTTCTCAATGCCTTGTACGAACTCGTCGACGGCTTGGTCAAAGTTCTTCTCTAAACCGCTCAAAGCAGTCTCCGAGTAGAAATGCGACATTAACCTCTTTCCTAACCTCGCTTTCTCCGGTTCCCGCTCAAAGAGGAAGCTGAAATCTTCATTGACACTTCCTGTCTCATATAATGGTGCCTTCTTAAAGAAGGTCTCTTCGCGCTTGTCGTTGGCGAAACCATAAATGACATTCCTGAGGTATGGATCCGAGCATGATACCTCATCGGGGGCAATCCACACTACAGGACCGTACTTGAGATGGAGTTGCATTATGTCCCGGTGCCATGTTCCGGTCATGGTACGATAGGACCTGTAGAGGTTGGTGAAGGATGCAAGGAATGGGCCGGGGATGCGCTGGGCGCGGAAAGGGGAATTTAGAAATTGGTAGGTTTGTTTGAGCAAAAGGTAGACGATGAGAGCGAGGGAGAGAAGGAGTTTGTTTTGCCAGAGGATGGCGAGAATGGAAGAGAGGTTCTCTAGCAGCATGGCCTTGGATTAGTGATATCAATCGCAGAGAATGGTGAGTATACTTATCGACTTCTTGGTTAAAAACGTGGATGAGGGTGGGAATAGTTGGGGTTTTAAAGAAAGGATTCTGACCTTAGACATTCGGTCTGTATGTGCTGCCAGTCCAGGGGGCAGTTTGGTATTGGAAGAGAACTCCTGGTACGTGCAAAAGTTAGGATTCCTGTAATGAGACCAATAAGATTAGCTAAAAGGTGTGTATAATGACTAGCTCCTCCTCCCTAAAGCCTTTTTTTTTATTTCCATCCACCCCCTAAAGAAGGCAATAAAAAGCCTTGACAGTTGTGCTTTAGGTATTATGCGTCCTTTGCACCACCAATTGGATTTAATCATTATTCTAGTAATTTCTACCCATGGCTTGCTTGCCTCCACAGAAAAAACAATTAAGAGTACTAAATGGGCTCCACAAGCCTTATCTAGCGATATCCGCCACCTTGCAGCTGTCAGATCCCTTCTCGTGTAGTACTAGAATTATAAAGTAGGTAGGTGCTCTACATACCACTGATACCAGTTAGCGTTGAAGCAAAACATGGGCTTGAGACCTCTCAACTGTCTGTAGTTATTTTTTAAAAGAATAGTAATACCTGGCCACTGGACGTTATAACGTATCGTACTCAGGTATGCAACAACAGATTTTGCTTTTTTCTTACACGCGCCTTGCTTCACACCTTGACGATGCTTGAGCCCAGACCTCTCAAATACCCGAGCCGATACCCTAAGAGTAAGGACGGCAGTTGTCAAAGCATTCGTTAATTATTTCTCGATTTTTGGAGTTATAAAACCGTTATTTTAGGCAACGAGTTAAGCTTTTGAATTAATACTCAAACGGTTTAGCGCGGCTAAAACAAGCATTAGTAGGGCTCACTAGCAGCTGGTTATGGGTCAACTAGTACTCTTACGGGTAACTATTAGTTAATACAATGGCTTACTACATATATTAACCCCAGATACACCCACTCACTCAAAACTTTGCGTGTCTCTGTTTTTCCGCAGTGAGTAAAATACAAAACAATCAGGGCCTGTTCAGTCAGACGTGGTCCGCAAAGCCAAAGAACAAACAGTTCATCCTTAATCGTTAAAAGCCTTGCCTTCTAAGGGTTATAGATCGTCCGGCGCTACCGGTATTCTAAAACGTGTCGCATCGATCCGCTCTTGTAGTAGGATAAACAACATTCCTTTGCAATTTGACAAAGCTGTTATTTAACCAATATATATCCCGACGATCATGACTACGATCCCACGTGTTATCATATGCCACGTTTAAAGCGTCTGAAATCATGGATGATTAAAAGCCTTGTCTTTTAAGGGTTAGAGATTGTTTGATCTCTTTAACATTGCATCGGTATTCTAATGCTGTGTCGGGACAAACAACATCCTCTAACAAAACTATTATTCAACCAATTCGACGATCACGGCTATGGCGTTAACAGTTATAATTGATATCATCTCAGGATCCATCATCTGGCTTCGATCATATACCATGTTTGAAGAGCCTCTTTATTTTGTGAACGATTGAGAGGATGACAATGTTTGAGTTCGTCACAGTACTGATCATTATCCGCTTATTTGATGGTCATAACCATCTTTTGGTAGGTCTGTCTATTCACAGGGCCTTAGTTGAGATCACCCATTGAGCCTCTGCAGCAATATAAGGCCTGATGGAGCGTTAACACAGCAGTCAGAGATGGAGTTCACGATCTCAATGATTACTTTGTACAGTCTCCTTCCTTATGGCAATTACTCCGGGCCCACTAACCTGCATGTCAGCATCTATTATATTAAACATGTCGTATTTTGATTAAACTTTGGAGTATCTAAAGGTTTGCGGGGGATCTCCCTTTTCCTCATTGAGATTCGGTTTATGGAAGAATCTAAGGTAATCCTTCTCCACATGCAAACTTAGGCCTGAACCATTCCGGTCCTCCCAGTCTCTGGGAGGTATCATGACGATTACTATTAACGCAGATGCGCAGAATTTCCTTGGAGTAATTAATTGGACACGCATATTCCATGCAATATGTGGTATGGACATATCGGATGTATCTCTGCCACTCTGAGGCCTGAGGCTCGGCGCGCTTCGAGCAAAAATTCCCCATATGTACCTTGATCATCATGCGACCCTATCAAAGCGGGATCAGTTGAAGAAAAGGGTCGTTAGATTTGAGTGTAGATCTTGAACGCGTGTAAGATTCCCAGCTTGCATTTCGTTTATTCAGTGTAACACCCCAATGGGTTAACTATACTCTATGTATATCAGCAAAAGGGAGTTCGTTTATATAATTTATCAAGTGACGTGCAGGTTTAAATTTAGTAATCCTAGAAAGATACCTACGAGATGCCTTGTATGTGCATACGGATTTCCTACTCTAAGAACTACCTGCAGAATCATGTAGATTATGATCACTACTTGTACCTAGGCCGTTCTTTTAGACTCCACCAATTCTATGTTGGGCCGTCATTACGGCGGTTATTTATGAACCGAGAAGTTTAAGATGAAGATGTCAATCAACACTTTTTGTCACAGAAGTTATCTGTTAGAAAGGGTAGTTGTGCGGTCGAGGGATTAGCTAAGACCTCAGATAAGTATAATTGCACCTAAACGGTAATTAAGTGCGCCCAGAGACAGGGGGAACAATACCCTTGATCGTCTATCACTTTGACTTGAAGATCACTTTTTCGGCAAACTAGGAAGTTCCTACTATAATGCCTTGCATGTTTCGGCTATTGGTTCTCTTGTTCGGCATCTAACTCTCTCGGGGCTTGAATTTAGCCAGAGATACGCTCATAGAAAATCACTCGGATATACCAGCTAGACTTTGGGGCGCAAGGTGTCGTAATTTTGGTTTCCTAGAATTCAGGAAGTCTAGGTGATTTCTTTATCGCCAGATTGAAGATTAATCACTAGGATGGGACAAACTGACATTTTTGGAAATCCCCCCACTTCCTAGGACGGCATACGGACACGAATGAATTATCAATCGATAAATCAATAGGCCGGCATACGGCATCATCAGTAAATATCCCTAGCTAATCTTTCAATGCTCCGAAAGCCACGTGCACAGGGAGAGATCGACCGCCTGAAGATTGATTCAGATCAAAAAGCATGGGACTATTAACACCAACCACAGTCTTGGCGTGTATAAAAGGGGCATATATTTAATTGATTCTTGCAATTGAGGGGGAGTGATCTCGGTGAGACGGCTAGTCCGATGACGATCCACTGAATTTTTTGACCGACAGTTAGAGGGTGGTTGAGTCCGACAGCCACAACAAACCAGTCCGTCGAGGAGCCGAAACGGCAAGACCCGCGAACCCACAGTAGTTAAAACAAAGGAGTAGGGAGACTATTTAACGGTCCGTCAAAAGGTAGAGATCCGGGCTGAGAATCCCCGGCACGGGGCCGAGATAAAATCCCTTATGAGCTTCTAATAAACGGCTCGGCGGAGAGGAATCATGAACTCGGATAGAAATAGGTACCTATCTGATATATACATGAATCCGTGAAGGGCCCTGTATATGTATGTACCTGCCCATACTACTGATTCCACGACGTTTCCGGACACGACTGTATACAAAAAGGTGGACCTGGCGCGCATTTATATGATATTTAATACCGGTCGTGCTCGGGGGCTATGAATAGTGGACGCCTCACAGAGCACCCAGTTGGCGGGATACCTGAACGGTGCGCCTTATGTCAAACGTCAAATCCCCAAATCCCGACCGTGTGTACCCATGTCTCCCGTGTAAGTTGGCATGCACGGTCCTAGCCTAGAACCAAGGTTTGAGGTTAAAAATCCGAGTGTCAGTGATAAATTGGTAAGGGGCTGTGTGTTAGTAGGTAATTTCCTCTTTTTAAATATGAACCCAGGATTCCGAGTTGTCTTGGCCCATGCGTCATACTCTATCACTCGGTATATTGGGCGCTGGGTTTTTCGAGTATTGTGACTTCCAGGTTGTTCGTCAGTTACCCAAGCTGCAAGGCCTTGCTCGATCGAGGGCGGAGTCTAAGTTAGTAAAACAATTAAAATTAAAATTCCTAGTCCGGGTCGGGAGATGTTGGATAGGCCCTCGTTTACGGTGGACCTTTATGATCAAGAAACCAATAGAGGGCGAAGCTCTGACACATGTCTCATACTAGCCTCTCCTCGCCGATCTTGAGTAGACCTTTTTAACGACTATAGTCAGTCATGGAGTAATTAGCATTCATGCGGTTTTGGAGGTCAAAAAATCCTGGGGAAGCTGGCAGGAAAGTGTAGTTATTACGGGTAATAATATTCTATTACTGATCATGACTACAAGAAGTATCGCTAGCGCGAGATGACTCAAGTTGTATTACGAGCTAGTAATTTATCTTCACCTGACTCAGCTCATAAGATTAGGTTTATTTTCGCCGACTAGGACCCAATTAACTTTAGCTACACTGATAATATAATGTAGATAAAATTACATATCCCTCGAGACGATGGCCTTCGAATTCCCCGAGTTCTCGGCGATGGCATGGCCTCAATATTGTATGCTTTGTCCAACACTGAAATTCTGTCATCGAGAGTTTTTGGTGATTGCCCTGCTGTCCTTTCTCTGATCAAATGTTTTTGCCTTTAGAGCTGATTCTAGAATATCACTTGAAGTTAGCTCATAAAGAAAGCAAGTATTATGCTTTAGTTATCGCGTGTTATCTTTAATTAACGAATTAGTTAACTTATCTCTTGAATAAAAAGCATCGCTTCTCTCCTTGATTGTCCTGTAGAAATGGTCTAGGTGCCTGGAGCTATTATACAAATATGACGCTGCTTCTTTTTAAAGTAACCTATGTTGGTTGATCTGGGGCTGTCTTGTGTGTAACTTTATATACGTAACCAGAGGATCGGAAGAGTTAAGAGACGACCAGGAGGTTTAGATGTTGACTGTATATAGGGTAATGGGTCTCGAATAAAAAAGCTACATGTACGTAGCATGCAGTA